CTGCATAGCCTGTCGTTTCAATAGATAGGCTTCATCAGGTTAATAGAATTTTGATTGATTGATTGATTGATTGATTGTTTGCTTGAAACAAGAGAATCTATAGCAGTACCTTTCTTTGCAGCTTGATCAGCTGCCTCATTCTCAGGGATTTTTGTATGACCGGGGACCCAGCAGACCCGTACAGAGCCACCATTAGTATATGAGAATCTCTCTCGTGTCAGCCAGGTCTGGGCTAAGGCTTGGAAGGATTGTAAGATTCCTTGAGAAGAGCCCATAAAAGGTAAAAGGAGGCGCGTAGCTACCCCCAGGTTATCTAGACAGACTCAGAGGTTGGTAGCAAAGCGAGCAGTATCTAATTTAAAAGCTGTTTTAATCCCTGCTAGGGCTGCTTCAGCTTTAGCATCAAAGACCTCTTTATTCGGCCCCAGAGAGAAGGAAGACTGCTGGAATAGCATTCCAGATTGATACAGGACATAACCGTTCCCTGTCATTCCGATTTCTAGTTTTGAGCCATCTGTAAAGACCTTAATATCAATCTGCGGGAGAGAGGCATGGAGTCTTTGAAATCTGTCGGCTGCCTGTTTCTCGGATACGCCCGTAGGAGCCCCTATTCGCTTTTAAACTGGTTCGCGTGCCTCTTGTAGGGTCCATGGAGCATCTTGCAGTAGGTTCAGTTGTTCTGACTCAGGGAGAGTAATCACACGGCGTGCAAAGCGGCTAGTCTGGAGGTCAGTTTGGGTTACACTTTCTGCTCTCCTGCGGAGAGGGTAGTAGGGGTTAAGTCGGCGAAAACAGACCGTAGCAATAGCAGTTATATAGTCTAGTTTAATCTCTGCTGGCAGAAGCTCTGATTCTCAGTAAGGTACAGGGATTAGAGTAGTCCCGTAGATTGGGAGAATTGCTCTGGCCCCGGCTAGTATAATCCGGGCTATCTTATCAAGGTGGCTCTGGACCTTGTTTAAGATTGTCCTTGTATCCAGGGCCAGGGCGAGTCCGGCCTGGCCACCAAATTTCTGCGCTATAGTAGACTCTGCAGAGTACGCATACCTTAATAGCTTGCTATATAAGGTAAAGGTTAACTTCCCGTACTGTATTCCCAAGAGAACGTAATGCATTCGCAATAACTATAGCTTTAGAAGCCATTTCTTTGACATGGAATTTAAAGCTGAGCTTTTTGTCAAAAAGGAATCCTAGTTAACGTAAGTAAGGGCGTACTCTATTCTCCGAGATTGTAACAGGCCCGGTCGTTACTGATAGTGTACAGTTAAGATCTTGATCAGTTATGCGTCGCGAGAAATGTATCAGCTCGTATTTGTCTGGTACAAAAGTAATTGCTTGTGATAGGCCCCATTTTAGGGCTTCCTGCAGAGACTCTCATATGTTTTGAGCGTTTGACTCTAGGGACAAGGATGTTACTAGAAAAGCTCCATTATCTGCGTATCCGAATCTAGCCCTTATATTGCCCATCCAGAATAGGGGGGCCAGATAGAGCATAAACAGGATAGGGGATATCGGCGAGCCTTGTGGTAGACCACAGAATATCCTGATCTTGGGCCCTAGTTCTTCGTCTAGTCGGATTTGAACTGTACGACCTGTAATAAAGGAAGCTACCCAGCGGACCAGGTTTTCAGGCCAACCTTGTGTGCGTAATCTGTATACCAGTCTGCCAGGGAGAACCCCGTCAAATGCTCCTTTGATGTCGAAGGTTAGGAGGGAAGCTGTCTTGCCCTGATTTAGGGTTTGCTCTACATCATGCAGCAGGCAGGTAGTAAGGTCAACAGCAGAACGGAGAGGTAAGGCCCCAAACTGCTGGCTAGCAAGAACCTTGTAAGAAATAGCAATCCATGCCATATTCCGTGCTATCAGGCGTTCAAGGCCTTTGCCTAGGACTGAGAGGAGGGCAATTGGTCTGTACGACCTGGGGTTCGCCCAGTCTGTCTTATTTGGCTTTTGGATGATAGCCAGAACAGCGTGGCGGAAGCATTGAGGGTGATAACCAGTAGATAGACAACTTTGATAGAGTGCAAGCACTCTGTTTTTGATCAGGGGCCATGCTGCCTTTAGTATACTAGTAGGAAGTCCATCACTACCTGGGGTAGTGTTACCAGCATGCAGAACTGCTTTTTCTGCCTGCGCCATTGATACACCTGGGAATGGTAGAGATCTAGATGAGACCGTAGGAGTGTCTGACGGTATATCTCCTGCTTCAGCAGAGTTCTGAAGGAGATTTCGAGCTAAGATATCACGTTTTTCCTGTATATCAACTGCTGGGGGGCAGTCAGGTTGCAGGGGGTCCTTCATTGGTGGGCTCCGGTAGGATCCAGTTGTCTTATGCCACTTGGACATCTCGAATACTTCTTTGCTTGTGGTAGTTGCGTTGATTTTGTTTCTCCAGTATTTCTGTTGGGCGCGGCGAATTTCCCGTCGAAAGTCCTTTCGTGTAGATAGCCCTATGCGGTATTTCTGGAGTGCTTCCTTGCATTCTAGATTCCACCAAGGTTGGCCTCCCCCCTGGGGTCGTGATCTGAGTGCTGAGGCTTCGTACGCACTGTAAACAGCTGAAATAATTGCGTTTGCAAGACAGTCAAGCTCTTCTTCTGTTTCTGCAGTAGTTGGGAGGTCGCTAACGTTCAGAGTTAGGAGGTTACTGAAACGGGAAAGGTCTAATGTGTTGAATTTAAGCCTTTGTTGGGCCTTAGGGTAACTCGGACCCCAAGGGAGAATAGTGAGGAGAGGGCGGTGATCCGATGTAGCATCCAAATAGCTTGCAATCTTAGTACTTGCTCCAGAGAGAGCCAAAGTGCTGGATGCAAAGGTTAGATCAAGAGTATTGCCTTTGTTGTGTGTAGGGATATCTATCTCAGAGATAAATACCAGTCCGGATCTGTCGAGCCATTCGGATACTAGTTCGGCTGAAGTAGAGGGGCCTCGCTGAAACGAGGGCTGCCATCTGCTGTATAGTAGGTTGAAATCTCCTGCTAATAAGATTGGCTGAATAAAGTAGGAGTCAGGGAGTTTTATGAGTTCCTGAACGGCTCTGCCGGGCCTGATCGAGAGTCCAGGAGTGGGAGCATTATAGATATTTAAAATCAGGGTAGACTGCCCTGAGCATGCAGCGATTTGAAGAAAAAGGAGATCTGATAGTGCTTCTTAGTCGATTGTATTAGGGCGAAGCTGAGAGGATTGTATACCCTTTCCCTTTCGAATATAGGTAAGGACTCTGGGTGGGCCGCTCGATGCCCAGCTGTCAGTTGGGGAAAAACATTCGTATGAAGGATGTCTTTTGGTAATCTTGCGGGTAAGATCCTTATATATATAAGGTTCCTGTATCAAGATAATGTCGATATTGTTAGAAAATGCCTGGGATAGGGTAATTTCATGAGCTGTAGCGCCGCGGCCTACATTCAGCTGGAATATCGAAAGAGAATCTGTCTGAAAGTTCTGAAATCTTATAGTTTTTCATTCGATAGAATTCCAAACTGATTTTGTAGTGGTGGTGTAGCAAAACGGACTGCCTTAGCTGTAACTGGAGGGGAGTCTGCTAGTCCTTGTTGAGGGGAAGTAACTGGGCGGGATAGTAAAGTTATAGGATAGCTATCGATAGACATATCCTGATCTTGCGAGGCCCCGGGGGTTCCAGTTTCAGGGGCTGCGGGAGGTCGGGAGCAACATTTGCTCTCAGTCCTTGCCTTAGAGAGTAATGCGGAGCAGGTCTTTCGGGTCTCAGCCTGTTGGGCCTTTGTAAAACGAGAACCTGGCTTGCTAGGCCGGAGTAGGCATTGGTCATAGTCTGCTGGGTGAGGGCCATGGCAATGTAGACATCTTGGAGGACAGGTATGAGAGGCTGCAGCAGCGCAGTAATTGGTATGGCCTTCCTCAGTGTGTTGTGTAGAGCCGCAGAGGCGGCAGCGAGGGTTACGTGCGCACGATTTAGAGTTATGCCACTTCCAGCAACTATTACATTGCAGGGTCTTGACCTTTCTAGATAGTAGTTGGGCGTTTGTAATCATCCCAAACAAAGATAATCGTACAGGTAGTTTGACTTTGCTTTCTTCAGAGAAGTTAATAAACCAGCTTGAAGAGATTGTGTTTGTACCCGAGATACTAGCAGCAGTTTCAGTTACACTGGCTGGAGTAAGACCAGTAGCTTCAGCTACTTCAGCTGATAGTATCTCCGGGTTAACAGGGACCATAGAGTATTGACTTGCATTGAGCTGGCCGACCTTTCTTGGTATATTTGTTACGCGGTACGAGATCCATCGGGAGCTTCGCTCGATCTGGCAAGTAGTAAAGAAGGTAGAAATAGCTTCTTTCTGTGCCTCTAGGGCTGCCAGAGCTTCGGGAGATAAAGGCAGGAGGGCAAATCCTGTCTTAATAGACTGGACGCCCTTGAGGGCCTTGTTATTGGCACCTAGGTGGGAACGGAGGCTAGTGTAGATAGCGTATGCGTCCATATTTTTGGCAAGATGGTTCGGCGGGAGGCGTACAAAGAGGCGTGAATCGGGCTGCTGGTTTAGGGCAGGAATTATAGTCTTTTGCTTGGCCCTAGGCTGGGATGCGGTAGGACCTTTAGCATTAGTTGTTTGAGTGACTGTTGCGTACGTCGATTGAGCAAGACCGGAGGGGGGACGAGAAGGAGGGGGAGAAGGGGGAAGGGGAACAGGGGCAGGGGCAGGGGCAGGGGGGTTCGCAGTCAAGGTCAAAGGAATACCGCTGATATAGGCATTGAAGTGTCGTTGGGCTATATCAGCTAGGTCATTGCTGAGCGCGTCAAGCGCATTTTGCTGATGAGGCGCAAGGCCTGGCAGGCTCCGGTATTTGTCAAGAAAGGCTGCTATTGGATTGAATATCTTCTGGCCTTCGGTAGCCCTAGTAGAGGCTGCAGTAGTTGTCTTCAGTAGAGCAGCCTGTAGAGGCCCGCCTGGTTGGGAGTTGTGTGTTGCCATTTTAGCGACACGTGTCCCGTGGCGGTCAGATTGGGTGAAGCTTGGCCGTGGACGGGTGTCCCTGATCCCGGGCACGGTGCCCGGAATGAGAATGAGATATGAGTATTCGAAAGGGCTCTTGTAGATATATTCTAAGCGCGATGCCTAGAGTCGGTTGAGTGGGCGTTGGGATGAAAGTCGATGTGATGACCGAAGGTTAGGGACTATGCAGGCAAGGCCGCGAGCTTTTTGAAAGACCTGTTAGTCCTCTGTCACATGACCAGTGGCGGCCCTGCTCGAAGCAGTGAAATTACGCAGATTCTGTTTCAGAATACTTCAGGTACTCAAAGGAATCTTTTCCTTCACCCAGAGACCAAGCTATTCGTGATCAGGCTAGTATATTCCAAAACTTTCAGCAGGACCGGAATCGAAAAGGACGCGTTAAGAGTGATCCCTTCAGGGATTTCATGGCTTTTGTTATTCTATTTATTGATTATTGAGCCATTCATTCGGTCCCTGATTCTTGAGGTAAACGGGGCTGCATTGAAAAGGCCGGAATTATTATGGCTGAATTTTCGAAGCCCTAGGTCCAGCCGCAGATCAAACCCGGACGATAACCCAAAGGAGAACACGAGAAAAGCGCTAGCAATCAGACCTCTCGATGGCCGGGCCCTTTCAGCTGCAATGCGGGCATTGACTAATACCTTAATCGGTCAGCCAATCGGAATCGGGGCTTGGAGACATCTTGCACAGGCCCTGATCCGGCATAATCTGGGGGATATAGCCCTGGAGGATCCGGGTGAAGATCTCGATCTGGAAGGTCTAGGGGCCATGCAAATGCACCATTCTCGGCAGACAGGTCTCATGGTCTATGGCCGGCAGAATTCGGCCTTTTCAAAAATCGGCTCGACACTGCAGGAAGCGCAGATTGAATTCAGCCAGCGCTGGCATGCTTACCTCGGCCTAGGGCCAACCCAATTGGACCTAGTGCCCTGCCTTTCGGCCGGGAACGATCCGTTACCTGCGGAATCGATCCCGGTCTCTCTGCCGGACCCCCGAGTCCCTATCCTGCCTCTCGGGTCACCTCTGGTGCAATACCATATGCCGAGATCGGATCAGAACCCTGCGAGATCAACTCGTCCGGTCACGATAGGGCAATTTCATCGATTTCTATCGCTTTACCCTGCGCCGAAAGTGAATGAATTCGGAGATGAATCAGAATTTGCAAGCCCTAATCTGGATCAGAGCCAGATGGTTCGAATGCCGGAAAAACAAAGCAATCAAGCATTTCAGGACCCGGATTTATTGTTCCATATATGGCAGGAATTCATGCAAAATGATCAGGTGACCTTTTTCAGCCCAGAACAAGCCCAAGCCCTACATCTATTCCTATCCAGGGTACCTTACCTGATCATGATCCCACCTACTGCCGGTGGCAAAACCACACTGTTCCTGTTAGGGGCTAGTCTGGCCACCAGTAGGACCACCATCCTCGTGGCCCCCCTGGTCGCCCTGAAGCAGGATCTGCATCAAAAGGCGTTAAAACTTGGGCTGTCCGTTGGGGTTTACGAAGAGAACCCGGAATCCACCTCTGAACCAAGCCCGAGTCGCATTCTATTGATTTCAATTGAATCGGTAGCTACCCCTGCATTTTTTTCATATGCCAAAGCCCTCATTGCAAAGAATCAATTAGATTATATCATTTTTGATGAATGTCACCTGATCCCTTTGGCGAAAAACTATCGGAAAGTCATGAATCGGATTCGTCAGGTGACCTGCCTACCTGCACCAATGGTGTTTGCCTCGGCAACCCTGCCTAGTCACCTAGAAAGGGACCTTCTTCAAACCCTAGGGTTGATTCATCCGTTCCGAATTCGGGCTAATATCAATAAGCCTTCTTTATTTTATGGAGTCAAACAGGTCCCTACTGGTATTGATCTTGATATGGCAGCGCTAGATCTGATCCGGCACTTTTCGGAAAGATATCCCGATCAAAAAACGATCATTTTCTGCATGTCAAAAAGAATGGTCGAAAAGATTCACGAAAAAAATGATCTGATTACTGCATATTTTCACGCGGACCTTCCTGATGCTTGTGACGGTCTACAAAGGAGCTTAGTATAAAACAAGTTTGTTTCTGACTCGTAGTCAAGGAATTTTCCCATGGAGAGGAAAGGCTATCTAGGAGCGAGGATCCAGGCCTCTATGTACTGCCAGAGGTTCTGCCTCAGGCAGGACTATATCCAGGAAGGTTTCTGCATACCGGGAGGTTCGTTGGCTCAGGAAGTCAATCCAGGAAGTTAATTCAGGAAGTTCCCTGATTTCAGGAAGTCACACTGTATGCGAACCTCATGCTCTAAGTCTTCAAAGGCGATGACCTCGCGGGCACTGTCTTTGAATACGGTATACTTGAAACCGGAGAAAGAGCCGGCCGCTTTTGCCCCGTTCGCGTCCATCCCAACTACGGAGGACCTGGCCAAGCTGCAGACGCTCACGGAGATGATAAGTGGGCAGATGGTCTCGCCCAATCCTAGGTATGCTAGTCCATCCATAAAACAAGTTTGGGCTGCGAGAGACCGCGGTTTCTGTAAATACGAGGCTGACTGACAGCAGCTAGATGGGACTGGTCCAGTACAATTTTCAGACCAACCCCTGCAATCTATAACATAATTGTGCAAAAGTTCGCCAACGGCTCGGAACTTAAAACTATTCGATCTGTGGAAGCAGGAGCCCTCTCGCTGGGCATGCAGCCGATTTCGCACGGCACTATTACTGCAGGCGATAAGCAAGGCGGGAATGCACTGGGTTTGAGTAATAACCCGCAGACTTGATTTGTCGTGGATGCGGGCTGGAATAAGGCAGACGATAAAAGGGTGCACCGAGCAATGCGCTCATTTGCCGACGGCATTAAAGACAAGGCGAAAGAAAAGGGAACGTATCTGCCATATATCTTTATAAACGATGCCAGCTGGGATCAGGATGTGCTTGGACATTATAAACAGAAGAATGTACGGCGGTTAAAAGCGGTGCAGAGAAAATATAACCCGGAGAGAGTATTCCAGAGGCTTGTTCCAGGAGGGTTCAAGTTGATGTATGGCCTGGTATTGTGGATGCCTTATTAGACAGGACAGATTGTTTCCCTGTGCTTGCTATACAGTGTGCGAGAACGAGATTCTATGTTTATATCTTATTATTCATTACGCTTGATATGGCCTTTAAAACACATTAGATGTTAAAGGAGAAGCACAATATATGATAATTGGTGTTATTCTGATAGAGGCAATCAAAAATGGCTAAATATGGCTCTTTGGCCGACAATCTTGCTACCACAGCCCGCACAGCAGTATATAATGAGTACAAAATCGCGCAAACAATTCAACAATTAATGATCATTCGCACGAATCTTTGGCAAATGGTAAAAATTTTAAACAGCACTAATATCCTCCAATCTATCTCTAGTTCTTTAGGTCCGTAACCAGCATCTGTCCACTATCCTCGAAAGCCGTAGCCGTCAACGCTTCCCGCAGCAGCTTGCGATTCCGATACAAGAACCAGTGGTCCCCGTCAACTTCGATAAGCTTAAAGCCCTTAGCATAACTTTTCCATGCAGCGACCTCTTCCGGGTATACCATGTCATCCTGACGGGCTGTAACTCCCGTGACGGTTGTATCCAACGGTTTCTCCTCCCGGAACTGATACTTGAGCAGCAAAGGCGCGTCCTGCCTCAACTGGGGCAGAATGGTACGCACAAAGTCGGCGTTGTCCACATATCGTGCTACAGCGAGGAGATACTCAGGGCTGATATCGTCACGGAAAGATTCGATAAGGACATCTCGCTTTTGCCAGGTGCTGATCCGATGTGGCGCGATAGTGCCGGTGACGAAAAGGCGTGATAACGGCTTCCCCTGTTTCCGGAGAGCACGAAAGACTTCAAAGGCAATAATACTTCCGAACGAATGACCCCAGATAATATGAGGGATCCCAACCACCTTCTCCATATCCGCCAGGAGACTGAGAACGATCTCAGAGACACTGGCTGCAGGGGGCTCGTCAGCGCGGGTCTCAAGACCAGGCAGTTGCACGGCAATCGGATCTAGCCCTTCTGGGGGATCCATCAGGAAGGGAGCGAAAAGGGATGCGCCGACACCCATGGAATGGAAGCATAGAACGCGAGGACAGCCGCAATTGACAGGATTACCGCGAACAAACCAGGGCGATAGAAGTCTGATCAGCCCATCGTAAGGTATAAGTTCAGACTGGTTCTTTACGGTACCATTTGGGCCTGCTGTTGCCGGTTTATCGTTACGGGAAAGGCCGTCCAAATCTACAGCAATTTCATGCAGACTTGGTCCCTGGAAAAGTTTGATGAGGGGATATGGCACTCGGATCTCTTTGAGGATCAAACTCCTCACCTGGGTGAGGGTCAGGGAGTCGAACGAATATTGATCGATCTTCTCGGTCGTAATGATACGATTAGTGTCTACTTCTAATATTTTTGCCAACCCCTATTGCAATATGTCAGTGATCGCGTTGATTCGCTCTGGACCAAAGAGTTGAGATGGAAGCCGATTAGACTTATCGCTTCCATCGGTCTCCTGCTGTTTGTCCAATCCACAATAAGCACCATCCACGGCTAAGTGGGGATAGGCTTTAAGGAACATTGATCAGTCGATGCTTGCAGCTAGAGTCTGGGCCGTACCATTAATAACAGCGCGTTCGAATGCAGACAAAACACGTGCGAGGCTCAATGCGGATTGTCCTTCCGATTCAACCAGACGCATTATAGACTTATTCTCATTGGAGACACGAGACATGCTTGCATAATCTCCCAAAACTCCGAGATTCAGCGATACTCCGGGCAGACCAGACGCACGACGATGGTGTGCCAGCCCATCAAGGAACTGGTTTGCTGCCGCATAGGATAACTGGCCGTGCCCTGCCCAGACACTACTGATAGACGATATGAGGACGAAAAAGTTGAGGTTCATCCCTTTTGTTGACTGGTGCAAGTTCCACGCGCCTTAAGCCTTAGGGAAAAAAACAGACCGGAATCCATCTGTTGTGACATCGTGGGCAGCAGCTGCTGTTAGGACGCCGGCGCAATAAATAATACCTGCTACCGGGGGCCAGACTTTCTGTTGGTGAAGGAGATGATGAACCGTTTCCGCGTTACTAATATTACCGATCTTGATGTAGATCTTAGTCCCTCGACGCTGCATATATGATAGTACCGCGTGATCTTCGGTTGACTTTGGGCCTGACCTGCTGACTAGGACGAGATGTTTCGCTCCCCGATCAGCCAGGAACTTAGCCAAGCGCAGTCCTAACCCACTGGAACCACCAGTTATGAGATAGGCTTGGTCGCTGTCCAATTTTAGTTGCGTTAGTGGTGCTGCTTGGACGTCCACCCCATGGGGCATTTCTACCGCGGCTTTGCCCATGATGGAAGACCGTGAGAGCTCCTTTAGCACCATTGGTAGCGCGGTAATCTGATGCGTAATAACAGATGAAGGTATTAATTAACCGTTATTGAATAGCTTGTACACCTCGCTTATGAGCCGACGGTGTAAAGCTGGCTTTTGTCCCGCCAACCGGTCCACGTCTATGGCAAAGAAGGAACTATTCTGTCCGAATTGCTCCAGGCCCATCCTTATATTTCGATAGATGTCTGTTTTGCCAATTTCTAAGAACCGCCCGAACCGGGCAAGGTACGCCACTGACTGTGAGAACATAGCTCCGGCGAGACAATTCAGCAAGACATCAATACCCCGGCCGTCTGTAACCCGCTTAACCTCATCATGGAACGATAGAGAACGAGAATCGAAGACTGTTTCAGCTCCTATGGTAGCTACCTCGGCTCGTCGAGAAGGTGTTCCAGCCGTTGCGTACACACGAGCCCCAACGAGTTTCGCAATTTGGATCGCTGCGCTACCTACGCCATCAGCTACTGAATGGATCAGAACGGTCTCTCCGGCCGTGAGCCGCGCGAGATACACGAGGCCGTAGTACGCTGTAAAAAAGGTGATCTGGACGGACGCGGCCTGAGCAACAGAAAGAGACGAAGGAATTGATAGAACGAGATCTTCCTTACCAACAGCATACCCTGCAATGCCATTGGAGACTCGCGCCATAATATAATTGCCGCACTGGATGCCGCTCACATTCTGACCGACCTCTATGACTCGCCCGGAAACCTCCAGGCCTAGATTCCGGCCAGTCAAACCACCCGAAGCTGCTCGATTGCCCAGGAGGCCCATTGCATTCATAACGTCCTTGAAATTCAAACCCGCCGCATGAACTTCAATTCCAATTTCATCGGTATCCAACTTGGAGAAGGACTGCTGTCGGAGAATAACGTTATCTAACGAACCGCTTGCGTCTGGCTCTGCTTGGTACTTTCCTCCTCGTGCAGGGAGTGACCTTTGATTCCGTTTCACTTCCTGATCTACATCAAGAGGTACTACCCGCCTTGCGAAACAGCCTTTTGAGCGAAACGCAACTACTGTTTTATGGCGACCTACTCTAACCGTTCGCAACTCTGCCTCTAGAGATGAAATCTGCTGGTCGATCAGGTCAAGGGCGAGATCGATTATGCGAATCGAGGCGAAAGGCAGCTCATTTGAGATAACACGAGCAGCTGCCTCCAGTGAAAAGGCCAAGGGATTGCATCCCGTATCCTCGGGGGTCATATACGCCCCCTAAGTAAGTACAATTACCATGCAACTCGCGTTCTGCGCGTGAATCCAAGATGCGACACGGCTGAATGTCTTTATTACAGCATCCAGACCGCTGGATAGATGCGTCTCTGGTAGTCCCGACATTAATGCCGGCATGACAAGGAGTGCCCGCCGATCTAAATTGAATCCCCATTGAGCGGGTTCCCAGGCGGCCTCCAGTGCATCCAACTCCTTCTGGTAAACGCGTGAACTAGGAAACGTTTTTTGGATCACAGATCCAAGCCAGTGGAACTGATCGCCTATTGGGTCCACCAGCAAGACATATTTATAGTCCGCCTCTACTTTGCTCAGTCGCTCCTCCCTCTCTCTCTCTTGGTAGAATTGTACCTGGTATTCTACCTCCCTAAATGATGATTTGCCCTGGAGACGCGTCAATACGCAGCCAGTCAGCTTCGCAACGAGCTGACCACCCTCTCCATAGACCGATATTTCGCACTCAAGGACTTTAGTGTCATGACGATGCATCTGGATATGCGCGAAGGCCGTTCTGATAGGGTAGTCATTCATCAAGACGAACGTTCCGATATAACTGGGTAAATACATATAGCTAGGGTCGGAAACGTAGTATTGATAAGCAAACACTGTATGAAGACAAGCGTCGAGCAAAGCCGGATGCATTTTAAACCGTACTGCCTCTTCAGCCAACGAAGAGGGTAGCTCGACCATTGAGAAGACTTCTTCGCCCAGTCGCCAAAGCTTTTTGATGCATTGGAATGCTTCTCTATAGCGAAGGCCTGCCTGCTCGACTGTCTGGTAGAAGGCTTTGATGTCAACTTCAGTCTCTGACTGAAGACGGACCCTTACGCTCTCCAGGGCTTCTGGATTCGTCTCGGGTGGCTGATCGCGCGCGTTAATCCGAGCTCGGGTGCAGACTTTCCCGGTTTTTGTCGGGTTTGCATTGGCCTGTTTAGTGCTTATAATGAAGTCATTGGCAGGACTAGTGATTTCAAGCATTACCTGGGTAGGAAAGTCTTCTGGCGCCGCTAGAACGACGGGCTGCTCAAGTTGAATATCCTCCAACCAAACCTTCTGATGAGGCAGATATTTGCTTGCCGCCAGGTATGCCATCTCAGCCTGTCCAGTCATCGGGAACACAATTGCTCCATCGACTACATGATCCGTTAGGAATGGTGAAACGCCGGTGTTGAGTCGAAGATGTAACACGCCCCGTCCGTCATCAGTCAGGCTGGTCGAGTCTCCCATAAATGGATGACGTGACTCTGCTAGCCGGGCCTGCTCATATTTGGGATGCTCGAACCAGTACTCTTGTCTTTGAAAAGGATACAGCGGCAGGTCAATAAAATGGCCATCCCCACCATTGAACGATGATAGATGAGCAGGGAGGCCAACTGCGTATGCACAACCGACGACACAAGAGAGTGGGTCAACATCATTCTTACGGACCATTGCAGGAAACAGGTGGATTTGCCGTTTAGCAGCCTCTGCTATATCCTTGGTTCCGGAGATCAGCACTGGGTGCGGCCCGACCTCTACCAAAAAGTTCAAGCCGTCCTCAATCATTCTAGAAGCTGTCTCTACGTAGCGAACCGGGTTCCGTATGTTCCTAAACCAATAATCCCCGTTTATATGCGCCCCTGACCCGACGGATGCTGTAACGGTGGAGTAGAGGTTGATTTCAGTACGTTTCCCCCTAATTGGAGATAAGGCCGTGACAAGCTCGTCTTTTAGCGGATCCATGAAGCGACTGTAATAAGGGGTATCTACTTTGACAAAACGAGCAAATATGTTACGGTATTCCAGGTCGTTTGCGATTCCCTCCAGGTCGGTAACCTTGCCTGTAAGAGTAGTCATTTTTGGGCCATTGAAACCTGCGATCTCCACTCCATCATCAATCTGGAAGCGCTGAAGTAACTTGTCAGCCTCTTTTCCTGAGATCTTTACGGCTAACATTGAGCCCTCCCCAGCGGCTTTACTTTGAATCTGAGACCGAAAATAGATCACGGCCACAGCTTCCTCTAGGCTTATTGCGCCAGAGATATGGGCCGCGGCAATCTCTCCGATCGAATGTCCCACATAACTGTATAGTACGATACCGTACAATATCAATGTTCTGGCTAGCGCGATCTGAATTGCTGCGATCGCCGGCTGAGCTATAGTAGTCTTATTCATGTTGGTCGAGTCATTGGAATAGCCAAATATTTCAGCCACGATAGAAAAGTGCGCCAAAGATGCGAAAATATCGTCGAAGGCAGCCAGATGCTCGCGAAAAATAGATTGTTGGTACGCCAGCCGTAGGCCCATCTTAAGCCATTAGCCGCCCTGGCCGGAGAATACAAAGGCAACTTTAGGGGATGTACCCGATAGCTTATGGAGTGCCACGGTTGCCTTGGATAGTTTGTTGGAGGCGAGCAGATCGAGTTGCTGGCAGAGATTGTCCAAACCGTTGGCTGGGACAATTGAGATTTGGGTATACTGATCTCGGCGCATGTTCAGCGTGTATGCGACATCTTGTATAGAAGGCCTCTCTGAGCGCAGGTGGATCGCCAGGTCTTTAGCGGTATGTGCTAAGGCAGATAGTAATTTGGCAGATAGAATAAACACGCGCGCTGCCTCAGCTTTCTTCATGCATGTGCAGGTACCATCTGGTGCTTGCTCCAGTATGACATAGGCGTTGGAACCTCTAGCCCCAAAGGAATTCACACCGACCAACCTCTTCTGGTTGTGGTCACAGTGTAACTGAATTCGCTTACTGGGTACAGCCAATCGCAGTGACTTAAAATTGATAGAAGGATTTGGCTTTATGTGGTTGACCTGTGGAGGAATTTCGCCGTAGAAAACGACGAGAGAAGCCTTTATGAAGGCAACAATCCCGGCAGCTCCCTCCAGGTGACCAAAGTTCCCTTTGGATGACCCGATCCAAAGGGGTTCATCCTCGGATCGGCCCTGCCCCAGTTGGTTTCCCAGGGCATTGGCTTCGATAGGATCGCCGACGGACGTACCAGGCCCATGGGCCTCCACATACTGGATCTTTTTGGGGTCTATACTCGACTGTGCATAAACAGTTTTCAATAACCATGCCTGCGCGGCAAAGCTTGGAACCGTGAACCCGTCTGGTGTGTATCCGTCCTGATTGACGAGAGAGCCTCGGATGCAAGAATAGATGCAATCGTTATCTCGCTGTATTTTGCTGAGGGGCTTCAGGTATACAATTCCCGCACCTTCACTGCGAACGTAGCCGTTTGCTGACGCGTCGAATGGCTTACAGGACCCATCTGGAGACAGGAACCCGGCCTTGGACATCAGGATGGTCGGCTCTGGCCGAAGAATAGCATTCACTCCTCCGGCTAGGGCCCCATCGCTTTCCTGTGTCCAGATGTTTTGACAGGCGAGATGCAGCGCCGTTATACTGCTTGAACAGGCCGTGTCAAACGTAACGCTGGATCCCTACAAGTTGAGCCGATGAGATACGCGGTTTGCCGTTGCGCATAGCGAGGATTACATGGCCACATGAGGGCTGATGTTATCCCGATGCTCCGTGGCCGTCTGGATAGTGAGATAATCATACATGAAGGTACCCAGGAAAACGCTAGTTTTTGAGCCAGACACTGTCTCGAGACGTGTGCCGGAGTCCTGTAGGGCATGGACACTCGTTTCCAGTGTAAGGCGCTACTGGGGGTCAATTTTGGAGGCCTCCACTGGATAGTAGCCGAAGAACTCCGCATCAAATGATTTGATGTCATCTACGAAGCCGCCTTTGCGGTTTCGAATCACCCCGGACTTTTGTGGGTCATGGTCATAGAAAGAGCTAAAGTCAAACCGGTCTTTGGGGACATCGCCCACAATGTCCATGCCTTGTTGCAACGTGTCCCAGAATTTCTTTATCGTGGAGATGCCTCCAGGAAAGCGGCAGCCAATACCGACAACGGCAATTGGTTCACGAACTGTAAAATCCATGATTCCTTAGATGGATGGTTTATTGCAAGGTATCCGATAAGGATGAGTATCGAGTTATTGTATACTCGTTAAAGTGATTGGGAATTACCAATGAATGATTGAGTTTCGGAGTTTGGAAATATGCACTCGTTTTATAAGCGTTAATCCCATTGCCAAGGTATCACATGCCATATATCTTGATGTAAGGGCATTTATTTCCAACTGGAAACATGACCGAGTATGCCTGTTTAAGGAGGTTGCTCCCCTTTCTTCGAATCAATCTATCGATTAGTTTTTACCGATTCTGTTAATACCAACTACCGCCAAAGTGTGTCTTGTATAACTTTATCATTATTTACCTTAGTCAAGACATGCTGTATTGATAATCTAAACTAGATAAATGGCTGCCCTAAACTTGTTTCTGCGACTAGGTTTCGGGGCTGGAAGCTTTGCTAGGAACCTTAATCAAGTGGCGATCAAACGAAAGCCCACCTTAACTCACTGGCAGGATCATTGATCCCCTTACGACAGAAATTGCTTTTGGTTCGCTGGGGTTATTTACTCCTAAACGCTACTATTCGCAGCCACGAAAACTGTATAGGTGTGCTCTATCGCAACAAGCTCCAAGACTCCAATATGATTATTGATCCGCTTTACTTCCGCTCCTTGTACTACACAGGAAGGAGCGGTCTATCAGCCACTGGTAAAAATGCCGCGGTCTTTCCTATCTGGGACGAACGCAGTAGATAGGACTGAGGCATGATAGGGCCCATGCGGGAAGATTATCCTTCGTGTAACGTTAGGACACGCGATGATAGGTTCCATGTAGTCCCCAGCCTGCTATTTTGCCATTTTCCATTTTGGCCTGCAAGGCCAGATAAATATGGTATCTTTGCTTGACATTCTATACGCTAGAGTATGAACACACACATACATATCTGTACAGGCCTGACCTGACAAGATTTCCGAACCAGCAGCAAAGTGTCGAGACAAGTAATAATCGTGAGAACATCGATGCCTAGGGTCGTAGTATTCGTTGTCGTGACGTGCGGATGGGAGATTGTTAACTTAATAGGGTTCTACCTGGGTTGGTTCGGTACTGCCCAGGAGAAAAGGACATTCAGGTCATGGAGAGAGTCCAGGTTCGTTGCTGCATCAGACAAGAATTTTGATTGATTTGATTGATTGATTGATTGATTGGCACGCGGATGTCCTTGTCAAAGGCGCACGTTTTACCCGGATGCAGTCGGTGCTGACCAATGTGTAATCCATTATTGGATTTAATGATAATGTAGGTGTCGTTGTTGTTGTCTAGTACGTAATGGTACAAGGGTTCAAATTTCAAAATAACAATGCCCATAAAGCCCCAACTGTTTGCAAGTTTAGCTGGAGTTAAGTTTCTGTAACCTATATAGTTATTGTTCTAAGATCTGCTGAAACGCCATTTATATTCACTTCTGATCGGTCCATTTAATAGTACCTCCCATCCAATAATTCGGATATTCTCCAGGCGTGAAAAAAGTGCCGAAATCTGCATGTTCGGCTCTTACCAGTATAGGTATGTGTCGGTTGACTTGGTCATTGCCCTAAGCAGATATCCTATCGATTCAACTGAATATAGGTATATGCTCGGTGGGTAAAGGTGAAGTGTCATTCTAAACTACAATCTGCCTAGCTATTTATAGTTCCCTTTGTTTACACCTATGCATTCCTGATCCCTTGGTATGCCATTTGGAATGATAGGCCAAGCCTAGGCCATGCAAGGTGCTGTATGGTATGTAGGTTAGGCCAGGATCCTCCACCTCCCTAGTCTGGTTGACAATATCGTTCCAACAGTATGATTAAGCGTGCCTCATTAAGCCTCGATACATTTCATGTCAAATACAAGAGATTTTCAAATTGGCGCGGGACTCTACAGACTGGGCTGGGTGCCTTATTATGGTATCCATTTATAATCCCGCTAAGGAGCATGATTACTTGCTCACTCATTTACCATTCCTAACAGAAAACACAAAAAGTAGGAATTAATTACGGGCCGTAAAGAAATAAGGCAATTACCCAGGTTGACCACAGAAGTTGTAAAGTTGCAGACTTGGTCAGCGTAATGTTAGTCAGAGAACGATATTCATGCATGTCTAGCATCTTTTATAACTAACAACCGGCTGCAAGAGCATAGGATCAAATACCCGGGGACTTGGATTTATGCAGGGTAACTCATTCCAGAAGACAACATGTGTTAACCTTCTCAAGTGGTTTCTTATAGGCACGGACTACCATGGCCCTGCGCATGTCCTGATTAGGTCAATGATTGTGGCTTCTGAGTTTAGCCTTGTTGCGAATAGTCAATATGCACCATATGTCTCCACTTGAGACCCTTGCGTTTGGTTAATGCAAGTTGCCAAAAGTGTCAATTGTCTACCTCATTACCTTCCAGACCTACCTTTGTACAGCCGTACAGCCCCTTTACAACAAATGAAGCAGTAGAGGTTCATTTAATTTACGTAACTTTCAATTCTCTAACTCGGTGTCGTTCTATAGCTGATAGGCTCTTCCCTGGGATATGTCCTGGCTAGCGCGGGCGCTAAATTAGCCGTCTAACTTCACGCAACGCAAGTGTTTGTGTACCGGTTAACCTTGATCTCGAAAGGACTTGCTCTAATGGGGCTAGGCTGAGGCCTGTACTACCTACGATAATGCTAAGGTAGTAAGAAAAGGGTTGGTTTCACTGTCGAGCAGACTTATGTATTGGTTGGTGGTAGATGTTTCTCGCTAGCTAGTTAAAAAGGCAAGGGGTGTCATTTTTTATCCATAATAGTATATGTAAAAAAAGTCTTACCACATATACTATGTAACTTGGCTATGCCTACCTTGATTCTCTGTGTGACGAACGGCTACACTGACGATAGGGAATCGCGAGAATGTAGGGTATGCATTTGACGAGGAAACTAAGCTAAGTTATGAAGCTATTCAGGAGCTGGTTGCGATATGTGTGACAGCTCTAACGCTAGTCCTTATCGGGGAGTTAGGTTATAGGGTATCGCGAGGAAGGTCCTCGGAGGCAGGTCACAGTCCGTGATATCAGCTACTATCAGATACGAGAAGACTGACTGTTCTTCCAGCTGCTCAACCTGACGTTAAAACCAAAACCGAACAAACACCTGCAATACCAAGATTCTTGTTGCGGTTGCACCAAAAACTTATTATCGCAATAACTATAATCGGGTTGACAAAATCGTTTCTGGAAGTCGGTTTAAAATCTAAATTTTGAAACCTGTAAAAGAAGTAATTTGATCTATAACCATTTACAAACAGCTCGTCAAATTGATTGTTAGTTAACTGGAGGTAATGACGAGATAATCGACGATAAAAGCTTCTTCTTGGGCTTCTTCTATGTCAATCGACATCAGCTACGAAACATCATTGATAAACGATTCTAAGTTACCAGTCGTTATCACATTAGATATACTGCGAACACTTGTTCTTTCTTTCAGATATACCATAGAGACCGTTCATGATGAAGACGAATGCTAAGGACACTACGGAAATAGCCCACTGCTATCCGTGACAGATTTGCCCATGAGGACTAGGATAGCTTTGCCCACAAACTCGAATGTTTGTCGTGTTAGAGCAAGATCTTGTTACCACACTGGCCATAACAGAGGGACGACGATAATTCTGTCGCTGTAATCGTACTAGGGATCACAAGGCAGGCACATTGTTTGATCTGTCCCTTTATGAAAATGAGAATGTAAGCTGATAAAATATTCCGCTGTCCATGAAGGAGAGTTGGCAGTGCCGAGCCCGAAGAGGTCCAGACACAAAATTCTAAGTTACCATTGGCGCGCAAAGTATTTACGGACTGAGTTATGATCAATCAGCCAGTAAAGAATACTAAGTTGCACAAATCCGGCCGTCTGATAAACCAGCGACAAGCGACGACTATTACCTGATCAACAGAAGGAGAGTATCCGCAATCTGGAAGGTACGCCCATCTACTGGATACTTCAATCAATCATCAATCAATCAAAATTCTATTAACCTGATGGAGCCTATCTATTGAAACGACAGGCTATGCAGGCGCTTCGCCGAATAAAGCAGAATCTCGAGCCCTTACGCCATATAAACCCACAAACGAAGTAGATAAATCATAAAATAACGCAACTAAACCGGCTGCCACTCGCCTGCAGCCCATTACGTTTCCTGACGCTGTTTCTTTTTCTGCCTCGTTCTATATAGGTGATTCGTGAGTGGTATGCGTCACTGGTAGCGGCCTGACCCAGGCCGCCCCCTAAGGTTCCATGTAACTATCGTCTTCCTCGCCTAGCTCGAGTCCTTCTAGCAGGTTGGTAGGTTCTGGAGCCTCCTCGTTGTTCTCTTCGTCCAATCGAGCGAATTAGAATTGTTGAAGGAGGCCTGTTTGTTGTATAAATTCGGTAACGTAGCGGATCGCCTGCGGGTGTAATATAACTGTGTCATAATCCTGTATACGTTTACGCAGTCCTTTTATCTGATTGAAATAATTTATTATTATCCTCCGGCCGGCCGTATGCAGCGAGCACTCTAGAAAGACGTGTCTAGGGGTCTAGGACCCTAGGTTACAGGCGCACCGATCGGAGTCAACCTGTTTGATTTTGTAGAGGAAGTGCCTTAATCCTATCCTTATAGTATGCATCTGAATAATAATTAAGGTGTGCGGCTTACTGAGATACTCGTAAAGCTGTAAATTCTTTTTGTTTAGTTTAGGTAGCAGCTGCCTCGTTAGCTTACCTATTTTCTGCCTTTTCTACTGTTCTGTCCACTCTATACGCAAGCGTTGGCAAACGTCTCTTTTAGCTGCAGCTGCAAGCCGTATAATTAGTCGATCTTGCGGCTTTACTGAATTTAATTTAACTCCCTTTATCGCAGTTTCCTTGGCTGCCTTGTCCGCCCTTTCGTTTCCCTCTACCCCGATGTGAACGGAGATCTAACGTAATTCAGCATCCTCTAGGCCCTTGCTCTGCAGAGTCCTGATCCTCTCGTAGATAGCCCACAATGCGTACTGGCCCGATGGTCGGCCAGGGTTGCGCACGGCTTGAATAGCTGCCTGGCTGTCTGAGAAAATCGTGATCGGGATAGGTTTCGACCGATCTAGGGCCATTCGGGCCCCTTCCAATTTTCTCACGTAGACCGTAGAGTCCAGTTCCGTTCCTAGGTGTTTCCTGGCGGTCCTGCCTGCTCGAATAGAGACTGCGGCAGCTCCAATCATTTTCTGATAGCCGTTTCCATCTGTATACCAGATCTGCCGGTCCTCGCGGCAGACTCTATCGTGGGTCTGAACTGCTTTCTCTGCCCCCTTAATGATATACCTGAGGGGTAACTCCCACGGGGCCAACATATGAGCCCGTCTGGATTCCCACTCCTCCTGCCTGCTGCCGTATCCATATAGCGGGCCTGTTTTCTTCCACTTCAGCGCCTCCATCGGAGAGTATCCGGAGGCCTTGAATGCCTCCTTTGACCTTTCCCAGCGCAGCCCCCGGGGGCAGGCCATGGCCGGCCCGGTTTGGATCCGAATAGCCGTTTCTTGAATGGTTTGTTGCATCTGTATTCGCATAGGGAGAAGGTAAAGCTCTACCTCTAGTGCGGCTGAGGCCGTATTACGGAATGCGCTACTGATAAAAATAGCTGCGCGGGTTTGAATTCTCTGAAATTCATTGACCGTCTTCTGGAGCTTCTTGTAGTTGACTGTCTGGCTTATAGGGCTATACCAAACTGTTACCCCGTAGAGCAGCTGAGGGACTACTACTGCTAGGTAGATGCGGCGCATGCTCAGCATGGAGGTCCCCCAGGTCGAGCCTGAGATGCTGCGGAGGGCTTCCAAGGTCCTGTTCGCCTTAGCAAGGGCCTTGGCCCTGTAAGTGTCAAACGAAAGGATCCTATCGAGCCAGATTTCTAGGTATTTGGCGTACTCCACTGGCTTAATGATAAAGCTGGTTGCGTAGTCCTTAATGGGCAGCTAGTCGTGACCAGGAGGTTCCACTGGGAAATCCTAGTTGTCAACCTTTGGGTTCTCTCTCTGTCACGGCTCGGTATAAATATATTCCTGCGATACGGGTCGTTCTACCGCAGGATCAGAGCGAAGCGGGTTCTTGAAATGAATGAGTTCGAACTTATCGGAGGCGAATTTGGACGAATGCTGCCTTGACCATACCGCGGCCTTATCTAGGGCCCTCTCTAGAAGACGCTGGTTGACCGCGTAGCTATCCGAGATGGCCAGGGTAGCAACATCGTCAATCCACCCGTAGGGGACCGTCTTGCCTCCCTCCAGGAAGGGTGGCTGAATCCGAAGGGCCTCGATACCGTCAATTAACAGGGCGCGAATAAGGGGGGTGTTGAATAGGAGGAATAGGATCGGCGATATAGGGGATCCCTGGGGGATACCGGTAGGGGTTAGAATAAGGTTCCTGAGATATCCGGGAAGCTGCAACCTTGTAGATCGATTTGATAGGAAAGATTCGAGCCAGCCAGCGAAAAAGCCGAGCGCTAACATACGTAGATTGTAGAGGAGCCCTATGATTTTACCGCGAGAAAAACAAGCATCCCAGATACGTTTACCTCTCTTATCGCTTCCTTTTCTTCATCGCTTCCTTTTCTTCATCGTTTCCTTTTCTTCATCGTTTCCTTTTCTTTATCGTTTCTTTCTCTATCTGCGTTTTACCCCCGCTGCGCTCCCCCAGCTTCGGGGAAAAGGGGTATTTTGATTGTGTACGCGTTTCCGGGCGCGTACTCTACACGCGGCTTCTTGACGCGTGTGGCGTACTTGCCTTGGTAACACATATTACTGTGTACCATAACAGGCTGGAATGCCTATATGGGCTGCTGTAAATCTAGTTACTAGTTGATAGCTGGTAGTCCGGGTAAGCAGCAGCGTGCTGAAGAAAAAAGTCAGAATGAGAAATGAGCTGTTAGCAGAGATCCATATCTAGGCCTTGCAAAAATGGTGCCTGGGCAGGGATCCTAAAAATGCCAAGCTCCAACTACTAGCAGCAGCTTATATCTAGGCCTTGTAATCATGGCGCCTAGGCCGAAGCTCTAAAAATGCCTAGCATCAGGAATTATCAGCGCACCATCCAGGCAAGAGATGTAAAATATATGCTAAAATCCTCCCCGCGGGGTGACCTTTTGAAAAACTGGTTTGAGGCAATGCGAGAAACCCTTTGAATATCTATCAAAAGGGGGCTTAGGTACTCCGAAAGGAATCAGTGATCGCTAGAGGGATACTGAGATATAAGAATTACCCGACATAAAGCTGTTCTAGTGGAGTGACAGGGCACCCTCGAGTTCAGTTAGCTCTAGGATTGAAGCAGAAAATACTGCCTCAGCAAGAGATAGAACAAAACCTAAGTACTCTCTGGAGTAATGGAAGCTATTAAACCAAGCAGGATAGTAGTTACCGGATGTATTAAAGGCAAGGCCTATACCAAGACCGAACTACTTATTACCTGAACAGGCACAGTGTACCGTTTCAGAGTCTCAAAGTATATAGTGAGAACTGAGCTAGATTAGTAGAGCCTATTACACAAGCAGTACGCTGGCTAGGTAGTGCTGGTGATGGTCTCTACAAGACATAGTCGGCTGCTAGAGGGAGACCACTAGCAGTAACGGGAAACTATCTCCCTGAGGTAGCGGGCCGTAGCATTATAGTGATAACTAGAGGGTACTAGAAAGGTGTGTTTCCAGCTCGTACCTGGACCGTAGCTGTATGGTATTGCCGGCATTTCAACAGATGCCTCTAACTCGTACTTGGACAGCAGCAACGTGGTATCGCCAACATATCCTACTAGATGGGCCTGCGGAGACCCTATGATGGCTCGAGAGGACGGATGCGCATGTCGGTTGGCTTAAAGAGAGAGAGTATTATGCCTGACTCGTACTCAGGTTCCCAGGAGTTTCCTAGCGCGGTATCGCCCATAATACTATTGCCCTTGCGGCTGGCTTAAGGTGCAAACTCCAGAGATGTTTGTAGCAGCAGAACCTTTTGGGTCGGGATTCTGCCAGTAAGGCCGGGTAAATTACTTCCTGAGCAGGAACGCCAGGTTAAAGATAGTATTGGAATCGAACGGACTTGTTAAGGCATTGCTACAGGCGACCGCGAGCCGCCCTACCCCTGTTGTCTCTGGCGCCCGATCAAGTCAATTCAGGATCTAAATGATCAGAGCGAACAGGACCGAGTAGCCAGCGAGCTACTCGACGAAAACAGGGAGGTTTGGAATCAGAAACCTGATATCAAGCGCGTGGCCTGGCTTACCCATCCCTCCAATTACAAGAACCAGAAATCTTCCGCCCTCGTTGTCGAATTCTCTGATCCAAGACATGCAAACGAGGCAATCATGAAAGGGACTATTTGGGCCAGCGATAGCCGGATAACTGTTCTATACGATAGAAACGCGCGGATTCGGCGATACTTCAAATGTCAGCAATATAGACATATAGGAATCGTTTATTCGAATAAAACAACCTGCGGCCTCTGTGCCGAAAGCCACGAGACCCGGTCTTGCGTACAGAGGTCTGCCCCGAGTAGCTAGGGACGCAAATGCGCTGGATGCGGCAAAACGCACGCCGCCTGGTCAAGAATCTGTACGAGGTACGTAGCGGAGCAGGAACGGGTGCAAACTGCAGCTTAATATCGGCAGCCCCTGCACCGCATCCCGCCCTATCTACAGGATTATCCCTCCGTGGGTAGCGACACGGAGACCTCTGGCCCGCCCAACAGCGAGGGGCGGGCTGCGGGATCTGGGGGACAGAGGGAGAGATAGATCCAGTCAACCAGCCGGCCAGCGGAACGGAATCGCTCTACAGTAAGATTTCAAAAAGGATCTATACCGTCATATAGCTCGCAGGAGCTTGTCCCTGTACAGCAAGAAGAAGCCCTGATAGACCTAAGTCCGGAGATAGACGTAGACCCTACCCCGTCCGAGACAGAACCGTCGATTGCCCAGCAAATCAATATGATCAGCGAACCGGAGACGCCCGCACCAGTGACCCCTGCCCCCAGGGGTCGTACCCTGAGCAAGAGGCGCCCCCGCAGCATCACCTTGCGGGCAACGAGGCGAAGCGCTAGACATCAGGTAACGCAGGAAGCTGCCCCCTTTGCCATTTCGCCTGCTACAGGGGACACCCCTCCAGCGAAGAAGACCCGAAGCAAGCAGCCAACCTACCGAGAACGATCAATATCGACTAGTGATATCACTAGCGATAACGCAGTGATAGCCCTCCTAAAATCGCCGGAGGCATCTCTTATCCCTGCACCTACCCCCTCAGAGCATTCGACCACGATCGTCTTGGCCGAGGACAACACGCTTGCCCGCTCAGTATCAAGGAAACGTGCTAGGGACCGTCGCCATGAATAGGCCCCTACACGTGCTTCAATACAATGTAAATCGATCAAAGGACAGGGTAATGGCCCAGTTCCTCCGGGACCCGGCGGTCCTAGAGGCTGATATCATCTTCATACAAGAACCATGGGATAACCCCTTTCAGGATTCAACCTATCATCCAGCTAAAGCAACATACCAGCTTCTATACCCGACACGAACGGATATAGGGGACGAACGGGCACGCGTGTGCCTCTTTATTTCGCGACGAATCGACCTTAATACCTGGAAACATATACCCCATTCGAGGGACATTCAAGACCTTGATCTGACCGATGCCGATGGCAAGCGCTTTCGCATCTTCAATATATATAATCGACCTGCCGAGGTTGGCACCGGCACCTTAGGCTTGGTCAGTGACCTCACTACTAACAATACTAATGACTACGTCCTCCTACTGGGGGACTTCAACCTTCATCACCCGGCCTGGGGCGGCAAGAATGCCGCCCGGGATACCTTTTCTAACCAGTTACTTGACTTAAGCGATAGAAGGTGCCTGGATCTCTGGCTAGAGCCGGGCACCACTACCAGAGACGAAGCCGGAGCGAAAACTATAATTAACCTACTCCTCGACTCGCAGGACCTGACCCCTAGGCTGGTTACCTGTAAGGTTACTGAAAAGATTTACGCAGATTCTGATTACCTACCCATACGGACCCTTATCGACATCCAAACCAAGATTCCGGAGGCGCAGCGGTGCCGCAACTGGAAGGCCTGCAAAGTAAAAGATCTATAAACTTTTGTAGATCTGAACTTACACAGCAAGGCTTTTCCACTTGAGAATAAGCAGCATATTGAACTCGCAATAGAGTTCCTTATTGAAACGGTAAATCAAGGAATAGCAATATTTATTCCGTGGGTACGACCAAGCAAGTGGGCCAACCCGTCTTTCACCCCGGAATGCCGAGAGATGATCAAGATCACTCGTAAATTTAGGCGTACATATACCGAGACCTGCATGGCTATGGGCCCTACCGATCCCACTACGGGGCTGGCCTAGGACCGCTATGCGAAGGTCAGAAACCGCAAAGGAAAAGTGCTGGCGAGGGCCCTACGGCAGGGACACCGGACCTGGGTCAGAAAGGCCACCGAGGCAGGCCCCCGAGGCATGTGGCGCGTGGCCAGATGGGCCAGGAACCGGGACGCCTCCGGGGGACTGGTCCCAATACTGAAAATACCAGATAACGGCCTCGCAGAAACTGCAGAATAGAAAGTTGAAACATTCCGGAAGGCCTTCTTCTCTCATTTACCTCCCGCAGACCTTTCCGATATCCCTACGACCTCCCTACCTCGGCAACTTGGCTTCCCGGATCTCGCTGAACACGAGGTACTGCGCTGCATCCGAAAGGCGCCTTCTGATAAGGCCCCCGGACCCGACGGCATCCCTAATAAGGTCTGGCACTGGTTAGGTGAGGTTCCCTCCTTCGTGAAGGCGCTCACGAGCGTCTTTAACGCCTGTATCCGACTCGGACATAACCCCGGATATTTTCAGCAATCTATAACGGTTGTCTTCCGTAAGGCCGCGCCACGGGATTATCGAGTCGCTAAATCCTACCGGCCTATTGCCCTCTTGAACACACTCGGTAAGATTCTAGAGGCAGCTATCGCTACCCGTATAGCCTACGCATTGGAGGAATATAGCCTACTGCCACGAGGGCACCTAGGGGGACGCAAGGGTATCTCCGTCGACCATCTGATTCAACTACTGATGGATGCTATCTTTGATGGCTGGGGCCGAGGCCAGAAGGTAAGTATGCTCCTGTTAGACGTAGCAGGGGCCTTCGACAACGTCTCTCATACCCGGCTGCTACACAGCCTGAAGATGGCACGGCTAGGGCATTTCGCCGGGTGGCTAGAGTCATTCCTTTCAGACCGACAGACCCGGCTCCAACTACCTGGCTACTTGAGCGGTATCATTTCTATCCCTACGGGGATCCCTCAGGGGTCCCCTATCTCCCCGATCCTTTTCCTTCTCTTCAATACGCCCCTTATTCGGGCACTAAAAATCAATACCGTTGAGAGCATGCGCATTCAGCTACCGCTCTCGGGCAGAACCCTGGCATTCGGCTGGATTGACGATACCTGTACGATCGCTCTTTCCGGGTCTTACGCAGCTAATCAGCGTCTACTGGAGTGGGCACTCGATAAGGCTGCTGTATGATCCCGGCAGCATTCGTCTAGGTTCGCGCCGGATAAGTTCGAACTGATACACTTCCGAAACCCGCTGGACCCCGATCCCGGGGCCGAAAGGGACACCCCCTGTGATTACACGGAACCATGGAAGGGAAAGGACCTTATCAACGCTAACTGGGAGAACAGGAGCGCCAGGGAGGGTCCCGTTGAACCCCCGGGGCATGACCAGCTGCCAATAAAGGATCACGCAACAGGCCACGTCATTCGACCAGTAGAACACGCTAAATACCTCGGAATTTGGCTCGATAAGACTCTCTCCTTTACTACCCACTGCACCAAGGCAGTAGCGAAGGCGAACGGAAGCCTCGAAGCCTTACGAAGCATCTCTGCGTCCACATGGGGCACGTTCCTGCTAACATGCGGACTATATATCTGGCCGTAGTAGTCCCGCAAATGCTCTACGGAGTTGCTGCATGGTATAGCCCTACCAGCGGGCGTTCTAAGTATGCAAAACGGCAGAAGACCATCAACGAATTCGAACGAATCCAGACGCGGGCAGCAATACTCATTAGTGAAGCATTCAGAAATACTGCTTCTGCAGCTCTAGAAGCAGAGCTGTTCCTGCCTCCGGTCCGTCTGCACATGTAACAGATAATTGAGGAGACTGCAATCCGGATACAGATCGGACCGGCTATGGCCTGTCCCCAGGAATTAGTCAAGAAGAAGAGCTCAGCGGAGATAAAACGGTCAAGGTAGTCCCCCATAGAGGCGCTGAGATAGAAGAAGGGGGGCCCCCTATGGACTGGAAGCCGAAGTTTAGCTACATGAGAGTCCAGAAAGGCGCACGTACTCGCCCCGTAGGAATCCCCACTTAACTGCGTGATCGAGGGAGCGGACAGCGCAGTCCAGGAACACGACAAGATCTGCCAGGAAAACCGGAGGCAGATCTGGTACTCTGACGGTAGCGGCTTTAACGGCCACGTAGCGCTGCAGTCTCGATTCGGGCCGGGAAGGTCCGCAAGAAATACCTAGGAGCCGCGGCTGACTCCACTGTGTACCTGGGAGAGCTAGAGGGGGTCCAAATGGCCCTAAAATGGGCAGAGGCTGCCCCGATCACGGTCTTTTCAGACAGCCAGGCGGCCATTCAAGCCGTGCAGAACCCTGGCCGACCATCAGGCCAGTACGTACTACGGGCTATCTACGAGAGGATCAGGACCTTGAGAGGCAGCGGCATGCAGCAGGAAGATATAGAGCTGCGCTAGATCCCTGCGCATATCGGTATAGAAGGGAATAAACGAGCTGACGAGGCGGCCAAGAGGGCCGCAATAAAGGGGATTAAATTAAGCTCAGTAGGGCCGCGGGAGCTGGCCGCTCGGCCAATCACGAGGCTCGCAGCTGCAGCCAAAACTGACGTACGCCGGAGAATCCAGGCGCAGTGGGCGAAATGGTGGGAGCGACAACAGGTTAGAAAGCCTACCAAACGGCTGATTGCGAAGCCGAATAAGAGGGTCTTAAGGATATACGAGGGCCTGAGCAAGCCTCAGACATCTATAATCATTCAGATGCGTACTATGAGGATCGGATTGAGGCATTTCCTCTTCAAGATAAAACAGGTCGATTCCGACCGCTGCGGGTGTGAATTAGGCTCTCAAACGCCTAAACACGTCCTGATGGAGTGCTCGCTGCACCTCGCCAGTCGGAGAATAATGATGGAACGTCTCGACTCTATCGAGGGACTGCGTGGGCGTATACAGGACTACGACGCAGTCATGAACCACCCGCAGGCGATACGCTACGTCGCCGATTTCATGCAACGAACAGGCCTCCTACAGCAGTTCCGATTCGCCACGTTTAACGACGAGAAGGACGAGGAGGTCCCGGAACCCAGCACCCTCCTAGAGGGACTCGATCTAAACGAGGAAAACGATAGTTATATTGAACACTAAAAGTCAGGAAGTCTCAACTGGCTAGATGACGCACACAGAAACAGTAGATCCCACTGGAATACCACAGATAGAACGGAGTGGAAGGAGAGAATAGCGCCTAGGGGCGCAGTAGGCATGCGGCAGGCGTGTGACAGCGGGTTTAGTTATGTTACTTTTTGATCCCTTTTGTCTACTGCATCGGGTTTATATGGCGTACGGACTCGAGATTCTGCTTCATTCGGCGAAACGCCTGCATAGCCTGTCGTTTCAATAGATAGGCTCCACCAGGTTAATAGAATTTTGATTGATTGATTGATAGAGGAGCCGTATATGCGAGACGTTGTCGAAGGCGCCAGCCACGTTTAGGAGTAGCATACTGACCTTCTGGCCCTTGCCCCAGCTCTCAAAGATCTGGTCAAGAAGCAACTGGATCAGGTAGTCGACTGAGATGCTCCTGCGGCCCCCTAGATGGCTCCTAGGTAGGTAATTACATTTCTCCAGGGCCCAGGCGATCTGTACTGTAACTACAGCCTCTAGGATCTTACCGAGTGTATTCAGGAGAGCTATAGGTCGGTAGGATTTGGCGATACGATAGTCCCGGGGGGCTGCTTTACGCAGTACTACAGTAGTCGATTGCTGAAAGTATTCCGGGTTATGCCCAAGACGTAGGCACGCGTTAAATATCTACGTTAATATAGCGAGGAAAGAGGAGACCTTACCCAGCCAGTGCTAGACCTTATTAGGGATGCCATTCGGCCCTGGTACTTTATCGGGAGGCGCCCGTCTGATGCAACGGAGCACCTCGTGTTCGGTAAGGTCCGGGAAGTCGATCTGGGGGGGTATCTGAGCCGTAAGGATATCAGAGAGGTCGGCCAGGGGTAATTCGGGAAAGAAAGTTTTGCGAAATGTCTCTACCTTCTGTTCTGCGGTCTCTGCGAGCCCGCCATCTGTTTTCAGCGTAGGTATAAGGCCTCTACGGGCCTCCCTGCTTCTCGCCCACTTAGCCGCCTTTCACATGCCTTGGGGGCCTGATTCGGTAGCCTTGCGGACCCAGGAACGGTGGCCCTGGCGTAGTACTTTAGCCAATACTTTTCCTTTACGGTTTCTGACTTTGGTATAGCGCTCCTACCGGAGGCCTGTAGTAGAGTCGGTAAGGCCGTTCGCAATAACTGATTCCGTGTATTTATGCCGGAATTTCCGGGTGATCTTGATCATTTCGCGGCATTCCGCATTAAATGAAGGGTTCGCCCATTTGCTGGGCTTCGCCCACGGGGTAGAGGCAGCGATTCCTTGATTGATCGTCTCGATAAGGTATTCTATAGCGAGCTCAATATGCTGCTTTATTTGCAAGGGAAAGGCCTTGCTCTGTAGGTTAAGGTCCACGAAGCTTTGCAGGTCTTTGATACTGCAGGTTTTCCAGTTCCTTTTTCGCTGTGTCTCGGGGGTTTTAGTGCTGATATCAAGAAGGGTTCGTATTGGATAGTGGTCCGAATCTGCGTAGACTCGTTCGTTAACCTCGCAGGTAACGAGCCTAGGGGTCAGTTCCAGCAACTGGTCAGACGATAAGTCTCTCTCAGAGCGTCCCCCCCTACGCTGGGTGGTGGAGGTTAAAGTCGCCCAGCAGGAGCAAACGGGGGTTAGTAGAGCTGTTAGTAAGGCCGGTAGGGATAGTTAGGAAAGTAACGAGATCAAGAGTAGTACTATCTACTTCGTTAGGTCGATTATAAATATTGAAGATGCGCACTTGTTGGCCGTCAGCATCAGTGAGTTTGAGCTTCTGAACGTCCTTCGAATGCGCTATATGTTTTCAGGTACTAGGATCGATTTGGCATAATATATAGAGGCACACGCGGGCCCGCTCGTCCCTTATCTCGGTCTAATCCGGGTATAGGAGCTGGTGGGAGCCGTTAGCAGGATAGTAGGTAGTATCCTGGTAAGGATTCTCCCAAGGTTCTTGCACAAAGATGAGGTCCGCCTCTAGAATCGCAGGGTCCCGGAGGAACTGTACCATTACCTTATCTTTAGATCGATTCGTATTATATTGGAGGATGTGAAGGGGCTTGATCATAATCAGTCAGCCCTAGTACGTTTCCGTAATACTGAGCGAGTCCTCGTGATAGAAGCCGTAGTAGATACAATAGTTGGTACCGGGGTCTTCAGGAGAGAGACAGTAGGGATCTCGCTAGCCGAAATCGATCGTTCTCGGTATATTACTCTACTGCAGGATCGTTTTGTGAGCGATATATCTCCGGTAAGTAAATTAACTGGTATAATAGCCAGGTGTGAGACTTTCTGCCGTGTTACGGACTGGGTACAGGCACTCTGGCGCGTTCTTTCAGACGAGATAACGTTCTGTAGGTCACTCCTTCGTCCGCGGCAACCCCTGGGTATCGGGATCACTGGAGCAAGTATCTCCGGCTCACTCTGTTAACCGGTTTCCTTCCGGTCAGACTGCGGAGGCGTACTCACTCCGTTTGCAGCAAAATCTATCCTATCTTCGGAGAGTTCACTAGCTGTAAGAATCATTTCCTACGAGCTGGCGTACAGCGGCATGAACCCTAATTAAAATCAGACTGTTAAACGATTACGAACGCTTGCAGGTCTACTAACGGATCTTGTACGCCTCTCTAAGAGGCTCGTGTACGGCTGGCTACGTCTCTCGCTGTTAGACGAGCTGGAGGCTTCCGTACCGCTACATACGGAGAACTGAAAGTCCTACAGATAAGGAGAGACCCGATATCAGGCTTAACGGTATACTGCTGTAGCTTAAATCCGGTCCATCTCTGCTGCATATCTCGAACAACTTTTGTGCTAGGCAGCGTGTGCTTCTCTATACCCTGCACAGCGGCATTCCTGGCTACTAGTAAACTTGTGGGAGCAGTTCCGGGTCTCGTAGTTACCCCCATGGAGCCCGCAAGTTGTTTTATTCGAACAGACAATTCCTATATAACTATATTGTTAGCAGTTAAAGTACCGTCGGATACGAGCAGTCCGGTAATATAATACTGTTTTATAGATAATGCTGTCTCAAATGGTGCCTTATGCGATTGCCTCGTTAGCGTGATAGGAGTCTAAAAATTCTACGATCAGGGCAGACGATCTCTAATTCTTATAGTTAGACGGATAAGTGAGTTATACGATACACGTAATTTGGGAGCTCTGTTAAGCTTCCTTATTGATTTAGCAATCTCTGTTTTTTTTTGAGTAACTCGTTAGCTACCCGTTATTGTTCCGTATCGGTAGTAAGATCTCCAATTGACTTAAATACGATCCCATGTACAACGATACCCCAAAAGGGATGCCGCAGTATGGCTCCTGCGCTCAGATAGTTAACCCATTGATCGTAGGTCCTGGCAGCTTCGGCTTCAGCGGCGTAACGGAGTAAAAGGCTCAGATCGCTGGATTTAAGCTGTTTAGCAGCTACAAAACGCACCTTAATCAAAGAGAGAGCCTCTGTTTAGCCGTACGTTTTCTGTTTTATTATTTTCGCTCTCTGCTTGATATCCGAAACTGTAAGACGTCAGTAGATACGCACTGCACCAGCATCCCGTAATTTAACGATAATCTCGCGGTTCTTGCTGAGCTCCGACGGAGTGGCTAGAGCGGTACTGAAGGAGCCGTAAGAAGAGATCGTATAGACTGAGGGAGGCGCGTTACGGATTACGGAGGTTCAGGACTGGCAATTCTGTTTCTGTATACTTGATTGAGTGTAATAGCTCTGTTTTTGGACGGTCTAGAGGGTCTGCCGGATGTTGACCAGCTTAAGGCCGATACAGCAGTTGGTGACCAGAATATTTACAGTTTCGCGTTACAAAAATTTGCAGGCGTCGGCTATCTGCTGTATAAAGCCGACTACCGGTCTAGGAAGCTGTTTTTCATTCGATTTATTGTATAAGAGGTATTGCTGCGCATCTTTATTAAGGTTCAAAATGCAGTTAAGAAAATTCTGATTGTGTGCGTTTTCCGCCTCGGGAATCCCTGAAAGGGCCGGCTACGAGGGTTTCGCCCCAACCATATCGATATCCCCTATAAAGTTAGGCTCAATCGATAGCGGCTGGGGTTGATAGTAAACTGGCTGATTCTAGAGGCCGTAGCCGTCGTAGTGGTTGAGTAATTTCAAAAATTTGGTTCGCGTTGAAGTTGTTTTTTCACTATCACGCTCGTTATCCCGATAAGCCGCCGCCGCCGGCCTACTTCCTGGACCCGCCGATTGCCTCTACGGCCTCATCATCGTCGCTCACGAGCTGACATACTGATTTTTTGGATTTTTTGGCTTCATTTCAGGGTTCAGTTTATTCTGATTATACTTTTTGTACGTAATTCGCGCTCGAGGGACCTCACGCCCCTGTTTAGGGGGGGGGGTAGTGTCAGGGATCTTCCAGTATCTTGCGTCACGTGACATCCTGTGACGTGACCCACAGATAGTAGACGTAATTAGGAGCTTCCCTCGGAACAAGCTGCACTCCATGCAGCTTATTCTTCGTCAATGCATACCTACGTTTCTTGAGGTTAGTGCCTTACAACAGGCAGGCATTCCGGCCACAACGCATTGTATGCCTCATCTTTTGACATGCCGACTTCAACGCTCAGCTTCGCAGAACCGGTTGTGTTCCGAAATAGTAGTGTTTGAGTGGGCCTGCGTTAGCGGCGATGTGCTCTCCACCAGAGCAGTTCATATAGGGCTGGCTGACAAGGTACCCCGCACAGTCGAGTTGTTCAATATCAAAGCCCTTGCATTCTTGAGGGCACGTTGGTCCATTTTGGGTTAGGAGTCCCGAATCTCCACTGGGCCCCACTGATCACCGCCAATAAGGCTGTGACATCATTGCTCTGGCTCTTTCCCCGACGTACGTTGATATTCCAACGTGCTTTAGAGATGGATGGGTAGGAAAGTGAAGCTCAAATTAGCATCGCTCCGAATAGACAGCATATTCTAACCATCTGTACCTCGTAGAAGTTGTTCGTGCCAAAATGAGGCTTAGGGGACCGCAGGAAAAGGAGACATGGAAACCATGAACCCGCGGATGTTTATTGAAACCCCCAGCAATCAATACCAATCCCAGAGACGCTCTACTCGCTCCCCGGTGGGTATTTAGCTGCCCCTGGGAACTGTACTGGAGGTTCCAGGAGCAATATAGCTCCTAGAGTCGACTTACACGTTCTTGGAACTGGTAGAGCTAGCGCTGTGTAATCCCATGTACTCCGTATATCCATAACATCAAACCCATGTACGCTCCAGGCGTTCCCAGAGGTACTTGAGGGCCCAGAGACCCGCTGTTGGCCTCTAAGAATGGCTTGAGGTTCCAGGAGTAGTAGAGTTACCGGACTGCCCAACACGTTCCTGAACTCGATGGGGCTGTGAAAGAAAGGAGTAGATCCGTAATGAAGCAGCCCAAAAGTTTCTTCATCTATATTTCGGAATTCTGTTCCGAGGATCGACGGAAGTGTTTCTGGGAACTTTACCTAGTGTTCCAGAATCAATATTCCTCCCAGGATGGGTGTTCATTTTCCCAGAGACAGATTTTACACTCCTAGGAAAGCTAACTGGCGATCCTGAGAGCTTCATGTTTGCATTTGCCTCTCATCTAAGAACTATAGTATTCAGAGCCTCGCTGAGAGCCTTCTTCAACCAAGAAACGGCCATTCGGATCCAAACCGGGCCGGCCATGGCCTGCCCCCGGGGGCTGCGCTGGGAAAGGTCAAAGGAGGCATTCAAGGCCTCCGGATACTCTCCGATGGAGGCGCTGAAGTGGAAGAAAACAGGCCCGCTATATGGATACGGCAGCAGGCATGAAGAGTGGGAATCCAGACGGGCTCATGTGTTGGCCCCGTGGGAGTTACCCCTCAGGTGTATTATTGAGGGGGCAGAGAAAGCAGTTTAGACCCACGATAGAGTCTGCCGCGAGGACCGGCAGATCTGGTATACAGATGGAAGCGGCTATCAAAGAATGATTGAAGCTGCCGCAGTCTTTATTCGAGCAGGCAGGACCGCCAGGAAACACCTAGGAACGGAACTGGACTCTACGGTCTACGTGGGAGAATTGGAAGGGGCCCGAATGGCCCTAGATCGGTCGAAACCTATCCCGATCACGATTTTCTCAGACAGCCAGGCAGCTATTCAAGCCGTGCGCAACCCTGGCCGGCCATCGGGCCAGTACGCATTGTGGGCTATCTACGAGAGGATCAGGACTCTGCAGAGCAAGGGCCTAGAGGATGCTGAACTACGTTGGATCTCCGTTCACATCGGGGTAGAGGGAAACGAAAGGGCGGATAAGGCAGCCAAGGAGACTGCGATAAAAGGAGTTAAATTAAATTCAGTAAAGCCGTAAGATCGACTAATTATACGGCTTGTAACTGCAGCTAAAAGAGACGTTTGCCAACGCTTGCGTATAGAGTGGACAGAACAGTAAAAAAGGCAGAAAATAGGTAAGCTGACGAGGCAGCTGCTACCCAAATTAGACAAAAAGAATTTACGGCTTTACGAGCATCTCAGTAAGCCGCACACCTTAATTATTATTCAGATGCACACTATAAGGATAGGATTAAGGCACTTCCTCTACAAAATCAAACAGGTTGACTCCGATCGGTGCGCCTGTGACCTAGGGTCCTAGACCCTTAGGTACGTCTTTCTGGAGTGCTCGCTGCATACGGCCGGCCGGAGAATAATAATAGATTACTTCAATCAGATAAAAGGACTGCATAAACGTATACAGGATTATAATACAGTTATGTTACACCCGCAGGCGATCCGCTACGTTACCGAATTTATACAACAAACAGGCCTCCTTCAACAATTCCAATTCGCTCGATTGGACGAAGAGGACAACGAGGAGGCTCCAGAACCTACCAACCTGCTAGAAGGACTCGAGCTAGGCGAGGAAGACGATAGTTACATGGAACCTTAGGGGGCGGCCTGGGTCAGGCCGCTACCAGTGACGCATACCACTCACGAATCACCTATATAGAACGAGGCGGAAGAAGAGACAGCGTCAGGAGACGTAATGGGCTGCGGCAGGCGAGTGGCAGCCGGTTTAGTTGCGTTGCTTTATGATTTATCTACTGCGTCTGTGGGTTTATATGGCGTAAGGGCTCGAGATTCTGCTTCATTCGGCGAAGCGCCTGCATAGCCTGTCGTTTCAATAGATAAGCTTCATCAGGTTAATAGAATTTTGATTGATTGATTGATTGAGCCTTCTTCAACTCCGCACCTTGTTCAGCGGATGGAACATCACACTTCCTCACCCCTATCTAGATTTCTCCTGATGAAACCCTTTTGACAAATTCAGGAGCTTCATCAGCTTGAACATGTTTTTCGTAATAGCTGAGGATGGATGTGAAACTGTCCCGAGCCTTCCGGGCTCCAGAGTTACTGTCCTGGCTGCCCATTGCGTTGGAACTGTAGCTACTGAAGAGTTAGCCTTCGAGACACCATAGTTGAAATGGAACTTAAGAAGCCCAGTAAATAGGTCTTTGTCAGCGGATATGGGGCAATTTTACCGCCAGGATTCAACACCTTGCCGTTTCCGTCTAGATCAACTCTGACGGCATTTCATGGCTTCAAGATAAGCCGATTTCAAAGAAGCCACGTAGTCATATTGCATGTTAAATAGCTTCGTTTCGATCCTCTAGATCAAGAGGATCAGACCTTCATTGAGCCTCAATTCTGCATACAAATTACTAGGCAATACGAAACTTTAATGATTCAATAGTCTTGTAGCCTTGATGTAGAAGTTGGTTTCTCAAGCACGCGAAGAATGTTATTTTTCGTTATTAAGGTACTTCGATGCGCAAAGTCAAACTGTCAAAACGCAAATGGAGTAGATTGGGGGGTGGAATCTTCCGGTTTATAAATTGATGAGATTGGTCTCCAAACGCCTGGATACTGGACAATTCAACACAGGAAATGAACCAGCGTCTACATGGCGAATAGAAGTTCAGAGACTTGCCGCTGAGTGACATCAGGTCCACCAGTTACAGGCAGAGCATTGCTCTCATAGCCCCACCCTGGCGATTCGCATAAGCAAGGACCTCTCGCCCTGGCTATGGTAGTACCCTTTTTAAATGACACTATTCGACCGAGTCTACTGGAAAATAACCTACGGTCTATATCGTCACTATGGCTATGCTTAACACCCTTTATTGTCGGCCATCGACTCTGGACAAGGAGAGCAACATCTTAAGACGATTACAGGGTCAGCTGATTATGGCACCCGGTAGCTGCCGCTAAGACTATCCCATGTGACCGTATAAATATTCGACACGGTCACGTGCTCCTTTAAAATGGTACAACCTACCTATTGCTTTCCCGCGCTTCGTTTCGGGTTTTTGGGCACTGCTGTAGATACTTGTTGTATATGCAATAGTATCAGAACCTGATAGAACTGAAACATACGCCTCATCTGTTACAGCTCAGGTACGAAGAGACAACAACAACGTAGTAGAATTCAACGAAGCAACTAAGCAAGGGGAAGGGAAGCAGAGATGTGCGAGAGAGCGAGAGGCGATCTAAATACATGGGGGATGCCTGCGGTAGCATGCATCAAACAATCACATATGTGAATCGTCACTATCTGATTTCGGTGGTTCAAAAGGCTGACACTCTCTCATATCCGCACATTCCGCTGACAAAACCGAATTCATGGTCATTCCTGCATTCGGAAAGTTGCTGGATCTGGTCCTCAAAAGTCTCCATGTGCAAAGGATCTCCCGCTAATTCATCGCTCTCCATGGCCCTTTGGAAAAGCATGGTGGCGACCGCACCAACGCTCCCACCACGTTGTAAGAAACTCCTAGATGTAGGAGGCCACTCACTCGCGTCATGCAACACCATTTCCACGTTTGGCTTATTTGGGATCATATGTCCGCGGAGACAGTTAGCGATATGGTCGCAGAGGTTCATGACCCCATACCTCATAGACTTATTACTCTTCAGATTATTCTGCACACGGCGCGGTAGGAAGCTGAGAAAGGTGCTATTGCTTTCAACCCAAAAATTTCCATCCTCAATGTCTTCACGAAGGAAATCTGACCATATGTCAGCCTGACATTCCAAAGCGAAACACATCCGCGGACTCAGGAACCCTGAGATGCATTGCCCACAGGTACATCCGTATTTGAGGCGCTGCCAATCGACGTCGGTCACTTCCGTACCGCCATTGAGAAACTTTAGGCAGTCAACCGCAGCGTCGTTGAACCCAGTGAACTGGTCTGAAATATCTTCGGTCAATGCATTAAAGCGACGTGTTGTCCTACTATCCTCGAGGCTTGTCAGCAGAGCATCCAATGGAGTCTCGCCGTGGGCGTTGCGCTGATGAAGGAGCACTTTAGCTCTTCTCAAAATCCACTGGACACTATTGGGTTTGATGTTGGTTGCAGCAAGGTGCAAAACAGTATTTCCATTTGTGTCCGTTGATGTCCATCGCGGGTCATCCCCCGCAGCATCACCCCAGGTTTGGCTAAGAAAGTGCACAAAGTCGTTGTCACTGCTGCACTCCAGGGCAGTTTTCATCTTGCGCTCCAGCTCGGTGTCTAGGATGCTTGAAGACAGTGCTGGAATCTCATAGTCGCTTTCAGCAGCTAGATGATGGCATGGGTGTTCTGGGTCCGAGGCGAGCCCAAACCACGAAGAAGAGCCGATTCGTCGAAACCCCAAAGATCGCCAGAAAGATTTCGAAATATCTATAGCAGCCAATTCCGACGATTCCTTGTTGGGCACCTCTTCCCCGCGAGGCTCGCATAGCACTTCACTGCGCAGAACACTAGGGTGCACAACAGTAACAAAACTTAAAGTTTTGTCCCTGACCTTTTCCAGCATGGCTTTCACAAGCGTGCTTCCCTGTCCAAGGCGGCGATATTGTCCATCGATTCTCAGGGACTGAATTAAAAATATGTCTCCGTCGTCTAGCTCAGCGTTCCAAATACCAGAGCCCTTCTTGATCGGATGGCTCTTGAACTCAGGCTTCAAGCGGCCGTATCTGTCGAAAAGATCAAACGCGAGAGAGCACGTTTCTTCGGTTGGCTGTTCCATGGCGAACCAAAACTTGTCGCGGATCTTTTCACGTCTGATCAATTTGCCATCACAATAGCCAACCGGTGTCTTGTCTGGGTCGCTATCGTCTTGGTTGAATATGAGCCCATCAATCTGCTCCAGCCACTCAAATTCGGCAAATATATCCGCCTCAGAGGAGTTGCTGGAGACAGACATGTCATCTGAGCTCCCGTTGGCCATTTCTTCGTCCGGTAAACCCTCATTCACGAGACGAATATAGTATTCAGGGGGCGGTGTTGGTCTCGGATCATTACGAGTGGCTTTCGAGGCCGAGCGGAGTCGGACTTCGATCTTGAGGTTTCTCGGCATTGAGTTTGAGTGGGCTCCAAGCGAGGAGCTCTGTTCGCAGAGGAAGGGGTGATTGTAGAATACAGCCGAGAACAAATGGGTCCAAGTAATGGAGATGGGTGAGGTGATTTACTTCCTGTCGGGAGAAGTCCCTTTATAAGCCTCTAAACCGACGTATGCGCCAGCAGCTCAGGGAGGGGTGGGTGGAGAAATCAGTACGGCTTTGATTGGCCATAAAATTAGATCTGCTCGAGCGCGGCGGCTGCATCATGAGTCTTTCAGGGGCTATGACGACTTAGTGCCGCAGCCAACCCTTCCAGGAATCAAAATCACATCTCATTGGCCTGCTATGGTCACGCTTACAAGACGCCCACTGGAAAGTGGGGTTGGGAATCGTACCGATTCAACCTATCATGAATTCCATCACGTTTGGTACTGTACTGACAAAATCGATGGGGGCAAAACGTTAAAGCTTGAGTGAATCTGCCTTGCCCAATCGCCTAGCTCAGCCTCGGTTAGGCAGCACTTCCAATACATTAATAGCCCTTCCCTCCCTTAGACTATGCCGTCTGCACTCATTCAAAAGAAACAAGTCCAATCCACACGCGTGATGGAACAAGAATTGCCAGCCCAGTATATGACAAGCCTACCTATAGAAGTTATTCGTGTGATACTTGAAGGCCTACCGGACTTTACGAGCCTCTTCGCAACCATCCAAACCTGCCGATATTTGTATCACTGTTTCAGAAACAAAGATGAAGGCATCATCACTTCGATTTTTGCGAACATCCGTGAATCCGCCATTGAACGTGACCGCCGAGTAAAGCCTTTCCCTAGGAGGGGCTCATGTCTGATGATTCGGCAGTTAGTCTTTGCCATCAAAAGGGATTTCATGCGAAGAGATACTCTCCTCCAAATTTTCAAGGATAGTTGGGTGTTTCTACGAGATAGAGGCGTTGAAGAGATGCTCATTCCCATTGGAAGGGGGTTGGCATGGTCTTTGGAATTGGATAATTGCCGGCAGGCTGCACTCGACCTTTTGATACAAATCCGGAAGGAAGTACCCCCATTTGGCTTGTCACTATGGCCCGCGCTCAGAAGATTTAGACAGTCTGTGGGACCTCCTCCTACTTTTACTCCGCTGGAATGTCTCATCATCAAGCTACAAGATCCCACCAATTCTGTATATCAAAAGGTCAACCAGGATCATATTCATGACCAGCAAACCCAACTCCGCTATTGTCCAATTGGTCTTGTTACACGAAAAGGGGTTCTTTACTTCATAGCTGATATTCACCTGCCAGACAGAATCTTGACAACAAAAGATTTTACGCTAGTGAGGCTCAGTAGTCCACCACGCCCCTCGAAAATATACCGCGAATCCCAGCTAAAAGGCATGATATTCGACCAACCCAGACTATATCCCCATAAGCTACTAAATACAATCAAAAAGCTAAAGGAACTACCAACAGGAAACGGGGACGGAGAAAGAACTCAGGCTTCAAGCGGTTGACTCAGACAAACTTCACCAAGCTCAGCAGTCTAGAAAGACACATACAGTATTTGAACATAAAGGAGTTGAGTCTTTAATTCGACGTTCACATAGCCAATATTCTACATACCATCTTGAGGGTATGCGGGCAGAATTTGATACCTTTCGTACAGTAGCGGTGGAACTGTGCCACTTGTTTTGGTGCTATAATTGGCCTGTTTCTACTCCTAGCTCCACTTTGGAGTGCTCGAGTGCAAATCTGCTGTCTTGTGAAACGCCACTGTAATAGAGCCTTGACACCTGAGGCATAAATGATGTCGACCTGAACATGGTCGAAGTTATGCCCCTTCTATTCGGCTGTAGTTTGACAACTTTTCCCTAATTAAAGCGATCATCTCAGCATGGACTGTACCCCAGACAGATATTTTTATCGCTATTACGCCAATAGAAGTGCACGCCAGCTGAGGTCTGGACGGTGGCACGGTGGCCATTGACCGAGAGCGCTCTCCTCCGTAAATTTGGGAGCGTGCGACAGTGCCCAGTCACAAATTTCTTATCAGAGATTGGGTGGAAGCGGGGAACGAGGCTACTGTATAGACGCTCGAGATGGAATTACGCATGACCAATTTCGGTCCTCGATATTGCCATTCTTGCGATATATAGTTACCTACTGAGGCCTTCCTTGAGTAAGCGGAGACGCTGTACGTGTATTGCTATTCCGGTAGCATGGTGTCCCGTGGCAATTTCACTCGAAAGTTCCAGAAGGTTCCCTTTTACAGCGATCAGCATAAGGACGCATCCCCCGTCACCAAGTGGGTTTGGGAAGAGGCCTTGCAGTGACGCGGAAGCTGGTGGCCTCAGCGACACAATTGCTCGAGAGTGTTGGGACTGCCGGGCCTGTTATAGAGGAAGAGGAAGGAGTTGTAGCGCGTCCAGGATGGCTAGCGGATCGGCCGACCAGCGGGGCCGCAAGAACGTAGATAAATAACCGCTGAGGACTCACGCCTGATGCGGTCGCCAGTTGGCGGTCCTGCGGTCGAGCTGGTCGTACGACCAGCGTCTGATGATCGAGTCGGTCGGGGAGACCCGGTCTGGCAATATCTGGTCTGATGGCCCAGGGCAGCTGCATCCGACCTTATGACGCTGACCATCGGTACCTGGGCACGCCACCCCGGCCCTCTGTTCTAAGGCCCCCCGACCTCGTAGGTGTTCAGACCACATGCCTAGGCCCGTCAGGGACCTAAACCCCCGTGTATATCTCCAGAGCGGGCTTCAGTTGCTAAGGGTCGTATGACTTGCCGCATAGGACCTGACGGGTCCCACGTCGACCGTATCCTGATTCCAGGTGCAATGTTCTAAAGTCGTCCTCAATATAAAAACAGCTATTGTGGGTTTTACATAGAGACGGAACGACAATTAACAAAAGGCAATCGCTCCGCTCTCCTGTCCCTCCACACGATAACCTGACAGCCAATATACCTAATTCAGCCTAGTGGCACTGTTGGCAACATCAAGAAAGACACTACGGAGTCGTAATAGCTTTAGCATTTTGTAGAAACCAAGAAGAGAGAGAGGTAGAGTTCGCCGGCCAAGCGTGAGGACTAGGAATGGTCAGACTTGGCTGCCTCACCTACTCTGTACGCAGTGTATGTAGGCTGAAATAAATTTCTTGTCAAGACCTGGGGGTGTGAAACTATTAGGAAATGCACGGACCCAAGCTTTCGGTAGAGAAAGTACTGTTTTTTTAGCCAATCTTTTCAATTCACCAGTCCCCTCCTTTTCCTGAGGTCAGAGTTGAAACCAAGCGGCTTTCACTGTTTTAACCGTTTATTTCAACGTTTACTGCATCTTCTGGTTGATGCTCTGTTTTCGACTCTCGGATTAAAATTAAGGCGCATTTTCACCGCCCACCATTCCGTTTCTTGACCTCACGTTGAACTCACATTTGAAAGGACTAATACGTTTAATTCGATCAACCAATACAGTAGAAGACAGTGGTTAATTAATCGAGTATAAAGCATCTACGACGGCCATCCTCACCCAACGCATGTTGGGCCTCACAAAAGATAGGGTGGTAGTGAAACTGCACTGATTGGGCTTGTCTGAAAGGCACGGGTGCTACTGGCATCCCGCTATGTTTACTCGGCACGGTCAAATTATTATCCGGATAGTTGCCCTGTTCTGCAGAGACAGTTACTGTAGAAATTCTCCACATAAATACAGTATCATAAGGACAGGACTATACACTCCTCCTGATTTTAAGTCAACATATAATGTAGCCTAGTGCTGAAGCTTGAACTACTTAGAGTATGCCGCCAGGGGATAGGCTGCGGCATGACCACGGTTAACCGCGGTTAGCCATCACCATAACCGCGCGGTGAGGTGATGGTTATAAGATTCTGATAACCTCGCTCTGCGGTGAGGTGATGGTTATAGCTAGGCTATAACCGTGGTGACCGCGGTTAACCTCACCAGTGTAAACAATGCAAACCTTCCAGGATTATAAGAATGCATAAAGTATGCTGTTTTTCTTGTAATTCTGGTATATACCAATGTATGTACGGCGCCGCAGAGCAGTAATTTAAAGCATTAAATAGATAACTCTACAGCTCTTGACTTTATACTGCATTATGCTGAATATGTTATATTTTCCCTTTAGTTACACCGTCCTGGCTATAAGCCTTAAGATCTATCAATTTCAAATCTAGCTGGTAGCTTGGGCTGTTTCCGCTGCCTTTCCGGTCGCCCTTCTTCACTTCGCGATACATGAGGCAATTGGCTATCCCTACTATTTGAAGTTTCAATCTGACTATGAGCCCGCTTATTCTGTGCCTGTAGCTGACTAATACGCACTATAGACTGGGTTAGAGGTAATACTGGTTCCAAGGCTACCTCAGCATCTAAATCCGAAGCTGAATCAGAAGCAGCAATATTATCTGCTTCATTCCCTTCCTCCTTATCTTTATTAATCAGATCAAGCTCAGCAAGTGTAGGAATAGGTTTGCTTCCTTGATCAGATAATGCAGCCTCACTAACAGAAAGCTGCTCTTTTATCAAATCAAGCTCACTGTGCTCAAGCTCAAATCTGGTTGAGAAGAGATAGATCATTAGACCTCAGATAGTATTCTCTTTTAATTGCCCTCGGCGATAGTAACATATATTACGAGCACAATTGAAAAGGCGTTTAATACCAGCTCCGCTTGCTGGTACTGAAAGAATATTGCGCGCAAGCTGAGCAAGAACTGGATACTCTTGCTCATGCTCTTTCCAGAAGGTTCGGGGATTACCTTTGGTAAGCCCTATCTAATAATTAGTAAGGATATAACAGAATCCAGGGTAGGAACTAAATAATACTAGCCTTTCGCAAGATACCGGGTAACCTTATCTTCTGGCTGATTAGCCTCAGCATGAAGAGCAGTCTGTAAATCACACATCTCCTCAAGCTCATCCCCTGCTGATTGAGATATCTTCTGAGTATTAAGTGGCTTATCGTCCATTAAATTCAGCTGTTGATAGAGTCTGAACTTTGCTTGAAGGATGTTTCGATAGTGTTTCATAAAGTTAACAGGTCTCCCGTGATCATCATAACCTCTCCAGTCTGCATTATCAAAGTAACGAAGCTTCTTTGATGGTGTTAGAATAGTTGCAATAGCATAAACTGAACCATAAGGCTGTTCATCAGTTTTAGCGTAATACTTCCGGTGTGACGAACGGCTACGCTAGCGATAAGGAATCGCGGAAATGTAGGATGGTCATTGAACGAAGAAACTAAGCTAAGCTATGAAGCTATTCAGGAGCTGGTTGCGATATGTGTGACAGCTCTGACGCTAGTCCCTATCGGGGAGTTAGGTTATAGGGTATCGCGAGGAAGGTCCTCGGAGGCAGGTCACCGTCCGTGACATCCGGAGCTTTGCATTGGCGGCCTGAATTGCTGTAAGTACATTCTTTTTCCAGAGAACAGATTTGCGTCTAAGCTTTTCTTCAGCCTGATCAAGATGGTTAAATAGCTTGTTGTAGATACTAAAGATATGCTGAATAGTTATATCCCTTGTCTTTGATAGCACGCTTGTAAAGTCAAAGAATGGCTTTGTAAGTAGTAAAAGATACTCAACCTGACGCCACTCCTCTGAATTAAGTTTGAATCGAGTATGGTAATGAGTATCACAGTATCGATTAATATCTTCCTGGATCCTTCGAGCCCGATCAAGCATTAAGAAGGTAGAGTTCCATCGTGTACGAACATCTTGGATTGGTACCAGTCTTGGTTCTGTAGTTTGCAGCTCAAGAAATGCTTTCCGACGTTGTGAACTGGCGTTAATAAAGACTGCTAGATCTCGAATCTATATAAGAGAAAAGTAGATAACTGTTAGTAACTAAGTTTAAAATAAGGAGGGTAAATAGCTAGTACTACTTACCTTCTTAAGAGTCTTTACAATACTTGGGTATTGCTGATTCTTTGACTGCTGTGATTGTTCCGGCGTGTCAACCCATTTTGATTTAATCTCATCATTGACTGGGTTTGCTTTTATCTCTCCAAGTAGTTCCCTGAGGCTTAACTGTATAACATAAACAATATAAGGGATACGGAAGAGTTGATCTTCACTAAGCCCAAGTAATTGGCCAACTTCCTGGATACCTGCAACTATTGTATTATTGTTTGATGCATTGTCAGTAGTGACTGAGAGAACTCTCTTCATGATATTATGCTGTTAAAGGATTTTTATCACAGTTTCACTGAGACGAGCACCAGAATGTGAGCCATCTAGTGGCTCGAATCCAAGAAGTACCTTACAGTAATTCCAATCTTGATCTAAGAAGTAGCCGGTAACCGCCATAAATGCCTGGGAGAAGGGAGATGTCCAGCAATCTAATGCAATTGATAGACTGCTGTCAGCTGGAAGTCTATTAAGTACATTTAACTGGTTTGCAGTAACATTCTTATCAAGAAACCGTCGAATACTGCGTGCAGAAGGAATTTCGAGCTGTAATTCAGCATACCGTGCGGTTTGGAGGAGGTCATGGAAAGCTGGGTGTTCAACAATTCGGAATGGGAGACGGGCAGTTGTTATCAGATTAAGTATCTTCTGGTTAAGAAGATGCTTATTGAAATATATTAAGGACCGTTGTAGCTAGAAATAAGGTATATTAGTAAGGTTAAGCTATTTTTTATGAATAAGAACATACCGCTTCTTGTAACATCTGATTTACTCCTTTTTTAGTTACTTTTTGTACCCGACAACCTCCTTTGGCAAAATGATGTTAAAGAGAGGATATTCCAGCACGTTTTGCAGCTGAATGTATAAGTGTTGCTTTACACTCCTTACACATAACCTTTGGTTGCTTACTTTGTTTATGTGCTACTTGCTCAAACCCTTGCCAGACTGTTGCTTTCTTTTTACTATCCTAATGCATGTTTGCCTGTCCTTCACATTGCTTACCATATCCAGTTGTGAGCCACCACTTGACAAATTGCTTCCGAGAGTCCTCCATATCTGGATGTGCGTTATATAAAACCCACACTCGCTGGAGTGGTGGCCCAATGCGTACTAGATCTTTCGGGGCGCAGGCTGGTAGAGGTAGGCGTGGCGGAAAAGGAAAGAAACTTAGATTTGCCTCGTAAAGACTTGACTGGCTGCTTGGGAGCTCTAAGGCTTCTGGAAGAGAATCTAATAAAACATTTTTAGCCTCAAAGAGTGAGTCAGAGTAGAAGGAGATATATGATTGAGACATTATAAAGTATTCTAGTAGAGAGTATCTCTGCAAGTGATAATCAAAAAAGCGAGAGAGGAAAGGAAAAGAGGGACTTACAGATATTTTAAGTAATTATAGCCTTTGCAGTTGCAAATAACGCGAATTTGATATGTTGAAAAGGAAAGCTGAATGCTGAATGGTTAGATAAAGAAGCCGGTGCGGGGATAGCGAGGTTAACCGCGGTTAACCTTACCGTAGCCGCAATAGAGCCGCATTATAACCTTACGGCCCAGGATTACGGCCCGTACTATCTTTGAATAATCTTAGCATTTTTAAATAGATATAAAGTTACTTGATGTGAGAATCCCTTATTGCTTTAGAGATCCTACCACACTAAAAAGGAAGAATGAAAGATCGTAGGGTCTTCCGGCAGTAATACTATATAGGAACTAGGCAAGTACTACAAGGCTCTGATATCCGGGTAAAATATATATTTTTAGGATTCGACTTGTAGGCTATCCCAAATCTTAAAAATACAACTACAAATAGCATAATTTGATATAAACAAAGGGTAAATCTAAGTAAATAAAGAGTCTATTTAGTATTTACCATTTGATTTCCCTTATTTACACTATGGTTGTCACAAAATAAGAGATCTGTATTGGAAAAACTCGAACGCATGTTTAAAACAGAGGATAATAGGCTCACATAAGCTTCATAAATATCATGTAGGAGGCTCAAAACTGATAATTAAACGAGAGTTATGCTGGTGCGGCCATAGTGAGGTTAACCGCGGTTAAACCGCGGTTAACCTCAAATTTGCGGTGATGGTTATCAATCCTATAGCCGCGGTTGCGGTTATGCCGCAGCCTACCAGGGGAATGAACTTAAGCCAGGCCGACCAGCTTTACTGGAAGCGAACACTTGGCTACTCCAAAGTGGAGAAAGGAGTACAAGCAGCCAACCAATATGATTGGTTCGTTGTTCCTTTCTAACCCTTGGAGCCACTCACGGTTCGCCAAGATGTTGGCAACGCACTTTACCCGGATTGAGGCGAACTGGAAACCATTCACAGAACTGTGATCTTATGCATAATACATAAGCATGAACCTCCGACTGTACCATAGTCCATGGATTCTGCCGGCAAATCGAGCTCCACCTAAAAGAGCCAAGTATGATAAATCATCGATCTTGGCTTGGCCCATGACCAGTTGATTGATAGCCTACATTTACATCGAACTATGTAGCTACATACGTAGTCGTATCGGCGAAACGCCCATATCGCTAGCACGCAGTCCGCCGACGCTTGGCACTTTGAAGCTCCTGGCTTACCTCCGTTAAAACCGAGCAGCTTGAATTTTCCTGGGGAGATAAAATTATCAGAACAGGAATCTTATTTGTTCTTAATTTTCAGAGCACTTAAGTTTTCCCCTACTCAAATATTCCCGCGTAGCCAATTTTCTCCTGTTCTCATTTTCCCTCCCTTTTAGTTTTCCTCCCATCATAATTTTCGTTCTCTTCTAATTTTCTCATGGACGAGCGGCTTTACTCAGAGAAGAAAGCCTTCTAGAGGGGAAGAGCCAAGGTTACTACATAGCCAACCGTAGATATCCCTCGGCAGGGACGGCTAGCCCATGGTTAGGTGTCCATGTGGGAGTTCACCCTTGTGGTAGAAACCCCCTAGGGGAATTTGCCCTTGCATCAAGTTTACCCCAAGGTAAACGTCCTCGAGGGTATTTGCCCCTCAGGATCCTTGACCCTGAGGAATAGTTGCCCGGCGAGTGTTCATTTTTCCGGTCTAGAGACCTAATAGTAAGATACTCTCAATGGTATGTACATGCATGAAGCGAAAAACAGATTTTTTTCCATGTTCTAGCACTCAAAGCGAGAATCAGGGTGATAAAACAAAATCAATCATATAGCAAGGCCGGATAGATACAAAAGTGCATAGACATGTGATTTCAAAAGCCATAGATTCTATCACTCTATCCCTTTGCCATACGGAGGTCCTTTTTACTTCTTCCAACTGGTGTTGGATAGTAGGAGCCCTAGAGGAGTCAGGAAAGTTCAAGCTACGGAGAGTTTGGAGGGAGCGGGAGGGAGAACATACTAATTGAGACCTGAGGAATGACCAAAACCCCGATGAGTCTGCAGAGAAAATAAATACTTCTCCCGACTCTCGAATCCGTATGCCCAAGCAGACACCCGCCCCACACATGTCGCTATACTGTAGCAACTTATTTTCTAGGGTCATCTTCCGCCGGTCTCTTTTCTGTCGAATTGATTTCTTCGTACTAGAAACCTTCGATTGTTCGCGCGGGGTCTCCGCCATCATGATTGTGAGATAAAGAGTTCGATCGAGTTAAAAAGGGAACAGCAGGTTCAATGCTACGTATTTATTGTGACGGTCTACAAAGGAGCCTAGTAAAAGACTAGTTTGTTTATGACTCGTAGTCAAGGAATTTTCCCATGGAGAAGAAAGGCTATCTAGGAGCGAGAATCTAAGGCCTCTATGTACTAACTGAGGCTCTGCCTCAGGCAGGAATGCATTCAGGAAGGGTTTTCCGTACTGGGAAGTTCGTATCGGAAGTCCGTATCGGGAAGTCCTTGGCTCAGGAGATAACAATACTGACCCTGATTATCGATCAACGAACGCAGAAGTTACCTTTCTTGATCGTGGACCTCGGCCAGAATGACGTGATTCTTGGCAGGAAATGGCTGTAGGTTTACCGAGTTCTACCTGACTGCAGCCGCAACCGATTGCTGTGGCCCGAGGCGACCACATTGCAGGAACAGGTTCAGGCCCAGCAGGGCATCGTGCTACCCAAGGCGATCCTGCAGAGGCCTAAGGTCAACCCTGAGCACCAGAAGGATATAGTACGCAGGGATCGAGAAATGGATCGGGAGATTAACCGACGGGATCAAGAGATGCATATTCGCAAGAACAGGTTCAATACCTACCAAGAGAATACCGAACGAGCTCTATCCCGCATGAAACGGGCGCTTGAGGAGGCCCAAAAAGACCCTAAACCGGCTCCAGAGCAAACTTCTAACAGTCCTAAGGCTGCTAAGAAGGACCTTCCAGAGATTGATATCTTTGAGATCAGCGGCTCTGCCTACCAGCTTTATCTCGGTAAATCAGACTGCTTCATTACTTCGCTGTCGCCGATTGACAAGATAATTGATGAGAATACCTACCCTGAGCGCGTACTGGAGGTTGAAAAGTTGAAAGAACAGATTCCTGAGGCCTACCACGGCTTTGTGGACGTATTCTTAAAGTCAGCATCAGATACGCTGCCTCTGAGAAGGGAAAACGATTACTAAATTGAGCTTACTGATAAGAATACGCTGGGATACAGTCCTCTATATCGGTACTCTGCAAAGGAGCTGGAAGCAATCAAGGCCTATCTAGTAGAGAACCTACAGAAAGACTTTATCGTTTCCAGTGCTGCCCCGTTCGGCTCTCCCGTACTAATGGCTGCGAAGCCAGGAGGAGGCCTACGGTTCTGCGTGGACTACCGGAAATTGAACTCGATTACGAAAAAGAATCGCTATTCTCTACCCCTGATGGATGAGCTGCTGGACCGGCTAGGCCGTGCAAAGATCTTTATAAAGCTCGACATCAGGCAGGGCTTCTACCGCATCCGTATGTACCCCGATTCAGTGGATTTGACTACGTTCCGCACCAAGTACGGGTCCTATAAATATCAAGTCTTGCCTTTTGGCCTGACTAATGGGCCTGCAGCCTTTCAACAATTGATAAATAATATCTTTATTGACCTGATTGACAAGTATGTGGCAGTATACGTAAACGATATCCTGATATTCAGTGAGAACGAACTCGAATACGAGGCTCACGTTCAAGAGGTACTAAAGCGGCTCCGTGCTGCAGGCCTTCAGGCCGCTATTCACAAGTGCGAATTCAATGTAAAAAGAACTAAGTTTTTAGGCTTTATCCTGACCCCGGGTGGCATTAAGGTTGACCCTGAGAAGATCGCAGTGATCACTAACTGGCAGGTTCCGACTACAGTTAGGGGAGTCCAGTCGTTTCTCGGGTTCTGCAACTTCTATTGACGCTTTATAGAGGCCTACAGGAGGATTTCCAAGTCACTTTATGCCTTAACGAAGAAGCTGGCATCCTTTGAATGGACCTCTGGCTGCCAGAAAGCCTTCGAGCAGCTAAAGGGGCATTTGATTTCGGCATCTCTCCTGCGGCATCACGATCCAACCCTCCCGTCCAGGATTGAAACAGACGCCTCAGACAGGATAGTCGCTGGCATATTCTTTCAGCTGTTCGAGGGTAGGTGGTACCCGGTTGCCTACTTCTCTAGGTATATGCTCGGCGCTGAGCGCAACTACGACATCCATGATAAGGAGCTCTTAGCTATAGTTCGAGCTCTAGAGCTCTGGAGAACGGAGCTTGAAGGACTTCAGATCATTGAACGGATAGAGATCTGGACTGATTACAGGGCCCTTGAATACTTTATAATTACTAAGAAGCTGAATGGGCGCCAGGCCCGGTGGTCAGAGTTCCTTTCAAGATTTCATTTCTTGATTAAGTTCAGGCCCGGACTGAAGAACACGGCTGCTGACGCCCTATCTCGACCTGAAGAGAGCCCTCCAGATCTAGATACAAAGGATTAGGCTCTCCTAAGACCAGAATGGTTGGAGGAAGGGATTCTGCCTCGGCAGGCCACTGAACAGGAACTATCTGGTGCATCAGTATTGCTCGCCCCAATAGAGATAGATAACATTCAGTTGATGGACTGCCTACTGCAGGCTAATTGCACTGCGACTGATCTTGATGAAGAAAGGGTTACTGCTGCTGATACTAGAGGGGAGTCGGAATGGTCCTTACAGGATGGGCTACTCCTGTTTCAAAATAAGCTTGTAGTTCCTGAAGATAGTAACCTTCGCACCCGATTACTTGATATGATTTACCGACAGCCCTCTACTGCGCACCCAGGACGAACAAAGACAGAAACTCTGGTGAAGAACCGATACTGGTGGCCAGCGTGGTACCACGACGTGAAACGCTACGTGGCTAACTGCTTGATATGCAATCGAACTACCACTAGGAGAGATCTGCCTTCTGGGAAGAGCTCTGCCTGCGGCTGAAGATCAAGCGCAAGCTGATCTCAGGGCAGAAGCCCTCTACGAATGGCCATACAGAGATCGTCAATCAGTCAGTTTATATTACCCTGACTCTGCTCCCAGAAACGAAGCAACTTGATTGGGGGGCACTGGATAGTTGCCTCGCCGGAGGCAATAGAATTGGCCCACATCTCGTGCTGAGCAACAGTAATATTATAATGGCGGCTTGGATCAGAGGGCTCAATAAAGCAGAAATTGTTCTTATTAGTACAGTTATCATCTGTACAGCGCCAGCGGTTCATAAGCTGTTTCTGGAAGTCTCCCGCTATACGGATTGTATCAAGGCGGGCAGTATGTTGTTCTTGCAGGCGATCTCCACGGCTTAAACGTTTTTTCTCTGGCTGCGGTGGCGGTGATGACTGTATATCAGAATCGGTCTCAACTGGTTTCCTAGACCTTTTTCGTTGCAGAGCCGCTACGGCTTTAGGATCCTGTGCCGCTGATATATCAAATATAAGCAGCAATTGCCCCTTTCGGAAGTTAGCCCGGTGTTAGTCTGCAATTTCCAATATATGGTCCGCCTCTGTGAGCGTAAAGTCGTCAAAATCATGACGTCTAGAACCACCACGGCCGGATGCGTGTTTAATAACTGCAGTACGCGTGACAAACTCAAAATCGCAGTCCCCTAGAAAGGGTTCAATTGAAGCCAGGAAGACCTCTTCAAATGCCAGGATATCAAAAGTATAGCGGGTCGTGTCAGCTAGAGATTTCGTCAAAACACGCTTCTTATTCAGCCGGAATATGATGCTGACAGATATAGCGTAGTCTCCAGTATGTTTCATGCGATCCTCTATTTCATCCTCCAGCTCGGAGGTGTCAAGAGGGGCCTCTCGGGCCTCCTCTAACTCTCGACGCGCTGCTTTGACCCGGTTCGTGTGAACGATCTTCTTAAGTCGTTCTTTTGAATGATATAATTCCTGTACTGCTGCCTCTTCAGCTTCAAGGTCCTCTTCATCTTCGTCTTCTTCTTCTTCTTCTTCCTCTCCTATGTCTGACGCGCTTTTGCTGGAGTTGCTGGGGCTTGATGGATCGCTAGAGGGCAGAGGAAACACTGGATCACTGGAGATGACTTCTTCATCAGCAGCTTGAGCGAATCGCACGCTTTTTGTAGCTGCATTCTTGGACCCCGATACATTTTTGTGGCTGGTCGCTGCCGCCTGCCTCTGCCTACCCCCCCTTGCTTCTTGCCTCGCCTCTTTCCTGATCTGTCTAGCCATTGGAGGAAGGGTAGTAGGATACCCGCGTTGCAGCGCCCCTTTTTTCATATTTTTGATTCGTTTAGATGCTGCGGTAGGAACATAATTGCCGGCTGGTTGATCGGGTTGAGAAGAGGGAACAACGCGTGGAATACGCGTTTTCCGCAGGTCATATGGAAGAACGCGTTCTGTAGCGGGAGGTGTACGCTTAGGAGGCATTTTCGTAATAGAGGAACAATGATCACACGAATAGCTTCAAAATTATCTAAAAAGGAAGTCAAAATGAGTTGATTTCATAGATATAAGGCGATTTTAGTGTTCTGGCGAGAAAGTTGCGCTTTTTTTCGCGTTGCGGGTGCCAAGAACTGAAGAGAATTCTGAATACGCTAAATGCAATTACCACGACACAGACAAAATATATCGCGCTTAACCATACCTTGGATTGCGAAGAGGCTCATGTTTATTTTAACACTAAAGATGGTGTTAAGGTTCTCGCCGTATCCCGATTCCTCCGTGACGATCTGCTTGTGGCGCTTGTAAGCGAGCAATGTGGGGAGGAAGAGATAGAAAGGATTCGAGCACGGCAACGAATCTTTCAAACTCAAGAGAAGATGTCGTTCTTACTGTCGAAATTGAATGCCTAGGTTATAGATGGACAAGGCAATGTAGCGACCCTAGAGCGCTGGATGTGGTCAGAAACAAAGCAGGCGTATGTGAATGATACATGAGAACTCTAGATGGCTGTATATAAAGAACCGTGGATCTCCATTCCACTCAACCCATGTCAAATTATGTATCACATTTCCATTCGTACCTAGCTTTCCATTATTGATCCTATCAATATGTCTGCATCACCCCGAACTTTTCACCAACTCAATTCCCCTCAAATTGACTGTATGGAACACCATCGAGTCGAGATTCTTGGCCTTCCCTATCTTCAGGTGTTCCAGGTCATCAGCATGCGAGATGTCTTCCCGAAGACCGCAAAGACAATCCTGTGATCCTCCTGAATTACAGAGGACCCAACCCCTCAGTGATCAATGCGAAGGCACGCCAAGAGCTCTTCGATATTCTAAAGCCTTACGGATATTTTTCCCAGATTGAAATGTTGGAGGCCAATAAGCCTCCATATTATTTCCCACAGTCATCACGGTGCGCGACCTTTGTGTATAGCCCAAAAAAACAACGTTGGTTTTCATGTACCTGGACTATTCGGCACACTTTTGACATTGAAAGGAGCGATTCGAGTAGATAGCGAATCATTATGTTTGCTACGATGGCAAAGGAACCTTATGCAACCAAGTACCTGCCGCACGTATGCCGACTGGTCAAACGAAGAGTATGGTAGCAGAACATTGATAAGTGCCTGCACGACTCTTGCTGAAGGCAAGGGAGGAATTTTTTGGCCCTAGGGTCCGAATGACAATAGCGTGTATTGAGTGACTGTGTTATTTTTGTCCCTTGATCACCTAAAAGCTTTTTAGAGTCTAAATAAGACTTATTATACAACCTACTAACACTGTCAGTTTAATGAATAAACTATGTGTTTTAATCATGTCTATGATCAAGTATCTGGCCCCAGCATAGCATCCTCCTAGCTCGTACCACGCTTTCAGTGTGAGGAAGCCCAAAGGCGCTAAGACTTGCTTAAACGTATATAGAGCCTGGCGCATCCCGATGTACTCTTCTCAATCGGAGTTTTATAGACTCAAGCAGGGGTTATGGCGCGATAGTAACTAAGCAATCGGTTCCATTCCTGTATTGCCGGCATTAGCCTCGTAGTCTATGCGTGTCTTTGACTGTTTCCATCTTGCCAGATGTGCAGCGTTGTTCGGTAAGATGCTCGTGTGGCCCGGCAGAAACTGCTTTGCTTCCCTAGAAAGTGATTATATCAACTCAGTTTACCCCGGCTCACTTGGTGCCGTGCAGCAGGATCAACGACCAATAGCAGACGTGGAAGGGTCAGTCAGTGTTTGCATACGATTCACGTCCTGGACTCAAGGCAACTTCGATAGGCTAGGAACTGTATTCTGATGCAAGCTGTAACACACAAAGCCCTGACTATCAGCTCCGTGTGATGAAACCGGGGCACTGGAAGGTGCGATAATTAGTTACCAGACAGCGCTCTCATGGGACAGTAACCATCGTGATTTCTCGGTCCAAATCCCCGGTTGGAAGGGCGAAAGGAATCGGATTAAGCTATCTAGTTCCCTTCTTGATTCTAGATGACTGAACTCTGACTACTGATTTACTGGAAAAGAATGGCTAGTGATCAAGAGAGTGAGTTCTAATGAATAGTTGTATAGACTGACTAGAAACGGGAAACGTGGACAAGTGAGGAAGTCCCAACTAAATACAGCGCCTGAGAAATTCCTAGGAGTTATTGAAGACATGTCTAGACTGTATTTATTCTTTGTCTCATGGAGGAACTTTAAAGCAGCGCGCAGCCAACATTCCACAGTCCAGAACTTCACCTATAAGATTTTGAACGGATATATTCTACTCAACCCCAGGAGTATCTGCAATGCGGAAAATGTACTTCACAGCACTTGCTTTCCCGGTCTTCAAGTCTTTCAATGCCTCTTCAACCCCTTCCAGACCCCCTGGTCTGATTTCAAAAGGATGGCCAGAGAGACTCCCGTTTTGAAGTGCTCTCGATATATAGCGGGAAATGACGTATCCAAGTTCTTCGTTGTTCTCGAATTCAGGCTGGTTGTGAACTGAACCCACAGAGGTAACAGATTTATTTGCGGGAGCCACATCAAAGTCATTAGGCAATATGAAATCAATTCGTCCACCAGGGGCAACGACTTTTCTTAGAACCTCTGCACTCTGAGGGACTATGGCAGCGTCAATGGCGTGCCAGACAGAAGTATGGCCAGCTAGTTCGAGACTGCTGGATATACCTTTCGCGGTTGCCTCTACCCCTTGACGGTAGTCGACTATTGTGTCACCTTTGCTCCGATCGATGAGACTTTCCACGTAGTGAGATCCGTTCCCCGCAACAGCAATGATTGGATGAACATTGCTCTTACATGCTAGTTTAATAGCGTAAGAGCCGACAGCCCCACTCGCACCATAAACAACCAGTGGAATTGGGTTCAGAGCAGGAGCCCATGGCGATGGCAACCGGTGATGTGCATATAAAGATACAGCAGCGGTTAAAGCTGCTAGGGGAATTGTAGCAGCCTCTGTTGTATGTTAGGTACGGTATAATCAGAAGATATCTGCTAGTCATACCTTCAAAGGTTATTTGTTTAGGTAAATGAAAGGTTGTGTGGCTCCAAGAGATTGCATATTCTGCATAGGAACCTCCTGGTGTGCACATTTCATGAAATGCTGCAACTCGATCACCTGACTGGAGGGCAAATATGAGAAAATGCCAACAAGCTGACAGGAGATGTACTTACCTTGAACTCAACCACATTAGAGCCAACTTTTTCGACGATTCCAGCAATATCGTCCCCTTGGTTTAACCCGGCCTTGGCTGCCAGAATCATATCCATGTTAGAGTCCCCGGCAGATGCAAGATCCGGGACTTTCCAATCTTTGGGATTCGATCCGGAGACTATAACTTTGATAAGGACCTGGTCATCGCTTGGTTCGGGAATCGGACTGTCCACGATCTTTACAACCGGACCAGCAAAATTAATAGCTTCTTTCATAGTGTAGAAATGACAAATGTAGTGAATGTAGAAATGCAGACTGAAAGATTGTTGGTATTGCAAGGCAGGGTATAGCTTTGAGGGAGCTGTTACCTGTGTTTATACTTTAAATATTGTAGCAGTCTTGAATTCCCATTAATAATCATTGTCATTTGTTGGACCGCTTCTCCTTCCTAATGTAGTTTAGTGTGTCATCTGATCCACACGGTAGATAGCTCTACGCTGCATCTTTAGGAATTCAAGCATCTTTCTCATCTTGATCGCACCGCGATCCTGACATCATTGAATCACCATTAATAATCCTCAACAGTCAAGACATTGTTCATGTTTATTTGCTGTGATAATCAAGCGTCCCCGCATTGTTTTATTTATGACTAAGCATTCAGTGACCAAGGTGAGCAAGAATGATTACTAAGGCCTTTCGGGAATCCCACCGGAAATCCCACCGGGAATCCCACTGGCATTCCACGGCTGATTACGTCGTTAAAGCGTTAAAGTTTTGGGGTGGTGCCCTTGTCACACGATGAGAAGTAGAAGTGTCTTTGAAAGAGAGTCGGAAATGCTAGAACCACTTACGGTTTACAATTGGCCCTCGCCGTCCGTACTCGAATGTCGGCTGTGGGATGCCAGTGGGGTGCCGAAGGGATGAGGATAGAAGCAGATCGACGACTCAAGAGCCAGTGGGATATCTCCGGTGGGAGCCAAAGAGAAGGTCCGCAGCTGCGACGGTGCTATCGTAATCCATCACTAATTCACTCGAATTCAGAATCAGGTAACGTCACTTCTTTTACTTTATCCAGACCCTTCCCGACAGATCAAAAGAAATAAAGCTCAGTCACTCCCCCCTTTGTGCTATCCGTGAAGAGATTCTCAGTTTCTCGAAACTTTCATTGAAGTCAAAACCAAAACCTAAACATGACGCAAATGAAAGCTGTTCGCATTGTCAAGGCCGGCAGCAAAGTTACCGCCGAGCTTCGTGACGAATCTCTGCCGACTCCAGGGCCCCGCGATGTCCTGATCAAGGTCTACGCTGCTTCACTGAACTACCGCGACACGGCCCTTTTGAGGGGCGAATATCCTGCGCCGACCAAGGAAAACGGTATTCCTGTATCTGATGGTGCTGGAGAGGTTATTGCAATCGGAAAAGATGTTGCACGGATCACAAAGGGCGACCGCGTCGCAGTTGGTTGCACTGCAAACTGGATTGCCGGCCCATATACTCCGGAATATCGTTCAAGCAGCGTCGGTTTCACTGTCGACGGGCTGTTGGCTGAATACGTGATCTTCAATGAAGACGCACTCGTCCGCATCCCTGAATATATGTCTTGCGTCGAGGCTGCCTCCCTTCCTTGCGCGGCTGTTACCGCCTGGACAGCCCTCAACAAAGTTGAGCCCCTTCAACCGGGCCAGACTGTGCTGATCCAAGGCACTGGAGGCGTTTCCCTCTTCGCGTTGCAATTTGCGAAGATTTTCGGCGCTCGTGTCCTAGCAATCACATCCTCTTATGAGAAGGCCGTTAAGCTTAAAGAGCTTGGAGCCGATGCCGTTGTGAACTACAGTACCACCCATGATTGGGATCGGGAGATCCTTGCTCTGACGGGTGGCAAAGGTGTTGACAAGGTGTTGGATATTGCTGGAGAGAAGACTATCGTGAAGTCCGCAGCATCGACCAAGATCACTGGTACCGTTATCCTGATTGGATTCGCAAGCGGTTTCGGTGGCGGCCTTCCGCCAATTGACATCCTCGCCCGTTCCCTCACAGTAACTGGATCTACTGTTGGTTCTCGGATCGAGTTCGAAGCTATGCTTCAGGCCATGGAGCGGCACCAAGTCAAACCTATTATCGACAAGGTCTATCCTTTCGCAGAATTCCACAAGGCGTATAAAAGACTCGAGAGTGGACAACAAGTCGGCAAAGTCGTTATTGAAATCGCCAAATCAGCGACTTACAGGGAATGAGATAGGTTATTGAGAATAGGTAGCTACGTACTTGATTTCAAGTTTGTTCAGGGATCTTGCATTGCCATTCCAGCTCAGAATTAAGTGTAGGCTCCAACTCTCTTTAAGGGCCGGTTGTTCCCATTGTTTGGTCCATTTATCCATTTGGAGTGCAATAATTGTTGTGATGTTGCTCTCTCGTTCGACCGGAAAACTAACGTCAATTGAAGCATCGTCTCCAAAGGTCCCCTCTCTTCCTCCGTCACCGTCTATAGACCCGTCTCGGCCCGAGGCTCCTGTATGCAGTAAGCAAACCGCTGGTGCCAGGACATGCGCACGCTTTCATAAACCACAGGCGTCTCCAGCTTCAGATTCAGCTCGCCATTTCCATTAAACAATTCTAACCTTCTACTCGACTTTTCCCACTACTCAGGACGTACAATTCTGAGCGTTTCGACTTGCTCCGCGGTGATGCGGTCCGCAGGAGGGCAAAGAGCCTCAAATAAAGGCCGTTGACTGTATGTTTCCAAACAGACATTGTTTTGCTAGAAGTAATAACTTTCACATTTGATTTCTTTGACTGGCGGTCAGATAGCCTTAGTATGTATGCCCTTGATCCAATACCGATGCGAAATAGTTACTTAAGCCCCCTGGGACCACCGTTCTTTCCAAATTTGGTCTTCCTTACTCCTCCAGTAAAGTCTTCAAAGTATCAGCGGGTGACCTTTTTGGGGCAGCGAGCTCCAGAATCTCCTTGCTGGTGGTAGAAGTCGAGCATTTTCCTTCCCATGCTGTCTCGGGGGCCCGCTTGATTGTGTAGATGACATTTTTCGATTGCTTGGTCGCATACTGGTGCTCATACAGCATGTCGATAAACGAGACATCTTTATAACTGACGTCTTTGACGGGCGCACCAATTTGCTGCTCAATCATGTCGACAATCTGCTTTCCAGTGATGTCCGCTGGACCATTCAAAACGTACTTGGCCTTGTTGTGCACGGAAGTGTCATCTTGAGATAAGAGATGAGCTGCAATAACACCAACCTCGTCAGGGTCGATGATCCCAACAGGTGCATCCTTTGACAGTATCAGACGCAGGGTATCCTGCTCTCCGGTCTTGCGATATTTTTTGATAAACTCCGCAGCCGGCGACATAACAAGTGGCGAGAAGATGTTCGGTTGAAGAGACGTCCATTTCATATTGTTGAATTCGGGCGAGCCGAGGAGAGTCTCTATAGCCCAGTGCTGGCGCGTATAGTAGGCAGGGCAATCCGGGCGCACATTTGCAGCCGTTGTCGAGATTCGCACGACATACTCAACGCCGGCTTCGAGGGCGTTGAGGTGGAAGGTTGACTCCTCAGCAAATTGGTTGGGCTCGTTGTGGGATGCAATGAAGGCCCTAACAACCTGGTGTTCACGGAGCCAGTCGGCGGTGATCTCAATCCAGTTCTGCTCGATCACTTCGATTCCGGGTATTTTGGCCAGCTCGAGTGCCACTGGACTGCTGGAGGAGCGGGTGAGAGCGATGATGCGGCTGCTGGATAGAGTTCTGCTTGATTGAAGTAACTCTGGCAGCGTCTGAACGACAGCTCGGCCGGTGTTGCCAGTGGCGCCGACGATCAGGATGGATTGAGTCATGATTTCGAGGTATGAGATATGCAGTTCACCTTGCGCTATAACCCAAAGACCGAAGACTGTACTAGATACTTATACTCTGATCTTACCTTGATTATTCATGAAGAATTAATAAGCCGAAGGTGAAGACAGTTGGCCTCCCGCCGGACGCCCACCGGCATCCCACTGAAGAAACTATGACGTCGTACGTCGTCCACAGACGAGTGTACCGGTCCTTCCGACTCCTAATAACCTTTACCAGCTTTTACTGCCATTAAAATACCGTCGTACTTTGATGTGTTTATATATCATCCCTAGGAGATATGCGATATCCTATCAAGCCATTACTATATAAATAATCAATCAATCACCAGTTTGAACATGGGCTCAAAACACTCTCTTCTTGTGACCCCTGAATGTGTTCTCGGGGTTGGCCCATCAATACAATCGGGTTCCACTTTAGTTCTCTCTTAGGCCAAATTTCTACATCCGGAGTTTTGATTTGAAATCAAAAGGGACATCCACCAGGTCACACTTATTTTACTACAGTGTCTTTGTATCACTCTGCAGCCCCCCCTGCTTCCGTCCCCTCCCCTCAAACGAAATCTCTTATCGTGTCCAACAAAAATATGGCTTCTCCTAAGGTCTTCCTGTAGGTCACCCCGCTCGCCAAGCTTAAGAAGTGATCTGATCGTCTTTCCAGGACTGGTGCGTCAGGATATATTGGGGGTGATGCCCTTTACACTATCACCAATGCCCATCCTGACTGGCAGCTGTCGGCTTTGGTCCGCAACAAGGACAAGGCAGAGCAGGTCAAGACCCAGTACCCGAACATCCGGATTATTTACGGTGATCTGGATTCCTCAGATATCATCGAGGAAGAAGTCAAAAATGCCGACATAGTATTTCGTCAGTTTGCAATTCAGGGATTCATTTAGTGGAGTGGCATCTAATTGTATTCTCCAGACTTCGCCGACTGTGACCATGTTGCAGCGGCCCAAGCCATTTCAAAAGGCTCTGAGAACCACACAGCTGAGCGCCCTCTTTGGTTGATCCATACCTCTGGCACTGCGATCCTGACAGTCGAGGACCGACGTGCTTACACTTACGGCATTGAGCGCCCCAAGGAGTACAACGACTGGGAGGGCGTCAATGAGCTTATCAACCTGCCTGAAGATGCTTATCACCGCAATGTCGACAAGATTATCATTGATACTGGTAAGCGTAATCCATCCAGTGTCCATACCGCGATTGTCTGCCCGCCTACTATCTATGGCCCCGGCCGTGGACCCTGCAACACCAAGAGTGTACAGGCCTACTGGCTGAGTGCTGCGGTTCTTAAGCGCGGCAAGGGCTTCCTCGTCGGCAAGGGCGAGAATATTTGGCATCAGGTGCATGTCCAGGATTTGAGTGACGTATACGAGGCCCTGGGTGCCGCAGCCGCGGCTGGGGGCGGCAAGGCCACTTGGAACGACGAGGGTTATTACTTCGTTGAGAATGGTTCTTTCATCTGGGGTGATATCCAGCGAAAGGTTGCTGAAGAGGCTTATGCTCAAAAATTCATTCAATCTCCCGAGGTTGATTCCTTGGATGATGTCCAGACTACCAAAATCCATTCGGCTGGGTGGTACGCCTGGGGTTCCAACTCCCGTGGCCACGCCATCCGTGCCCGTAAGCTGTTCGGCTGGGATCCGAAGCGGCCTACCCTGATTGAATTGATCCCGGATATTGTTACATTGGAGGCTAAGGATCTTGGCTTAAGATAGGATGAATGTCTTGTATGTATGAAGACGACGAAGTAGTCAAGGGCATTCGCCAATATCGAATGAAAAATTGATTGCGACCATCAAAATATAAGGAAACAATTTTCCTTTTCCTTGATTCATGATCCATTCTAGAGAGAACCAAAACCTTTAGCTTATCATAGGTAAATTTCTATAATTATTGGGATAGAGACGTGTTGTTTTAATATTCAATTGTGCTGGGTCCGACTGCGATGGGTTTGCTGATTGGGAACGCAAGGTCAAAATGATGCCGTCCACAACTTTTGCGGAGAGCTGCAGTAACATGCATAGCTTATTTTGTACAGAATGAATGGCTACAGGCGTCAGTCACTGGCATCAGCTAATGCCCATCGATCTTTAGGACATCATTGAACCCAATGGGCTATGAAAGCGAACCGTGTGTTTCTTACGATATCTACGGCTACTCTCTAAACAGCCTTCCTTCAGCCGACGTTTTGCGATTCGATACGAAGAAAACTGAAGTCTTGATGAATGGGGGTTGGACGATACGGGCTAAGAAGAGCCAGGATTTAGAACAAATGTCTGCGCCAATATTACCTTTAGGGGTGGAATCGAATAGGGATTTTCCCTATTCGTATTCGAAAAGATCTTTATATCGTCTTATTCGAATCCGAAAATATCTAGGGAGCTATTATTCGTATTCGATATTCGAATATTCGAAAGATATTCGAAGTTCCTGGCAGAATTTCGATCGCATGAAATGATTGGTTAACGTCCTAAATAAATCTCGCGCGACTTAGTGTAGTTTCGTCGCGTGCTCGTTGTTTACCTCGATATCCTGTTGTATATTTCTGACACGGTAATATAAGATATTCAAGCTTCTATATCATATCACAATGGCTGACAGCTGTATTTATTCGTTACCTACAATGGATGATGCCTCTCCTTACCTTTCGAGACGATTTCAGCGATCTCAGAGGATAGACTATCATCTCTTGAATGATGGAAGCGACGATGAAGTGCCTACAGAAGACCATATCTTCAAAAGACCTCGTTTAAACAAGCCAAAAGAAAGCCCAGAACCTATAGTAGAGAGGCTCTTCAATAATGGGAGAGATTTGTTAGGTTTACGAAGACACTCCCTGCATAGAGAAACAGTGAGACGGCTGGTATTGTTGAGGGATATATATCAATGAGAGGGCTTGGTGGTGGGCACGTGCTATATTTTCGAATATGTCGAATAACTTTCGAATAGAGGAATTTTATTTGAAAAGATATTAGTCAGCTGGGATTTATAGATTATTCGTATTCGAAATTACTATTATTTTCGAATATTCGACTATTCGATATTCGATTCCAGCCCTAATTACCTTTGAAGAGGACTATTAGGTAATTCAAAGAGCATCAGCAGGAAACTCTCCGGCTGTGCCGTATGGGCCAACCAGTTGATGCCGCAGAGGTTATATTGGGACTTCTCAATTACATCACTCGTGATGCCAAAGATCGTGGTATTCTTCATTCTCCCACACCCTTGTTTGCATCCAATGGAAACTTTCCTGACTATTTTATCGCTTGTGCTCTAGAAATATTATAAATCGACCCTGCATTTTACACTGAGCAGTCCTTGATCCGGCATGAGTGGGATATTTGTTGTCTTGCAATCTGCCAGAAGCAGGAAGATACAACCACTGCCTCGTTGAAAACTTACATTCCGCTTCCGGACACATGCCTAAGCACTACACATATCGAGGGCTTAGTGAAAAGCTAGTCGGTATTTGTGATAATATAGAGGATTTATGAATAAGGCGTTTGAGAAGAGGAAATTCTTTGTGGTAGGCTTGACTGGGGATTACATTTTCCTGCCATTGCTGACATCTACATAAGCCCTGGGTCGCTGTCTCTCATTGAATAAGGAACTGGCTACAAGTTTGTTTTCGTTCGAGTCAATATAATATCGCTGTCTTTATGTCAATATGTTACATTTTACTACCATTATGGGCGCCAGTCCTCCGGGATTATATCAAAATTGAAGCTTTTAGTAGATTGATGATGGGCCACACGTTGAGAGCGTACACTTTTGTTTTCTAGAAGTGTTTGAAGTCACTACCTTCATATGTCTGCGAAGGTGTAGGTACCTCCTCTTTATTTAGACCTCCCACAACCTCTCCCCTGAACTATCGAGCCGGCCCAAATCAGCCCCTTCAAGAGGTATCGGAAAGCCACCCCTTGTCACGGACTGTGACCTGCCTCCGAAGACCTTCCTTCGCGATACCCTATGACCTAACTACCCGATCGGGACTAGCTTCACAACCTAGCTTAGTTTCTTCGTTGAATGCATATCCTACATTTTCGCGATTCCTTATTGTCAACCGTATGTGACCGCTAGTCACATAGGAGACCTTCCTATTCCGGATATCGGTATTGGTAACTACCGATCCCCGAGGATTATGCAGAGTTTTCAGTTATTTCCATGGTTCAAAAGTTATGTCTCTTCTAACTGCCTTTTTAGGCTAGATTGCTTATTATTCTTCATGTATTTAAACCATCGTTTGCAGCTAGATTGAAAGAATCAGACCTTCAGTCGATATTCCTACGGGTACATTACTAGAAATTACGCCTAGAGAGACGGCCAACAGAATCTCGCCCCGGGACTGATACCTGCGTCTCTCCGCAACGCTACTCTTCCATAATTTTGGCCCGTCGCCCCGTACGTGTCGACAGTGCTAGTGAATAGCCGCGGAAACATCTTGTCGACGATTGGTCGTGTCCCGGGGATACTGGCTGCCATGATTGCCACGGCGATCTCGATCCCGGAGGATATTGACACCCCGAACGTATCCCAGCTTGGGTCGGAGCTTTGATAAAGCTTGACAATGTAGATCATGCGAATTACGCTGGCTATGCAAGCTCTATTGTATTATTAGTGTAACATGGGACGAATGTGAAAGGAGGAACAAAAGGACCTACATGCCGCCTAAGGAGAGCAAACCGATGAGAATGTATCGTTTTCTGTTTCCCATTTTCAGACCTACATGAAAGCAAATGTCTCGGCTCCCTGTCGCGGTTCCACAATGGGAAGATCATAATATAGTCACCTACCCAGGACGGTCGGAACTGGGAGTGCCAAGATCCAAATATCAGTGGCAAGTGCCAATGCAGCCCCAGCGTACCAGAACGGAATAGATGGAAAGCAACAGTACTTGGTATATTTATGTTCGTTGTATACAGCATCCACAGGTGAGCATTGAAATATGGTGGCAAAATAATTGCCAAACTCATTGAGGTGACGAATGCGATGGTGCCCATTGTAAAGAGCCGAATGTTTGGGAAGAGCCGGAGGGAGAGGAGGCATATCGATGCTTTAATTAGGGCTCTGATGAGGGTATAAACAATGTGTGTGGCGAAACGAAGCTACAGGCTTACTCTTGTTAGCTCATTTCAACTCGGAGGGACAAGGCGAGAAAATGTACCTTCGCTGCTGGTAATACATCCTCTTTTGAAAGATCCCACTTGTTTTTCCCCGTTCCATGCTGCACACCCAGTCCGGCAACAACCACATTCAGTATGGCTGTTGTAATTGCTGCAATAATAGTAAAGTCATCTGCACCAAACCTCTTGACAATCAGTGCTCTCGATGCCACGCGTAGGCCCACCACTAGGGCTGCCACACCAGTAATCACCGCGTTGGTGATCACTAGCGTCTGCCCTCTATTTTCGACCTTGTCGTCCGATGAGTATAATGAAATTCGAGAGAATCGGATTGGCATACCATTGTAGATCGTGACCCAAATTATAGCTCCATTATGGTGGGGGGTGTTTGGTCTGGTTTCATTTTTCGATGGCCCATCAGGAGTAGATGGGGGTGCTTTAAAGGTCCACGATGAATTAATGAACTGTGGATAGATCGTAATTTCATCTATGTCCAGGCCACTGAGCACTTTGCCATTCTGGTGATTAATTTCGGACATGCCCTGACAACAAACAGCCGGAAATATGTCGCGATTTGAACCCCTGCATAGTATGGTGCGCCGTCGGGGGCCAAGAGCCGCCGTCTGAACGCTACGCTTATTGGACTCATGGAGGTTTTATACGGGGGAAGGTCCCTTCTCTCTGGAAGCTCAAGCTTCTCAAGATTCAATCTCAACAATTTGCATGAACAAGACCTAAACCATTCTTTATGCCGATCTTGCAACACGGTCCACCGCGTAATAGCAGCTGGGAATGGAACATCCGACTGACATCCCGTGGATCCTCCAACTTAATGCTCTCCACATTCCGAACTAATTAAATCCTCCAAGTTAATCGCTGTCACCAAATATCTCATCCACCAATTACATGACATGGTATTGATTAGATGCCGCGTGTGCATGCCGACGCAGCTGCTATTCCTAGTAGCTGCTTGGCCGTCGGTGGACCGGCATCCGGGCTCCTCGGATGAGATTCTGCTTAGCCCTAAGACCGCGCCGTTGAGCCTTTTCATTAATTGTGCTCTTTTGCGCGTGTCTGCTGTCTTGATTTGAACCCTCGTCAAATTCTCCCTTTCGTGATGCGCGGTCCACTTCAAACCCTCTTTCTCGGACTCATGGGGGTGTGTTCGGTTCGTGGACATGTTCATAATTCCATTGTGAACCTTGATCCGAACCATCGCATCGATGTCCACTCTCATGTGGTCCCTGAGATCTGGAAGAATGCCATGATTGAGGCGGGATATCCCGTATAGAATGGCTCACTATACGCTGATGGGTTCCCAGTGCCAGACTGGACGTTAGAGGACCATATTGCGACGATGGACACTCTGGGGGTAAACTACTCGACCATCAGCATTAGTGCTCCGGGTGTATTTTTCATTTAGGAACCCTCCAAAGCGCATGCATTGGCGCGTAGGATCAATCGGGAAATGCACAACTTCACTGCGCAGTATCCTCATCGGCTCGGTGCCTTGTGCCTGTTGCCATTGCCTCATGTCAAAGAGACTTTAATTGAGCTCGAAGTATTCCTTTCCCCGTGCTGAATAATCCACAATTCTTTGTACTAAGAGCGACAGTACTGCCTTGATACTCTCAAATTTGTTGGTGTTGCTACCTTCACTAACTCCAACGGCACGTATCTCGGCAACTCCTATCTGGATCCTATCTTCAAGGCTCTGAACGCCCGCAAAGTGCCCGTCTTCGTGCACCCGGCTGCGCCCGGTTGCAACGGCGTGTCCATGGATTACCCTATTCCCATGACTGAGTATCCGTTCGATACGGTGCGTGCTGTCGAGATTCTGCTGCTCACCGGTCAGCGCGCTAGCTACCCGAACATCAGCATGATCTTTGCGCACGGTGGCGGCGCAATTCCCTTCTTGGCTACTCGTATCGCGGGGATGTCTTCAATGCCTTTCTTGGGTGGCTTCGCTGTCACAGAATCGGTGAATCAGCTGGCAGGCTACTATTTTGACACGGCATCTGCGACATCAACGATCCAGCTGGCTGCTTTGAAGAGCTTTATTGGAATTGGGAAGATCCTGACGGGGACTGATTGTATATTATTTTCATGTCCTTAATTTTTTTTTTCGAAACAATAGCGTTGCTAATGGTTTAGATCCTTATGTTCCTACTTCGCAGGCTCAGCCTGCTGTCAAATCGATACAGGTCAACGGGGAGTTCAATTCGACGGATATGGCGCAGATCAATCATCGGAATGCGCTGTCGATATTTCCATGGGTGGCGGAGATTCTGGGCGTGAAAGAAAGGTCAATTTAAATAAACTGGTAGAACCTAACGCAGTGAGAGACTAAATGTACATTGATGCATGTATTTCAAGTTTTTGGGGGGTTTAGTACTAGATAGCGAGATGTAGAGTGAAATGGGGAGTTGTTTCATTCAAAGCCAAAAGAAAATCCATGGTATGCCTAATGGGGTATCTCAGGTAACTGAGGACCCATTGCTGGACCATTTTCGCCGAAAATATTTCCCCTATTCCCCATCCCTTGTTCTGCCACATCGTATACACAGTCCCCGAGGGGTCCATTTCATCCGGGATCATCCTCAACATATGTCCTGGCCGCTGCCTCTCTGCGTTAGTCCGCCCGCATCAACCCCATTATATCAGCTCTTCTCACATGTTCCATCTCATGGTCCTACATCGGGAATCTTTTGCTCCATCGCCGCTATTTCGACGGCTTTGAACCATATCTCCGCCATTTTCTCGTATCCGGCATCGTTGGGGTGCGTAGGATCAGGGTGGTTATTTCCCTTCTTGTAGTCGTCGGGATACTTAATCCAACCGTTTCCTGGGGAAGGCTTTGGGGGATCCATGTCGGCGAGGTAGATCGAGACACCTTCTTTCTTCAGGGCAGGGACTAGCTCACGGTATTGTCGGTTGACTTCGATGCGGTTTTTCTCGATTACGTCATTTTTGGAAAAGAGGAGCGTGGACAGGACGATGACCGTCTTACTCATTCCTTTAGCGTGTACAATATTCTCAATAAGAGAGCGCATGCGTCGTCCAGCGTTGATTATATCGATGTTCTTTGCACAGTCATTCGTTCCGGCGTTGATCAAGACGATGTTCGGCTTGAAGTGCAGGGATCTTTCCGCTGCTACTTTCACTTGGTCAATTGTCTCGCCGGGAGTGGCCTCGACGTTCTGAGCAGGTTAGCTGACTACTTGCAGGTAGTTTCGTGGGAGCTGGGAGTCTTTGTTCTTGGAGGAATTACGTTGTCCTTCATGTTGCCATACTTCTTCGTTCCAACCATATCGATTTCATTGCCTTGCCTCTGAAGCCGATCACGCAACGGCTTGCGGTAACCATTTCCCGAAGCAGAGTTCTGGCCCCAGGTGATAGAGGCGCCGAGACAGAGAATTCGCAGTTTGCGACGGGCGTCCTCGTTGGCTCTTTCGCAGGACAGGTCACTAGAGGACATTTCAAGGTCAGAGATACGGTCGTTTCTTGTAGAAGTCATCACATCCAGTGTGAAGACGAGGTTGGCGCACCAGAACAGAAGGAGAAAGGCGGTGAAGGATTTAAAAACCATCTTGAGCGAACGTTTGGGGGTATGCCGAGATAGAGATATCAAAGGGGAGAGGGTTAGTTGTCCTCACATCTGAGACTCACGACTTGCCTATCATATATAAGCCTTTTAATGAATGGTTTCCAATTGATCAACAAGGAGACTCCCTGCTGATATTTTTAGACATCGTCACAAGATAGAACCTGTCTGTCCCAATTGGCATTTCGTATGGCAAGCTCCGGTTGATTGCAGAGCTCTAGTGATTCATATTCAAGCTTATCCCCGTACTAACATGACCCTAACAGCTAGATATGTACCATCGCCGGTCTTCAATCAAGCCAATTGCACACTCAGAATGACCCAAGGTGGTTTTATCGACTGGGTCTAGACAACCGAGGTACTATGATAAGATGATAGACTTATGAGAGGCCAGCATTTACGACATTCAGATGGGCATTCACTATAATAGTATGGGGGCTCGGACTCGGCAATTCAGAAACCACCTCTCTAGTTGTATGGTATTAGCATATAGGCCTCTATCAGTTTGATATTCCTTGACAAGACGGATGTGCAGTACATGGCTTACGAACAAAGTGAAGATCCCGGTTTTTCACACCTAAATCCACTAACATACAAAGAAGCATTCACTAGTCTGCTAGCCGCATGCTTATTCGACAGGACCCTTGTTCATGGGAGGGGTCAATGCCACGCGTCTCTAGGTAAAACGGGCTCTTTGTCTGCCGGGGATGCACGGGTGCAGTCGAAACAACCGCGCTATCAGGGAACATGGGTGACAAGTAAATGGGTTAGTATTCTTTGTCAATCTGGCTCTAAAAATACGCCGGTCAGGTCAGAGTTCCTCAATGAGCATGGCATGCCCCGATGTAACCCTATCTAGACCCGCTTTGTGGTGGTCGCTTCGAGTGGCCTTTGTACCCCGGATATTCTCACTATTATCAGTCTCGTTAATTTCCCTGTTCCCACCTTTGATGTTTGAGGATGCAACAACAGCTGGTTAGTGCCCTCAGGTGGCACGTTACGTGCTCTTTCTAATCATCCACCGGCCATCTATGGGTTGTCTGAAGCGTGAGTCATGGCAGACGAAGATACATAGTTTCGAGCAGACAAAATTTTTCCGCTAAAGAATGTGTATATTGCTAAGACTACTCCTGAGTGACTCAATGCATTTATCGGGATCCTAGTTGTATAACTTCCTCCGATAGAAAATTGCTGGTTATCCCGAAAGTATTTCACGCGAAAGGACCAGTGAAGTATGGATGCCTGACAAAGGAGGCGCCAAGAGAGCGTGACACCGGTATGGGCTAGTCCAAGGAAGGACTAGCGTGACACATGCAGTTGCAGGGATAGCACCTTCCCAAACGCACTGAACATGGAAGGAACGAAGAATGGGAATGCTTACTGTTTGTTTCCCTCCAGGCAGTTGCGCAAAACCAATCTTCAACCACTTCTCGATCAACGGGTGATCACCTCGCTATGAGTAAAGGTGACCGTCAATCTGAGAGACGAGGTCATCCACAGTCACCGAATCCCAGATGCTGTTCACCCAGAGAATGTCTTTCACTAGATCGATCGCCTCGCGACCGGTCATGATGCAGAGCAGCTCCATCAGACGACAGATATTGTCAACGTACCCGGCCTCACCGGGAACAGAAATAGGGTCCGACATCTCAACGAGTGAAACGATAACCAAGGCCCAGAGCTGGATTTTCCAAAGGGACGTCGAAGCGCTTTGAATGTCTCGCAGGCAGTCGATTACCTTCGATAGTTTTTTACGGAGGAAGTTTGCTTCTCGTGCGGCCAATTGAAACAAATCATTCTTGATCGTCGCGAGCATGATGAGTATCGATAGTCGGATCATCTCTTTCGTGAACTCAGCGGATTTGGCTGTCTTCACCTCTTTGCCATCATCGTCGCTGAGCGGCTCAATCTTGGTCGAATGGTTACTTGTTGGCGTTGGGTACACCGGTCTATCCATCGAAAGCAGAAAATGCGTCACTGGACCGAAAATTTTGATGGCGATGATGCTCTCTTCGTTCTTCCAGTAACCCGGCGGCTGATGTGAATTGTCATTGAGGTATTTGACCCCGATGGCAACCTTTTCGAATGCCGTACTAACGTCCTCGAAGACTGGATGATGCAACGCGATGTCAGAAACTAAGTATCGCAGGAACGGAGGCGTGTAGATCTCCTCGGATTCCGAATCGAAAAGCTTTATTATGTCCGGGTCAAAACCGGCAAATCGAGGAGAAAGGTCCTCGACTACACTTGTAATGACATCAAACCTGCTGCTGTCAGCACTCAGCTCACTTGATTAGAGGTCAAGGGATCTACCATGGAACGAAAAGCGGAGTAGTCTCGTGAAGTCCGTCGTATCCTCCGCGCACCTGGATAATCCGCTGAACTCCCGCCAAGTGAGCCCGTGAGCGCGCCAAGGTCCCAACATAAAGCTTCAAAGTGGTGAGCATGACCTTCTATGCTTGAGGGTTGAGGGGAGGGGGATCGAACCTCATGACAAATGAGCCCCAGAATGGTTGTTATGACACCATCGCTTACACGATCATTCGAGTTTTCCAACCGGCGTGTTACCTCCTTGACACATTTGCCATAAAAAGTCAAGCATTCGACGCTTTTCTCGTATTGATATGCTTTTCTTTGGTGAATCTGATCCAGGAACATCGCAGCGTTCGCCAATGATACAAGGAAGGCGCTAGCGTCTGTCATGGCCATCGAGAACCAGATCGCTCGAAATGGTCGGAAAACATAATCTGAATCGGCACTCACTGGATCGGTCAGTCAACGAACACCCATGTAGGATGCGATCTCCTCACTGAAATGGATGAGCTGTTTGATTCGATCGTTCAGTTGAATTGGGTAGTACGACGTATTGTACGGGTCGAACAGGATGGGCTTTCGTGCAGAATATGGAGTCAACTCGTCCTGCGATGAGCTGGTTGAACTCCTACCATCATCAAGAACCTCATCTTTCAAAGATAGCTCCCATGTCTGCGGTCGCTTGCGCGACCGTCTAGACTTTCCAATTTCTCGCATAGCATGTCGTCGAATCGTACGCCGTGTACTCTTGGCCTTCAAGTCATCCGGACGGGAGATGTGCACGAAAACGAGATCGTCTTTGTCTTCCTCCTGAACAAGTGGCCGCATCTTGCTAGAGGTACTGGGTATCTGGCTAATTTCCGAGGCTCTGAGAATCTGCAATGGAAACAGTTTCGTCAACAACAATAAGGTTCCCCCGCTGGCTTTCTGGCCCCCAAACCTCGTATCTTGTGACCCAATCAATGGGGACGGGAACAGAACGCCGCCCTCAGTGAAACTAGCTGCCTTGGAAGGGAATAGAAGAAGATAAGCCGCGTATGAATTCTTGTTCTAGTTTGAATTCTTCCTTCCAATCCACACGTTGCTAAGCACAGTTCAGGGCAGGCCGCCTGAACAAGGAAACCCCTCTCTCGACAGTCAGCGGCCATTAGGCGAGAAGAAACGTCATTCCTACTTGTGCTGCGTGGCTTTACGCATCACCAAACATCTGGCTAGCTTCAATTTCCGTGGAGTCAGCATTGGCAAACAGTGGCGATCTCGTAAGCACAGCAGGGGTGATTACGACATGCCATATTCCCCTTATCAAGGATCAGCCACGCCGATCATCCTTTCAATACATGCAACCTAAATGTCTATCCAATGCACGCCTATAGTTTTGCTTTGACCCTCTCATCTCGCACCACCAGTCGCTTCCCAGAGGTTCCCTTCTTTTCCATGTCTCGAAGGACTCTTCGTAGGATCTTCCCGCTGGCGCTCTTTGGAACTTCGTTGACAAACTCCACCTCCACAATCCATTTATGACGGACTTTCTTCGCTCGCACGTACTCGATTATGTCTCTGCCTACATCCACTAGCCCGAAACCGCTGCCTAATCTTTCTCTCTCGGTTGATTGAAGGACCACGTATGCTTTCGGTCTTTCTCCTGAATAATCATCCGGGATCGCAGTTACGGCCGCATCTTCAATATCATCCCGGCCAAGGAGCAGGTCTTCCAGCTCAGCCGGGGACACACCAATCCCCTTGACTTTGATCATCTCTTTAATACGGTCGGTGATGGTTAGAAAACCTTCCTCGTCCATGAACCCGATATCTCCAGTGTGCAACCACCCTTCAGCGTCGAATGTCTCGCGCGTGGCTTCGTCGTTGTCTAAATATCCCATCACAACCTGTGGTCCTCGTGCCAGGATTTCTCCCGGCTCATTGTAGCCCGACTCGCGGCCAGTTTCCCAGTCTACTATTTTCACTTCTGTATTGGCGACAATAGTCCCCGCCCGATGGGCATACCGATAGGATTGTTTGTCGAGCGGATGCATCGTGATACAACTGCATGATTCCGTCATGCCGTATCCCTGTTTGAAACCGATCCCCGGATACCGATTTTCCAGCTTTTGAAGCAACTCTTCAGCGATCGGGGCAGCTCCAGATGTGAACGCTTTCACGTGAGACAAATCATACTTGGCCGCACTGGGGTCTTGTAGGAGTCGGATCAAAATCGGCGGTACCAGCAGGAGCTCCGTGATCTTGTTGTTGACGACAGTGTCGAGCATACTGGTCATATCGAAGGACGGGAGCATGTAAACTTGTGTGTTCAGAAGGACAGGAAGATGCATTTGATGCACGAGGCCGGTGACTGCCAATATTTGTCAGGATTGAAAGTCATCTCCGAGGGGTCAAGGGACAGACTATGAAAGAGTGGTAGCACTGCCAGTGACTTCTTATAATCGGGCGACATGAGCTGTTGCACCTGCATGCACTGTGCGATGACATTGTGATGGGCGATCATCACCTGGACATGTGAGTGAGCGTTCATCTACTAGAATGCGAAACGGCACAGAACATACTGCCTTGGGAAGCCCGGTGGTCCCGCTACTGAAGCTCAAAAACCCACATACGTCACGGTTCGATTGCCCGTCTGTTAATTCAAACGGTGCGACCTGTCCATCGTCACCAAAGCTCTTTCCGATATCGCAGAGCTCCTGGACGTTCATATACCCATCTTCCGCTCCCTCCAGCAGGAAGATGCGATCGGCGGGGATACCCGCGTTATTGGCCGCTGGAATAGCAACTTCCATCGAAGAGGGGACCGTCATCAGATACTTCGCCTTGGCAGTCTTTAAAGCATAGGTCATTTCTTCGACGTTGTATGCAGGGGAGGCTCCGGATACAATCCCGCCTGGTTTCATGCCGTTAGATGTCGGCGTCGACTGCGCCGGCGAACCGGAGAGACTTACCAACGCGAACCGTCGCAAGCATCGCAACAGGATACCAGATCGTGTTTGGACTAAACAAGGCTACCGTATCGCCCTTCTCGAGGCCATAATTGCGAACTAGTGCAGTGGATAGATAAGTAGTGTAGTCCTTGACTTCGTCGTAGCGGATTCGTTCATGAGTCGCGGCGTTGATGAAGGCGCCCAATCCGGTCGGGTGGACGCGACGAAGAGGCGAGTATTCCGAGTCGAACAGGAAGTCCCAGATGGGGAGATTGGCAGGGACTATCGGTGGTTTGTTAGTTGAGACCTGATTCTAACTCGCATTCCAGGGGTAATATCTACTCGGAAGACGCGGTCGCGTGGAGGAAAAGATCATGGTGTGAGATTGGATGTATGTCGGGAGAGGATTTACCGAGAAGACGAGTCAATCACCCTTTGACCGAGAGAAATGTCGGTCAATTGAAGGATGCGGGGGGGTGTGCTGTCGACTAAATACCTTGAGCGTCCTTGCAGACGATCCTCGGCTTTCCCCGCATTTGGTTTTAATTAAGCCCGGCTTGGTCTCACTCAGCTTACTGCCGTCCTGAAGACAGACGGAGTATCTTTCTCTCGTCTACCTCTGCAGCAGTGGCTTCTCTCTTTGGTTGTACATATGTGAGCCTCAAGGTTCCTGCCCTTCTTGTTCTCGGCTCCCAGTCGATGATGGGCCGCGACCTCTGAACATTGTCGCGCTGTTGTTTGCTCTCAGAGTCCTCAGCTGTAATCCGAAGTCTTAGTTCTGCCCCTTGCAGGTTTGTCTTGGCTCAGGTGTGACAGGCTCGCTTGACTGAGGATTTGCGTCGTGTTTGGACGATGTGTCGAGCAGGGAAGAGCGAGAACCTAAAAATCCTAAAAACAACACCTCTTTTCAGAACCAAGAAACACATATTCCAATCAAGTAGTACGTTTCAGCTGTATGACCAAAACACAAAGGGATTTCCCGTGCTGTTCGCTATTCCCGCGGGGGGCATCAAATGAATCCGAAACCCATCCTAGCCGCATCTCAAACCGCCAGCACTGCCTCGTTTCGCCGACGAAGGATATCCAGCCAACCTTCCAAGGTAGTATCCGTCTCATGCCAAATACTTCTCACAATCTCATACTGCCGTTTGAGTGTTCCGATCCCATACCTCTGGATGCGAGACCACCACCGGTGCCAGGGCTCCCGGTGATAAGCATTGCAGGAGGCAACAAAAGCAGGCTAGCTGATGGGTGCCATCTGGATGTCCTGAAATTGAGATTTGTGGTCTTCGCCAGAATGCAGGTGTGCAGCAACGGAAGCAGTTTCTTCGGTCAGGTCTTCCGGTCTACAGCCTTGAATGCGAGATAGGTAGTAAATAACGGCCCCGTGGTACCAAGTGTATACGTGCTGTTCAAAGATCTTCAACATTGTCGCGCTCTATCCAGAAAAAATGCAACCCTGTCGATGTCGAGAGACCATGATAATAGTCGATCACCGAGAGATTCGCAGGCCTCGAGCAGGTCGTCGGGTGGTGGGACTTGAAGCTCCCGGTAGAAATCTAGATGTTCGGCTAATTCGGTGGTTTGTTGGATGAATGCAGCCACGTCTGCGGTAATGCCGTAGGTATGTTCATAGCAGTAAGTGGTGTTGCTCTTTGTGGGAGTATCGAAACTGGAGTGACGTTGACGTGCTTTTGATTCGGCTGACCAAGGTGTTGGAGACGTTTGTATGGATGTCGTTCGGGATAAGAGACTTAGAAATGCACTCATATTGTCCAATTGACGATTCTGAGAACATAGCGACTGCCATTTCTTGCGCGGCTGTTTCAATTGCTGGATCCCAGTTAAGTGAACATAAAAGTCGAGTATATTGCCTTCCATCACCTAAGAAGTTTTAATTTAGTTCGTGCAGTTAGAGACTGGAAAAGGGGAAACAACGTACCCCAATCGTAATCATAGACAGAAGAGTCACCATAATTTTCTTATAATTAAGCTGACTTGGTTCTCCGACGAGAGCTAACTGCATAGATTCAAGGGCAACCTGCCTGTGCAGAATGCCGAGTCCATGATACCCGGAGTCGTGTCTAAGGCATCCATGGAGATGAAAGGCAGCAGTAGCCACTAGAGAGTGAAATATGCAAAGCTCGATGCTGTTGGCCGCACGGTAGGGATTATTAGGGTGGGAGAGAAGCTGAGGGACGTTGGCAATATTGTTAATTTAATGGTGAAAAAGGGCATTGGTTCGTGAGTCTCTAGATAATGGGAGTTGCGGCTGGTGTTGAAGGATTACTCCGACCTCGATAGGATTGTGATTAATGTTGATATTCGAATCGTTCGGTTGAGTGCTCGAGGAGTCGAGTTGCACTATATTTGATACCTCAAACAGTTGTGGGCTCTTGGGAGGTTACTCATATGTGTCGGGTACAGGATATTATGGGGACATGCGGATTCTTCAGCTGACTCTGCGTCGTGATCCTCGATCAATACCGGTTCGTCTGCCGTGCCTCCCTCCTGCAGAGGTGAATGTAACGGGTCTACCGTAGCAGGAAATAATGAAAAGGGCCCATGATTCGAAGACACACCACGCCTAGCATCATCCTCAAGGATAGAGAGGAGACGATCAATTTGATCCAGCTGGAGTGGACGGTCAGGCCAGCCTAATAGTGGTCAACAATCCTCCAACGAAACTCACATGATGATCCAACTACCTACCGGCTCGAATCTTCCTCCTTCCTATGCCACTGGTCTTACGCTCTCGAGAAGAGCCTCCAGCTTTCTCCGAGACCCACTGTGACTTAATGTCATACCCACCGCAAGGCAGACCGACTCGTGCGCAACCAGCGCACCCCCGGGGATTCTCGTCGCATTTTACTTTGCGGGCTTTACATATCCAGCAACTTCGAGTCCAGGATCAGCTGTCTTTTCCTTGTGAGATAAGAAGCATAGCTTACCCTGAAAATATAATGGCTCTTTCGATCGTGTCCGGCATGACTCGACGAAGCCCATGAGTGGAAGAAAGATTTCGGTGGGCGGCGATTCGCTCCTTGTGCAAACCTCGGGTAGTGCATAAGGTTATCTGAGTCCTTTTAATTGGCTTTTTATAGTGATTGTTATTTTTGGTGCTTCACATACAACCAATTTTTGGTTCTTATCTGACTGTCAACATATGGTGTCATAGATTTATAAGCAAAGTTGTTTCTAAGCGGGGCACAGGATTTTTCCGCCATTTCGGGGAACGATTATACACTGTAGAGAGTCAGTCATGTCATTGAAGGCAAATTTAACCAATCATATCACATTATGAACTTGGTTTTAGGTCGTCTTTTTTGGGTCATTCGGGGTTGTTGATGCGGGCGGAATTCCCGCCCTGTGCGGAACATGTTTTCCGACCCAAGGTTCCTTTACTTCTGCCCTCACGATGGAATTTCATTTATCAATCGATTTCCGGTGTTGAAATTTTTGTGTATACATGAATTATCACAAAGAATGTGGACCTAGTACTTTGAGGCTCGTACTCCATAAAGTTGTCCTGCTGCCTGCAATCACGGCAGACACTGTGGTTTCTGCACATAGCTTGGAAGTAGTTTATATATCTTGGTCTCAGGTTCTGCGAGGTGATCCACACAGTCATCGAAATGATGATACAAGTGAATGAATTGAGTATCTAAAATACGCGTTGATTACTGTGTGATGAAACAAGCATTCAATAGTAATGCATAATAAAAATGGGCGTGAAGGGGAAGGCGCAGCATATGATACTGAAGGCATCTTAATTGCCGTGATGATATACCGCACTAATCCCGAATCTTTATCAGCAATGCAAAAGCTCGTCTACTTGATTAGAGGAATGGTTCGGGGAGAAGGTTACATTAGAAGAAACCAGCAGTTCTAAACATTTATCAAGTTATACAAAACCTGATTTGGGTAATTGTTAGAGAGGTGCCCATAAAGGGTGTCAGGAAGAAATTGGCGGTGGAGTCGCCGTTGCTGGGGCCGGGGTCTAACGTCTTCAGGTAGCAATGACAGCAAGAATGTGTTTTTCGAACATTGAACATAGCTTCCAGACATTATAGTAAGATCGAATAAGTACTAAGGTCGCTATGCGATGGAGCCGCTTCACAAATATTGAATTGAGGACTTCGTGGCTCCACTCGAATGAGGTCATACTCATTTTACCCTAGAACGCAAGGTCCTAGAACTTGGAAGAGTTACATCACGAGTTGTGAAAAAAATCGGGATACGTTAAGATCCATACAGATTATGATTCACTCACAGTTAAAGAGGAGTGCATCCAGCATGGTATCAACGCAAATATATTCATAGCTCCGGGGACAACAACAACAACAACAACAATGAAAATATCGGCATATCCACCGTGTCTACCTATCACCTATCACACGGACCATGACAGAATGAAACACGACCCACACCGTCAAAGCGAGCAATCCAGTTGGGCAGCTGCCAAGTTGGAAAGCAAGATATCATTACTTAACAGTTTCGAGGCGAGCGAGGCGAACGATATACCCGGCATCAAAATTTGGCCCTGAATGTTCGAGACCCGCTGTACTGTGTAGACATGAGCCCACATGGTTGACATCAGCAAATCACCATGCACGGTCGCCAATCGGAAGAACGGCATCAGGAACGGGTCCAGCGCCTTCATTGGGCCCGGATCAGGTCCCGTTGCTTATCGCTGGCGTCGGTCGAGGAAAATTTTTCACGTTTTGCCTGAAACCGTTGCGCCTTGATAGTCGGCTAAGCGCGGTTCGCCTCGGAGGGAAGCCTCGGTTAGCCCGGGACTTTGGAGCACTAGCCACTTTGCCGTCGGTAGCCGAGGGAGTTGGAGCATCTGATTGGCTCAGAGCTTGACATCCACAGCTCGCTGTGGCTAGTGCGCCGATGTATAGAAGGCCGGGCCCATCGCGGAAAGGAATGGAGCTTCGACCAGTGTCCATGTCGGCTCTGTTTGGCAGCTCGGAAGCGTTACAGGTGGAACTATACAATCTCTTCGGCCATGATGACATTTTTTTTTCTAATTTTTCTCTCCAGGGTCCGGCCCAGGTGCCACTCCACGGAGTCCACTCCCTAGTATATTAGTAGACAACAGAGCCTAGTTTTGCTCTGAATCCTCTCTTTCTCTGTAGATCTATACAATCAATTGAGCGCACGGGCACATCTAGGCTCAAGCCGCCATTTATCGGCTCGCCATGGACCGCTCAACGAACCATGACGTACCGACCTACCACGATGACGATTCCCCATACCCAGACAACATGAAAATGTCGAGTGACGACTCCTCCGACACGGCCGATGACCTCGACTCGCTGGAACTCAATCGGATCAATACATACCGACTGCAGCAGAAGTCTACAGTAGGATCGACTCGTGGTCCTCTCCCGCGCGATCAATGGCTTCCTATGGGGGCCGGAAAGGAATACCCACCTCTCCTGCCAGCCCCTGAAACATATGTCGTGGAATTTGACGGATCGGATGACCCAATGCACCCGTACAACTGGTCGATACTAAGGAGGTGGGTGGACTTGCTGTGATATAAGTGACTGTATATTCTAACGTTGTGGTCTCCTTAGGACATTCCTGGTCTGCATTTTGTGTTATGGCACGTTCGTTGCCTCGTTCGCGAGTGCCGTCTTCTCTGCTGCCATTGGTGCCGTCAGCCAAGAATTTAATGTAAGCTCCGAGGTTGGCTCCCTCGGAGTCACCTTGTATGTCCTGGGATTTGCCGCAGGTCCGACTATATGGGCACCTGCCTCCGAGTTGATAGGACGGCGCTGGCCGCTGTCTATCGGGCTGTTCGGATGCGGGATCTTCACCGTCGCCTGCGGAGCGGCAAAGGATATACAGACGATCATGTTATGTCGTTTCTTTGGGGGGTTCTTTGCAGCCAGTCCGGTTTCCATCGTGCCGGCCGTATTTGCCGATCTGTTCAACAATGCGCAACGAGGAGCTGTGATGTCTATCTTCTGCATGGCTGTCTTCATTGGGCCGTTCGCCGCGCCATTTGTCGGTGGATTTATTGCAACGAGCGATTTGGGATGGCGATGGACGATGTACATCTCCGCTATCATGATCTTCTCGGGCTTCGTCCTCGTCCTCTTCTTCCTGGACGAGTCCTACGCACCCGTTATCCTGGTTCGCAAGGCCGCCATCATTCGACGTCAGACTCACAACTGGGGGATCCATGCTAAGCAGGACGAAGTCGAGGTGGAAATCAAACAGCTTCTGCGCAATAACTTCATGCGTCCTATCAAGATGCTGATCTCTGAGCCTATCCTTCTTCTCATCTCTCTTTACATCTCCTTCATCTACGGCCTCATGTATGCTCTTCTTGGTGCATACCCCGTGGTCTTCCAGGGAGTGTATGGCATGAATATGGGTGTGGGTGGATTGGCCTTCATCGGTCTTATCATCGGGGAACTCGTTGGAGGTGTCTACATCCTGTTTTTGCAAAGCTCCTACGCCCGTAAGCTAGCGGCAAATGGAGACAAACCCATTCCCGAATGGCGTCTACCCCCGGCCATTGTGGGTGCCGTGGCATTCACAGTTGGAATGTTCTGGTAGGTTTTGTCCATGTATCATTATCCTGAAAAAAATACTAACAGTCCGTTAGGTTTGGTTGGACCGGTTACAGAGAATCCCTTCATTGGATGGCTCCAGTTGCCTCCGGTGTCCTGACTGGGTTTGGAATCTTTTGCATCTTCCTCCAATGCTTCAACTATATCGTGGATTGCTACCCTACGTTGTAGGTTCCCTTGTTCATCTTTTTATCTTGACTCTGGCTAACTAGAACTTAGGGCCGCATCCACCATTGCCGCGAACACTATTCTTCGGTCCGCCGTTGGATGTGCATTCCCATTGTTCTCCAGGCAAATGATGGAGAACCTTGGTGTACAATGGGCAGGCACCATGCTTGGATGCATCGCTGCGGTGATGATTCCAATCCCGGTCATTTTCAAGGTCTACGGACCTCGGCTTCGATCAAAGAGCAAACTAGCCTGCTCGCCAGTTTATGATATCGAGAAAAAGTTCTTTGATGTTTGATTTGTTTTGAGCTTTTGTTCCCTCAGCGAGATACCATTTGTTTTATTGATTTGAGCGTGATGCATTTGCATGTTAGAGAGAAGATTAGATGAGGTACACCAATTTAATGACTGCTTCCACAATCTCTATCCCTGGTTATCCCTTGCTTCGAAACGAAGAGGAACGTCATATCTCATTCCCAATGTCAAAACAGTAGAACTCCCATTCAATATCTTCTCCGCCCTTCGGTGGACAAAATCATCACTCTCTTCTGGTTTCAACTTCCCCAAGGAAACCCGATACCGACTGAATATAACAGCTAAGGTTGCTATAAACTCGACCTGTGCGAATCTCTTTCCCACGCACGCGCGGAAGCCATCACTGAATGGAATGAACGCCCCACGAACCGGCTTGTGAATGTTATCGAACTCAAGGCCCGGAGCCGATAGCCCTTTCTTGCCATCGTTGGCGACAAGGAAACTATCCGGGTTGGACTTATCCCATCGTTGAGGATGAAAAAAGGCTGCTTCGGGACCCCAGTACTCTTTCGAGTAATGCAGGGCGCTTGCGTTGAGGTTGATGTTTACTTTTGGCGGCAGCATATAGGTTTGATCATGATGAGTGATCGGTACAGGATTTGACGCGGTCCATTTAGGAACCGTTACCACGGGTGGACAGAGGCGAAGAGTTTCGAGCTATTTCAACAGCGAGTGAGGAACTATTGTAACAATGGTTTATGGGCTGTTACTTACCATTACGCATAGCGGTGCGATGAGTCGGGGAAACATCACCCCGTATTCCCACTCCTTCGGATCAGACGGTTGGTCTTGAATTACCTCGTCTACACAATCCTGTAACCACTCTTGAACATCCGGATGCATGGCAAGAAGAACGAGTGCGAAGCGCAAGGTTGTTGCGGTCGTCTCGTGACCCGCAATGGTGAATATGTGGAGGTTGCCAATGATTTCGCAGTCCGTGAGACCGCCATGTTTCTGTTGAGACTGTATGATGCCCTGTAGTAGATCGTGTGTATTATTTCTGTTCTTTCCTCTCTTTGAACTCTCAATTAGTCCGTCGAGGTAATGTTTTAAATCTTCATATGCGAGAAAATCACTCTTGAAGAATGGCATCAGGATCCGCGGGATCCACTTCGGGAATACCATATTTGCGAGAACTACAGTGTTCAGCCTTGAGTTCATGTACTCAATAACTGCCCGGAATGTGTAAGTAAACCCCTCTGGTGGTGTATCAGTATCTTTGAATAGGCTAGTGATATCATCCGTGGCCGTTTCTCGGGATTCTGGTTGAAAAGGCAACGAGACGCCAAATCCTGCGCCACAGATCACATTGAGTGTAAGCTTTAGAATGTCTGACTTTGCACTTGGCACCATAAGCTCGTTCTCGTTTGACAAGGTTCTATATCTTCTCTTCCAATGGGCTGTCATCTCGAGAGTCTGCTGAACCGCTATTCGCCAAACAAGATTATTGTTGCTTTCGCTGAACGTAGTCGCTGTATGACGACGATGATGGGCCCATTGCGTGTCCTCACACTGGAGATGTCAGTCTTTGAACTGAAATTAATCATATAGGTTGACTAACAGTCAGGAGATTGGGTCCGTATAATTCCAAAACTTCTGATCAAGGTCAACAACATTCCGCTCAACTGAGGATACCCGCTCACCGTATTGCCAGACAGGCTTGGGGAACTTGCGACGCTCAGAGCAAATTTGAGAAACGACCGCCGCATCGGCAACATTGCAACTCAGGCTCGTTGGTGTAACGACAAGACTCACCGGTCCTAGCTCCTTTACTCGGCGGTCTCTCACGGCCCAGCGATAATTGATAACATTGTCATTTATTATATCTGCTAGCCACCTGGGAATCCAATTATTCACGAATTTGGGAGCCTGTTCCGTGTCGAAGAGGGGATAGAGCAAGACATTAAACTCGGATATAGGAAGGCAAATGTAGGGGAGGCCGGTCTTCCTGGCGAGGCGGATGTTCCAGATGAATCGGAAAATGAGTGACATGCAGTAGACGGTCAGTAGACCTGAAATGATTTGTCCGATCATGATTGGAATTGGAGTTTATTTCAGTTGTATTGTTTGTGACACTTTTCACAGTGAACAGTTATATAGTTCGACGTGTCGTGCCCCCTCGGGACCCGCGGGTTCCGTCGTTGTCCTCGGACAGCCGGTGATCGACATTCGAGGCAAGGAGTAGCGGTTTTTATCACACAACTCAAGGCTTGCTGCAGTAGTGAGCTCTGAGTTGCGTTGCTCCACGATAAGTCATACCCTAGACACATTCTGAGGCGTTCATATTGGTGGATGTTTGCCTAGGGCGTGATGACTCGCCGTGCAGAGAACACATGTGCAACCCACAAACCAGATAGCAGGATTATTTCAAAGCTTGTGATACTTGAATGGAGATAGAATAATATCCGACGCAAACAGATCAAGATCCGCTTGATATCAGATGGCTTGGTTCCTCTCTCCTGGCCACTTCCTTTGACCAGTTTGAGTGTAGCGAATGCTCCGAAGCAACATCAGACACTGTGAAATTCTCGCACGCTTTTTGAATTGTGCAGATATCTGGTTTCAACAATTTCGCGTGAGATCTCGGTCTTTGTGAGACGAAGTAACGCCGGAAGCGTCCAATTCATGGCATGGTCGTTTCAGTCCTCTTTCCCTTCAAGATCTATATTACTCGCCCGAATGGGGTCACAAGTTCGGGGAAGTTGAGTTTCCTAGCTCATTACGAGCAAAATGGCGCATGCTGGCTGACGCGTTAATATGTAGAAAGCATTCACTCACATGATATCTTGCGAATAAAGACATGATGATCGGGTCATCCTTTGGAGGAAGCTCGACAAGGATCCCTCTTGTCTTCTGCCTTTCAGTCCTTTGAGCCGAGATTGTCACCTCAGATACGACTCAAGCCATGGATTCGAGTGGCCTACTTAGAAGGCCTCGTATTCATTCATCGGGAGTGATCTCAGGGACTGGGATATGGCTTGAGCATTGTTCAGGTCACGGGGTTAGTCCCTGCCTGGGGTAAGCGTTCAAAGTCTGGGTTTCCGATGTCACCGACATCGAGGTTGTCGAGATCTCATGGTGGTCAGCGAGGAAGTGACCTTCACTTCATCCCCGGTTTGAATTGGTGGATGAAAAATTAAACACGACATTATCATAGAGAAAATGCAGTCGACGTTGACTGGGTCTCAATGAAGGTGGGATTCCACTGGACTTCAATCGATCAAGGACTGAGAGAGCATATCTGCTCGTCGCAGCCGCAGATGTTATAATGGAATGATAGCTATATATCACACCAGATGTGGTCGCAGGGCATGCCTCACGAGCACCATGGGGAAGGAGCCTCTTATAGATTGGGGATTGCCTTACGAGATCGTTGGCTGTTGCCTTGATTAACCTAGCGCTCTAAATAAGCTAGCTTGGAACCGTTGGATCGAAATTGTTTATGTTGCTTAGATCGTTAGGTCAAGGTACAGTACACCTAAAAGAATAGTCTAGATCTTAAACAGAAGTTTGATATAGCAACTGCAGTCCTTGATACAGAGCTTACTTTACATGCTCCACTCCTAGCTCTCCATGATCCCAGAGCTTTTCTGGCCAGCAAACTCCAATCAAATATGTATTGGATCAAATGATTGATATAGCTGGTATACCAAGGCTTCCACGGCCTGAGAATTGAAATAATAGTCTAGAGCTTGGGGCTATACTCCCACATAGTTGTTGACTGAGCATAGGAGCACGAGGACTTAATCACACCTATTTACTTAACTTCCACGAACGTTTATGAATATGTACACCAGAAGAGAGGGAATCTTTGATTGTTAATGATGACGAACAATGCCGTTTGATTTACGATCGATTCGATTTGCCACGATGATCTCGATCTCCATCCTACGTCTTCCTCGTATGACTGGGTCGATTGACAATACCACGGCGAATAGCAGCGACAAGCTGACCATCCAAGGGCCAGTGGCAATCAAAATCCATCGGTCTGCATCGAGATTGATCTCGATCATCTCGATGATCAGATCGAGCGCAGAGCCATGATGCCGTGTGGAGTTTTCACCATCGACGTCCACCAGTCCACGAGGTTGGCCATGGGGTACTTCCCCCTATGCCCAACCCTAAAGAGTGGGGATTTTAACGGCTCGCCAGGCCTGTTTGGGCATTTGTTCGTGGAAAATCGGCGATGATCGAGATGTGATCGATCGATCTTGATCGTAAATGCCAATGACGTCATAAGCATTCCTGACTCCCACGCCTGTTTGGTGGATGGCGTTCTGTTTAGACGTTTTTCCCTTCGCGTTTATCGATCCAGTGTGAGACTAAATCGCGACTTGCATAGGTCATGTCGGCATCAAAGACTGGACTTGCGATCGTGACGCCCGCGTCCAAGGGTTTGGGGTTCGCGTTTGCGCGTCAATTGTTGGCGCATACGGACTTGCCGGTTGTTGCCACGGCGCGGAAGGATTGCGATGGGGTGAGAGGCAAATTGCTCGATCGATTGGGTCGATCTGGGTCGGGCGATCTGGAGAAACGATTGAATGTGTTACAGGTGGATATTACGAGTATGCTCAACCGTGCCCTTGGTTCGCGTTATGAAGAAGCTTATAAGAACAGATGAATCTACGATTGAAAGCTTGGCGTTTAAGATTCGAGACACATACCCGGGCACACCGTTGCGTCTAGCCCTCACTGTCCCTGGTATCTTGAATGTGGAAAAGTCGCCGTCCCAGATCGATGCCGCTGCTGCGCTGGACAGCTTCAGGGTCAACTCCCTCGGCCCGATGTTGCTCATGAAGCACCTCTCTGGGCTCCTGCCGACCAAATCTGCTGCCTCGTTTCCCGAATCAACGGCCCGTGAAGGGCACTTCAAGTTACCTACGCATGCTATCTACGCTATGATGGCTGCGCGTGTGGGCTCCATTTCTGACAACGGTTTCGGCGGATGGTATTCCTACCGTGCCAGCAAAGCAGCCGTCTTTCAACTGACCAAGACATTCGATTTGTTTTTAAGAACACGAAGCAAGGAGCGAGCACTGGCCATCGCGATGCATCCCGGGACTGTGCAGACGGACTTTACGAAGGACTTTCAGGACGGGAGAGAGATGCTAACGCCGGATGACTCGGCGGCCAAACTATTGAACGTGATATGTGGTATCAAGCCTGGGACAAACGAGGGACGGGGAAGGTGCTGGGACTGGAAAGGAGAAGAAGTTCGACCTTGATTTGTCGACGCAGACTTCCTATAAGCTGCCGAATCTCATGGATTTCTTTGGCTTCCATCACAAATTGTTCAGAACAATATACACTTTAGTACAATGCGAGTAATCGCCTCAATGTGTTCAATTCGATTGGCTCTCCGGCTTTCTTCCGTATACCACGTTACTGTTCATGTTAGCTCATTCTGTGGGTAGGTCGAATCCATACTTACACCTCCTGATAAGGATGAATGCTAGGATCATGCAGTCCTTTACGCATCCGGTCAAGGAAGGCCTCAACTTCCTCCCGAGTCCACTGATTCCGTTAGCCCGGTGCAATTTTGGACGACGAATCCAGAAAACATACACCCAGGAATTTAGTGAAGAGCATCATTGTGTATCCCTCAATCCCCTCTTCAGTATGCATCCGATTCAATTTTCCCAGCAACTTCATATGGGGATCTTTAGCCCAAGGCCCGAACGGAACCTTGTACCTCTTCTCAACCACATCGACGAAACCAGCGGCGATCAACCCATTGCGGGATTCATCAACGATTCGCAGCGTCTTTCCAAAGGCATCGCCAGCTGAAAGCGACACTTTTCCCCACTCCTCGAAGATAGTGCCGTCGGTCGTGCCGTCGTCGGATTTTGGTACCACGGATTGCTCAAGCTGTTCGATATACCCGCCCGGCTTGATATGGCTGTACGCTTCTTTGTAGAATGCACCCCAGTCCGCCACGCAGCCGTACAGCCCACGAACATGGACGTAGTCGAAGTAGTCTTTTCGGAACAGCCACGGATCACAACAATCGTCGACTTCGAATTGGAGGTTTGGTGGGACGAATGAGGGTTGGATCGGGGAGAGGTCTGTACCGATGACCAGGGCGGATGGGTGCATGTCGGCGAATTCACTGGATGGAGGTTATTTCCTCCTACTTTTTCACGAGTCCGCTGCATCCAAGGGAAACGCACATGGCCCAATTACCAGTTCCCGTACCAACATCCAAGACAGCCTGCTACTTAGCTCGGGTTAAATCAGGGTACAAAGGAGATCTCACATCCAGGTTCTGCGGAATCGGTGCTAAATACAGCTGGCCTCGCAGAATGACATTGTATAGATAATGCCTGCAGACACGCGATTAGTTTCTATGATCAGCGATTTGAACGAGGCAGACATACGCTATCTCCATATGATCGATCGCTTGTTGGTCGTTCGGGCCCCTGGAAGGTCAGTACCTGGCCCTGGCCAGCAACTCCGGTGCCTATCATACCAGTAAGCTCCCGCATGAAATGCATGATAACGGCGCCCGTTCTCAAAATAGTAATCCGTGATACTACTTCGAAGAGAGGTCAAGTCGCTGGAAATAGTATTAGAAGTGCTTGCTGGATTCAACGGTGTTTCATGACATACGACTGCGAATCGTCTGCAGCATTGTAATCTTCCTCCACATTGGGATCAACATCCTGCATGGAAGGGGTCAGTGCGAGACGCGGGGTCGTTTCATATCCCACCAGTTAAGTGAGAAAGACATACCACTGGGGACTGACTCGAATACTCGTACGGGGCCTCCTGGGGACCTGGGTTTGCGGACATGGTGACGATGTAAGATCATAAAGAGGAGTGTTTGGAACCACAGACGGTTAACAGCAGCAACAGGGACGAAAGAAAACCCCTCACTCGGTTAATCTTCCAGGAAACACTCCGGTGAATGCGACGTGGCGTGATAGGCTCCGGTTTGTGCAGTCGTGGCCACACGCTACTGACCGTTGCTGTCGCTATGCAGGGATTCTGGTGGAGAAGGCTGGGCGTCAGATGAGGCATCATACCAAGTTCGCCAGAAAGATCCCTTTCCTACCCACTGAACACGCTATATATACACGATCTACGTACAGTCATTCTTTCCTTCGCCCATTGGCTTTTTTTTTTTTAAACAATTTTCTCCTCTCATTTTGGGGTGGAAGAAGAAGAGGAGACTCGGCCAAGGCCACCGAATTACCCTGTCGCGTAGTTCGCGTCCGGCCAAGGACACTAATGCAATTAACATAATAATGGATCGGATTATCGAACGCCCTTGCTCATTTCTGGTGAACCCATCTTATTCTCCCATCCTTCAACTCTTCCCGTGCACCGACTCGATCGTCTCCTCGCGAGGACCGGCATCCTTGCGAAAAAGGACCGCCCGGGAATGAAACACTGCGCGTCGTTAATCTCAGACTCAGAATGCGCTTGGAAAGAGCGATCTTACCTTCTTCCATCTCCTCGAGCGATTTACCCGTGGTCTCCTTGATAAACAGCCACGCGTACACCACGAGCGCCCAATTGAAGATACAAAACATCAGGAATGTCCGCCAGCCCATGTTGTCCACGGCATGCGGTGTTGCCTGCGAGAACACGAAGTTGAACAGCCACTGCGTCGCCGTACCCACCGCAATGCCCATCTCACGAATTCGACTGGGGAAGATCTCGCTCATGTAGAGCCACGGCACGGGTCCCCACGACATGTTATACGTCATGGCTTCGAGGTAGACCATAGCGATCGATGCCACGCCCGGGCTGGCGATACTGGTAGCATTCGGGTCTGGGGGGAAAGTTTTGGATAGAATGGCCACGATGAGCATGAGCGCGCCCATGAGAAAGGCGCCCATGATGAGGGACCATTTCCGACCGACTCTTTCGACGAGAAAGACGACGAAGATAAAGCACGCCACTACCTTCACGACGCCGAAGAAGCCGCTAATTAAGAGACTGTCTTGTCCGGCACCGACGGCCTTGAAGATTTGCGGTGCATCTAGCGACCACGTTAGTCGGTGAGATCTTTATTGCGGGAGGACCAATACGCACAGTATGCAAGGGACGTGTTTCCCGTCAATTGAACACCTAATCATCGTGAACATGACTTCCGACCGGTGACCAGACGTGAGATCCTACCGATTTGAAGGGTAACGGTGATGAGCATACGATATCGATTCGCAGGCTGGCGCAGTTCCTTCCACGATACTCCTTCGGTCGCCTGTTCTTCAGCTCTGATGCCGTCCAGAATCTCCGCCATCCTGAGCTGTTAGTCGGTCTGTCCGTCTTGCTGGGCCGGAGACGACCTACTCCGCGCGAACCTCGTCCGTCTCCTCTCCTCCCCGAATCCATACGAGCGACTGCATCGCCTCCTCGTGTCGACCCTTCTTCGCCAACCATCGTACGCTCTCCTTGAGAAAGAGCATTCCAATGCCCAGAACCCCCCCGGGAACCAACTGCAGTCCTATTGGAATCTGCCACTGTCGGTCGCTGGGTGGGACGTGTTTCTCGACGGCGTAGTCGACCCAGTACGAGGTCATGACTCCCAGGGTGAAGAAGAACTGAAACATACTGCCCAGCTGGCCTCGGATTTCCTTTGGTGCCATCTCGGCGCTGAACATGGGGACTATCACGGTCGCCATGCCGACTCCTATACCGCTGATGACGCGCGCAACGTAGAAGGCAGCGATCGAGTGCGTAGGGACGACTTGGATTATGGCCCCGACGCAGAAGATCAGAGACGCGAGAGCGATGGACCAGCGGCGGCCATAACGAGCGGTAAAGGGCCATACAAAAAAGCAGGAGAAAAAAGCTACCTGGTTAGTCTGCTTCCCTATAACGTTAAGCGAAGTTTAGAGGGGCACAATACCTCCGGCCTGGAGTAGGCTGTTCGAGTTGGAGTTAATAGTCGACTTTTGCGCCTGACCATATCGGAAGGAATTCTGGAACGACTCCAAGGTGAGGATTCCCCCGATAATGCCGGTGTCGTAGGCAAACAAAAATGAGCCCACGCAACAAATTGAGACCATGTAAACGGCCCTTACGAGGCCCAGTGTTTTACCCATGGTGACTGACGAGCGGATGAGTACTGAGTAGAGGTCGTGACGATCCCTTCTTATACTGAATCTACTCAGTCACCAGTTGCGGGGGGATACAAACATTCACTGGACCATGACCCCGGTTGCTCTGTATGACCATATCCCGCCTAAAATAACGCCATCGCTGATAGGGCCACCGTCAGCGAGAGTCCGGGGAAGCGTCTGACAATCAAGGCGAGCCGTGCAACTGCCAAGCTGGTCGAACTGTTGCATTCGTTCGTGATTGACGCGGTCTGGTGCACGCTTCTTCCCGTCCATGGCGAATGCCAACACGGACGACGCTTCTTGACTCGTGAATTCCGGGCCAGAGGGATTGCATGGCTTGCATGGCTTGCGGCAAGCTTCAGATGGCTGGATGAGCAATTTATCCGCTGGATTTTGTCGTCGTCGCCTCATCTCCGAGGAGGTTAGAACAGGAATATGGATTTTCGTGGACTTTCATCGCGTCCGAGTAGCTCTTGGTAATGCATTGCAGGGACTCAATTAAATCTGATCAATCATTCACGGCGATAGAAACTGAAGCTCTTCAGGGAAATTGTTATGAAATGCACAGGGGAAGAAGGGTAGAATGACACTGTATCGGCTACACGCATGTAGCCTACTAAGGAGCGAATGCCTTTTGAATGATAGGGCTCTTAATTCTCTTTCATAACGATTAATCTCTTCTTCTATTATAGATAAAGGGGTAAGTTCGAATGTGCGGGCCAAGCCGCTAGATCACGTAATCTCATAGATTCGTATCAGAAATTGATCAATATTTATGGCAAAACAATCTTGTTTTTCTTTGGAGACCTTGAGAGCTACATATGTAGGAACGGCAGTGATGGTCTGATTGATGAATGAATCACAATGGATGGTCGATTCCCGTGGATATTTATTTTGTCAACTGCCCGGGTTGACCTCGCTTAGTCATCACTTAGTAAGCTAGGTATCTTTGACCGCCCAATACACAATCTATCCATCGCTTCCCACACGCTGCTGTCTCAAGATTTCCCAATCTCCGGTTTCAACCAGCGGACATTGAACTCGTCATGTCGAGAAAGAAGGGAAACGCGCCCGGGGAACCCCAGGATGCCGGTGCCAGTCAGCCTGCCAAATTAAAAAAAGATCTACGCAAGGACATGCGAGTGATGTTTCAGGAATTGCAGCGCGTTGACAAGAGCGCCATTCTGGGCAAGTACCTTGCGCTGTATCCTGACCGAGCGGACTACATTTACACTGTGGTAGACAAGTAAGTTTCTGAACAAATTCACTGATCCCCAAAGAAGAATTTCGGAGTGACCGGCGCGTAGTTACACTATCTCGCTGGAGACGCGGAAAGGCCCTGCAAACCCGCCCCCCGCCAGCGCCGGGTTGCCCCCGAAGGATGCGCCGACGGCCCCTAAAAGCCAGCGGGCTGCCGCGCCCTCGTCTGTGTCCACCAAGGCGTCGGTGTCGCCGCCCAAACCCAAACCCAAACCCAAACCTGCTTCCACGGCGACATTTGAGCCCGTCATTAAATCAGAGGCGAAGAAACAAAACAATGCGGTGCTTCAAGGTACGTCGCGTTTCCTGGCCCCGAGGAAGAGCACACGGCTGACTCGATTACAGATTTCCAAAAAGAGTATCTGGATGTTCACCAGAGTAGCTCGCCTCAACCGGCCACCTTCTCCCCCGGCTTTTCCTTCCTGCCGACTCTCGAGAGCCAGATGCAATTCCTGACCCTCGGCGGCCCGGATGATCATTCAGCGAGCAGCTCGTCCCAGGATTCCCAGGAGGCGGTGCTCGTCTCGGCGTCCGTGGAGCGTGCCGGACAGAACTTGCCCTCCCAGTTTGCTCTGTTGGGTCAGCTTCGCACGCGACAACCCGTGTCAGACCCTCGCGTGATGCTAAACACTAATGTCCCTTTCTCCGCATTCATCTGTGGACTCCAGGGAAGCGGGAAATCGCATACCACGTCCTGCATGATCGGTGAGTCGACTTTCTCTTGCCGGGGACACAAGTCAACTGCTAACGGCCCTACTAGAAAACTGCTCCCTCTCTTTCCCTGCTCTGGGAAATCTGAAGAAACCGCTGTCCACTCTGGTTTTGCAGTACAACGAGTACAGCTCCAATCTGAGTTCGCAGCCTAGTGAAACGGCGTTCCTGTCCTCCATCATCCCGCAGTACATGTCGTTCCAGAAGCCTATCCCAGTCAGAGTCCTCGTTTCGCCGTCAAACTTCCACAATCTGCAGCGCATGTACTCCCAGATTCCCAATGTGGAGGTTCGGCCCTTCCGCTTGAAGCCACACCACCTGAGCACCAGCATGATGCTGTCCTTGATGTCTATGGGGAAGAACGACTCGATGCCGCTGTACATGGGCCAGCTGACAAAGATCCTGCGTGAAATGGCCATGGAGGACAAGAGAAATTTCGATTACCTCGATTTTCGCGCACGTTTGTCTGCCCTGCGTCTGGACCGCACCCAAACACCTTTCTTAGAGCAGAGGCTGGGATTGCTGGACTCGTACCTCGACCTTGAAGGAAAGTCGACCGAGGACTATTTCGTGGAAGGGGGGGTCACGATCCTGGATTTGTCCTGCCCGTTCATGGATCAAAGCACCACATGCATCTTGTTCCGCATCGCCATCGACCTCTTCCTCCACGCGCACCATTCCCGCGGCAAAATGGTTGTTGCAGATGAAGCACACAAGGTATATCACGTCCCCATTTGCTCAAAACCAAGAACGAATGCTGAGAAAACCAGTACATGACGGAAACCCGCGCGGCCAAAGAACTCACCGAAACCTTTCTCAACATCATCCGTCAGCAGCGCCATCTGGGAGTGCGCATCATAATCTCCACCCAAGAACCCACCATCTCCCCTCGTCTTATCGACCTATGCTCCATCACCATCATCCATCGGTTCTCCAGCCCGGAATGGTTCAAGACCATCAAGAACCACGTGAATTTTGACGATACGGATGGCACCGCCACCGACGAACGCGACGGTCTGTACCAGATCTCGAGCCTGCGCACCGGCGAGGCACTGGTCTTCGCGCCGTCTGCGTACCTGCTGTACGATAACCTGTCGCCGATCAATACCCGTCATACCACGTTCAAGATGATGGTTCGGAAGCGGGTCACCTGGGATGGGGGCCGGACGATTGTTTGCATTCGCTAGGTAGGTTTGTGTTCCACGGAGTGATACGGGACATATAAAATGAATATGAGCTATGATATATTGGGCTATGGGGGTTATTAGACGGCTTGGAAAAAATATTATACGGACATTTAGACTGCTACTGCAAGGAGTATAGAACCAAAAAATATCATCAACGCTAAATCGAATATTCGATGCTTGAAGTTAGGGAGAGACTGAGAACCCCGGATGAAATTTATCTCCACCGAAAGGCTACTTAATTGACATGAAGCTCCTTTAAACCTAATGTTTCTTTCTCGGAGTTGTCGAGGTATCCCTTCTGCAGGAAGTGGCTTAAAAAGGGAGTGAAATCGAAGATCAGATCACGAAGCTTGGCCAGTGGCCACGGGAGAGAATGGAATATCCGGCCGATGAACCGCGCAAACTCCATGTTGTGATTCACGTAGTCGAGCCGCTGCTTCTCGTAGAGCTCGAAACCAGCCGTGACTGCCCGTGGATCACGTAGATCGACACCCTCCAGTGATTTCGCCAGGTAGTAACCATCCTCAATCGCCATCCCCATGCCGTATGCTGCGTATGGCGACACCGGATGAACCGCATCGCCAATACCCACAATCCGACCGGTCGACCATTTCTTCATCGACGGACGATTATAGATCTCCCAGCGATAGACTTGCGAATCAAAGTTCGTAGCCTCGAGAAGGCGAGACAGAGGCTGTGACCAGTCTCGTAGTATCGCGGAGAGGTGCGCCTGGGGGTCCTCTGGGAGCGGTTTATCCTCCCAAGAGGGCTCTACCACCCACCATTCAAACCCGGGCTTGCCGTCGTGAAGCATCGGAAAGTAACTGGCCTGGTATTGCCAATCGTGTGCAATGACGCCGTGGTTTGCTGGGATCCCAGGGATATGATCGCACCAGGCCAACCAGAGACGAATCCCGGTGTGAAAGAGTCCAGGATCTCCGAATGCCTGTCGGGATACCACGGATCGAATTCCATCCGCCGCGACCAAAATATCTGCCGTGACTTTATTGGCGTTATTGAATTCAATCTCGACGCCGTCTTCAAGCTCGGTATACGCCGTAACCTCGTGACCTGCGTAGATCACAGACTCGGGCACGAGCTCGAGCATCGCCTTGAAAGCCGACGAACGCAGCACTCCGTAATGCCAGCCTTTAATACCCATGCGTTTCTCGACTTCCGGATTAAAGGGGAGCTCGACACGCTCCTTTCCCCACTTGTTTTGGAAATGAGTAACCGTGTAGGAGCCGAAGTTTTCCACGTCCATGCCGTAGGAGCGAAGGATAGCCAGGACTGGCGTAGACAAAAGGACTGCGCCACCTATGGCCTTGCAGCTATCCTGGCGCTCAAAGATACGCACATCATAGCCGCGCTGGAGAAAGGCAATGGCAGTGGATATAGCTCCCGGTCCTCCACCGGCGATGGCAACTCGCCTCCCAGGGCGCCATTGCTGCGAAGCCATGTTTAAGCAATAGAGAATATATAGTAAGAAGGTCGAGAGAGACAGAACTCAGAAGTAAAAGAAAACTTACAACTTTAAATCGATATGCCGGCAATGGCCCTCCACATTTCCGAACTGTGTACTCCATAGACCCGCGGATCTACAGGGGCTTACCGCTTATTGTATCTATAACCCGCATTGATTAATGATGAAGGAGTGCCCAAGCCCCCAGGTGACTCTCGGAGGGACAAAGTACGTCCGAGTGGACATACTTGTTAATCCACTAGCTCGGGGCCTAATTAGTTCCGTGAAGTTCCGCTGACACATGATGGGTCTCTCGTTTAGGCTTGATTTTAAGGGCAGGTTGCAGCGATTGGTGCGATTTTGGACCCGAAGCCTGTCTGGATAGACTCGGGGCCGACCAAATTGGGACTTGGATAGTCATCTCCGTCCACAAGAGTTGCATGATTATCGCAGAATGTTCTCCCAGTATCTCTATGCAGTTGGAGTTAAAAATTTGCCCGCTAAATATATTTGAACAAGTAGGCTCTAACAGGTGGAATTCGAGATAGAAACCTGATTTGATAATGCCTTGCCTTGGTTAAATAATGATCAACCAACCAAACATGAAGCCCGAGAGAGGGGTTTTGTTAGCTAAGGCTTCGTCAAGTGATAGGAAGATAAATCATCACAGCTTTTCCCACTCAGACCCAACGCTATCATGAGACCACAGCTTCCGGGGTTCGTCTGCACAAATCAGATAATTGCCTAGAATCCTACTTCGGAACCCAGGCTCGCAGTACAGAAAGTAATACTGCAATTATTAATAATCTGCTCGCTGGAAAGAGAAAAAGGATTTTGGGGAACTATTCTAGAATTAACCGTAGCATACGAGAGCGTGTGGAGGGAATCAAACCGGGTGAATCTTGGTAATTCCATCTATCACGGCTACTCCATTCGACGATTTGAGTTGGCGGGATATTGTCTCAAAATACGCGTCCAGAAACTCAGATCCGACATGCTCAAACATGCCGATGGAAATAATTCGATCATATCCCCCTTCTGGGCAAGGCGCGTTGCGATAATCACAAAGTAAGACTCGGGCCTGATCTTGCAGTCCGGCATGTTGAATCCGTACGTCTGCAAGGGTCTTTTGCTCCTACGATAGTGTGATCCCGGTGGCCTGACAGCCAGTCTGGCGGGCTGCCTCAATTATCAGATCTCCCCAGCCACAGCCGATATCTAGCAAGTGGTGGTTGGATGATAGTTGTTGGGCTTTCTTTAGGACACATTGCATCTTCCTTCGCTGGGTTGACCCGAGAGACTCGGTTGGGTCGGTTGACCAGTGGGCGCAGGAATAATTCATGTCCGCTGACAAGAGCCCTGAGAACAGACCGTTGAATGTGTCATAGTGTGAAGAGATATTCGATCGTGCATTGGCGACGTTGTTCTGCGGCCTCCACCACCGGACCAGACGTGGAATCAAGCCAAAAAGAAAATTACGAGATCCAAGAGTACGAGGGTTTTGGATATAGAGCTGGTAAAGATATTAGCAACACGCCCCGGAGTAAGGAGAGCCATTTACATCGAATGTTTTACTCAGATTCTCACAGTCAATTTCTTGAAGCATGTAGGCTTCAGCGAAGCCCTTTACATTGTTAGAACACGCAAGTAACAGCAGATCTAGCATAGGTACCAAGTCAAAGTCTGAAAGGATCCTCGTCCAGAAATCCGGATCATTGACGTAAATCACGCCAATCTCATCTGATCGTCGGGACTTGTCTTCATAAAGCACTTTTTCTGCGCCATCAGCTCGAGAGATAATCTTCAGTGGGGCTGATATTTCTCTAAGAGCCCCTTGCGCGAACTCAATGGCATATATTTAGATCGACTGAGGAGTATTGAAATTCATTGTGTCGGACGAGGATTGATTGTTGGGTGATACAGGAGGGGGTGAAAAGAAAACACACTGCGGTGTGACATTCGCAGATGAAAGGGACCAGAATATTTGCTATTGTGATGTGTTCAGTCGGCTGACCGCGGGGTTACTTGGCCCTGCACGATGACGGCGCTAAGATAGGAAGCGACTAGTTCATCTCACATCTGCCTTGGTACCTGTCGATGTATTATTTAACAACGATAATCCCAATGTCCAAATACTCATGTCAAGCCCCTAGTAGGGTTAACATGAGTGCAAATATAGAATAAGACGAAACAATAACTCAAAGAGAGAGCCTTGACCAGAGAATGCGTGGACGGTTTATGCCCAATTATTTATTCAGTCCCCTTCTTTCCCCAATTCTGAACAGTAGCGCCTTGTCGGGATACACTGTTTCCTATTGGCCTTCGAGCCAGAATAGTCGCAACTAAGACTATGAGAGCGACCAAGCTGGCTTCGATAAACCTAGCGAAATCTTCATGAACCATGACCCGGCTGACGTTGCCAAAGGAGTGGCCTTCAAACTCTTTGTGACTGCTGCGAAGAAGATACTGGTTCGCGATCTGCCCAGTAATTGAGGCGTATACCTGACGAGAAACCTTTTCAAGAAGCAATGAGTCAAAGAGTTCTTCGGGTGAACGCAGAAGTAGCATGTTCACAACCAGGTGGAATGCATTGTAATACACTCCATCGGAGTTTGAAGAGCGTCCCATCATATTGGTAACTTCAGGTAGTTTCGATAGTGGTATCTCGGCGTTTTTTAGTGTTGACATAAAACTCGCAGCAAGATCTGTTGGTGTCACCTCCGGGATGTGCTGCTCCGATTCGCCATTGTTGATCCGGATAGGAATAACCATGAAGGTACTGCTGTTCCGTTGGTGCAATGATACGTGTGCTTGAGATATAGAGTAGCTAGGCTCGCAAACAATGGACGATACTTTGGGGTTATTGCGATTCCAGTGAGCGGCGACAAATATCAATTGAGGATCTTCCGGCACATCACTTGCGTCTGCGCAGTTAGCAGCTACAACGTCCACATAATATTCGTCCGCGCTGACTGGAATCCTTTGAAATAGCGAGATTCGATATTTTGTGCAAGTTGGAGTGCTTAAAGTCACGCTCAGTGCATTGTCGGGGCAAGTGGCAGAGCTGCATTTTGGAGTTGAGTTGACGACAGACGCCACTTCACACTTGAGGTCCGACGAGAAAAGATCCACAATACCCGCAATTATACCGTCATCTTCTGGAGAGTGGAGTTAGACTGAATCGTAGTAAAAGACTAAGAGAAGTTCAAACCTCTGCTTTTGACAGCGGCACTGAAAGGCTGAAATGCATGTTCACCAGTCGTGCCAGCAGGATATGGTCGGCCAAGGCCATGAATACCGGCTACAGTCAACGTTGGATTTGCATCGATATCTCCACTATTGTATCCAGCTCCCGAGAACTCGGAGTGAGCCAGTAGAGTTATTGCTTTTCTGTCGAGCTTAACACACTGCAATTCAAGAAGCCGGAACGACAGGCCTATTGTGATGATGAGAAGAATTCTACCGAGAGTTGCAAATGCAGTCACTCCATGGGAGTCTTTCATTCGGTGACAAACCGTTGTTTGTCCAATATGATCTGCAAGGCGGCCCCAGAACCCGGAGGCTATCGCAAATACTTCTCACGAAATTAGCCACGCTTCTAAGGGTGCTTGGTGCTTTCCAATACCGACAGCTGGGCCAAATTCCCATAAAAATTTGTATGCCGACAGATTTGGCCCTAATCCACTGTTCTGCTTCGACCATCGGAGTATAATCTCAATCACAGCTAGTGCAAGCGTGAAAAATAGAGCGAAATTGAACAAGCTCGTGGTTGGGAAACTGGAGACCGCCAAGACCTGATGCTTGGTATCTTGTTCACCAAGATCAGGAGCCAACTTCTCAGTCTCTTTCCTGTGTGCCGATACATGCGTTGACATCTTGTACGATGGGGTAATCCGGTCGGTGCTTCATTCAAGTTGAAAATAGGAAGCACTAACTCATAATGTATGATTGAGATGGTGTTTCAAGAGATTTGAACCCGTGGGACTAACATATTACAAGTAGGCTGTAGGAAGGCTGAGGTTGACAGTGGCAAACCGGTTGGTTGATTGTCGCACCGCCACAGCCTCGCCCTGATCTTTCTGTCCAACAGGTCAACAGTCAGCCAACATACTTTAACTATAGCCTTGCAGCGCATTTTCCCGAACTGGCAGGGATTTGCGCCTGAGGAGTCCAGTCTAGCCGCTTAGAGAATATATCTGCCTTAGGCAAACAGTCCCTCAAAGATGCCCGGCTGCCTGGATGCCTGGGTGCCTGTATGTCTGGATGTCTTGATGCCTGGATGCCTGGATGTCTGGGACCCTGAACACTAGGTCGCCGGGTATAGTAAATTTCCCTGTGTAGTTGAACCGGTGGTGGAAATGCTCCGATGGAGATTGCAATTACGGAGTCGCAAGATGTTTGGTCTGTTGAGTTAATATGCTATCATACATAGGTATGGAGTGACAATCTTTCAGATGAAAATATATCATGGCTACTTTTCCATTTTCTGAGTAACATAAGTCTAGTGATTCTATTTATTGAATTCTTCCTGCTAGCTCTCCGTTCAGCGAACAACTAATGGCTTCCCGTACAGAGTCCCAACTGCCTACTGCGTGCCAGGCAAAGGCTGGCCAGCCATAAATCGTGGAAATCCTTGGTAGCCTAGCCAGAGCTCACCAGTTCCCGGCGGGCCACCGACAATCTCCTTCTCGCGAGCCTTGAGTTCATCAATGTCCCAAGAGGCGAAGACGATCTTGTTTTTGAGAAATTCAGCTTCGGGGGAGGCGACCCAGACAAGGAAGTCAGCGGGAAGAGAGACTGCAGACGAAAGAAAAAAGATCGATCGTTAGTTACTCGAAACAAAGACTATAGGATTAGCTCTTACGTACTGTCATCATACGCATATGGCAATTGGATCGACTCCGCCAGCTTGGCTGACATGGCCGTTTCAAGAAGTCCTGGATGCACATTGTGAAGGCGCACTTGCGGGTTTTCGGCCGCAAAGGACTGGAGGAGCTTCACGGCAGCCATTTTGCTGCTCACATAGGCGCCCATACCGGGGAACGGGGGAAACAGGATGCCGGCTGTGGTCAGATTGATGAAGGTGACGGGCTTGTCTTCCTTGGCAATGGTCTTGTTTGCGAGGACGACAGCCTGCGCCGCCACCAGCGTACCGACGACGGTAGTCTTGTAGCCGTCCAGGAAAGTGGCCGGATCCGCCTCCAGAAGGGGTATTACCGGAGCGAGTGCGCCAGCACAGTGCACGAGAATGTCGATGCTGCCAAACTCAGCAGCCGCTTTGCTCATGACATTGCGTGCGCTCGAAGCATCGCCAAGGTCGGCCTGATGGGCTTGAACTGTCACGTCTGCGTGGCTTGTGCTGATGATCGTGGCGGTTTCCATCAGGGCGTCGACGCGACGGCCGAGGAGGATGAGGGCTCGGGGTCTCGAGGCGGCAAAGGATATGGCAGTGGCCCGGCCGATGCCGCCAGATGCACCGGTAATCAGCACAACCTTGCCTGCGGTAGAAAGGCCGGGCTGAGTTGGATTGATGCCGGGATAGGTGGCGCAGTGAGTCACTTTGGTATAAGAGGGCGGTGTTGTTGCCATTGTGTCACACTGTTGGGTACTTTTGTCTCTGCTGCCGCTTAAAATTTGGAAATGTAGAGTAAGCAGGCAGACAGTCACAAAAGCAGAGGGTTGGTGGAGGAAGGATCGAATCGGCAGGTAAGGGAAGAGGCGAATATTAATGTAAATTGTGGGCAAGATTGAGGCAGCTCCCTGACAGTTAGGCTGCACAAGCATTAGGCCGCAGCCTCAGACATATCCACAATTAGTTCTTAATTCTGTGTCCACAAATTCCAAAAATGTCAAAGAAATGTTGGATCTAGATTACTTGTAGTTAGTATACTTCGTCCACTTCGTCCAATTCGTCCATCTCGTATTTCCTAGACGGGAATAGCGTGAAACCTGCGGAATCCAGTCTAGCCGTCTAGAGAAAGTTCCTGCCTTAGGCAAACATGGCCCCGGAAGATGCCTGCATGCCTGCCTGGGGGCCTGAAAGATCTGCACGGAGCAGATTGTCCAGCAATAATGGTCAACCCCCGGATGTGTGTAGGTGACAGTGATATTGCAGAAAGTTGCATTCATGACCTCGACATTGACGCCATTATAGTGAAATGTAGAAGGCACAGTCATGCTATAATTGGTGACCCGAGAAACAGACATGGATAGTATGTCGGCACCGAAGACCACGGGGGTGGAAAGGGGTCTAGCTATTGCGCAGTTTGTCGGGAAGTCGCCGGTTTTCATCCAATCGGCCGTGTCAAGGGTAGTGTGTCCACAATCCCCAATTACTTTTCGGAATTCAATGTTGAAGACGTTTAGGCTCATTCTTATCACTGAACAAGAAGCTACCACAGTAGTCGCAGGGAACGCTCGCCGGCACAGCATAGGTAAACTACCGGTCCACAACTCTCACAATCAGGGTGTTGTCGTTCAGTGACACGGTCTAGGGTGGGAGCTCAAAATAGGAGTCACGGCGTGAATAGTCTTGCTTTTTTCTTTTTTCTTTTCTTTTTTGCCGATCACCTTGAGAGTTGTAACTTTGAAGTTGTCATTTCGAGCGGTGAATAACTCACTTTGTTTTGAAGCGAAACCTGAGAATGGCATGGGGTCTAATTCTCTATCAACGCCGATCATGTAAGACTAACAGACAAGTAAAAATTGACCTGTCACTGGTGAATGAGTTTCAGATTTTTGGTCTCAACTATTTTAAACGTGAGTGGCGCGCGGAAGTTCGCTTCCCGAAGACAGCTGAAACACTTTAATGCCAGATTATTACACAATATACGAAGGGCAGCGAAGGGGCTTTTGAGGCCGCCAGGGCTTATGGTTGACGTAATCGGCAAATGCAAGTCCAGCTTACAATCAGCATTTACAGGGCTAGAACAGTCGAATTTGCTCTTCCTAGCTAGGGCCGCCACCACGAATATTCAGGGTGTTGCCAACTCAACAACTTGATAGCCTTGGAAAACATTTGCTGCTTTTCCAATTTCATAATCATTGTCAATCACGACGTGCACGGACCAGGTAAGGTGTTTTGTGAGTATTCAAGGGGTCAACAAAAGGCAAGGGAAGCCGTGGAATTTCGTCATTCCTACGCAATCACAATCTGTATATGGCTTCCCTCCAGCATTTACTCTGTAGAAGATCAACGTTTGTAGACGTTCCTGACCCGACCGTTAGAGTCGAGATCTGCGATTGTGCAGAGCGACTCCTCATCGCTTGCTTCCGTTTGTTCCGGGCACTTGACTCTAGAATTACTTATCAACTGGGTATTTTCAAGATATATTGAGTCTAGGGATTTATCCGTCGGACTCCGCAATGTAGACAGAAGTGATTGTCCTTCTGCAGTCACTATAGATGGCAGCTTGATCGGTTGGCAATCGGAGACCGAACGTGTCATTGCCGGTCGCCATTATCGGTGGAATGATCAGGATCTGCATAGTGTCCAACTCATTGATGTGAACAGAAAGTGGTCGGATAGAATGAAACTCCCTGCCTGAGGCGACCGTGAAGGGTGACCGGGCGAGCCCTAAATGCGATCGATGAAGAGTTGACTCATCGCAGACCGATTCACCACCACAGCGTGGCAAGGGAAATCGGTCTCCACCCACCAGGGTCCTCCGATCGTTACCCAGAATAGAAAGTGCGTTGACCAGATGAGTGTTCATCACGTCTGTGCTCGCGATCCAAGAAACGGTGCATTCTGCAGAATGCCAGAATCGACCAATTTCCTTGAGTCGCAAACACGAGGATATGGCCTGATATCCCAGATCCCCTGAATGGTGAGAAGCCACTTCTTTCGCCCGGTCGGACCCCAACTGATCCCGACGGAGATCTCCAGGGACTGACGACGACAATTCTGGGCAGAGGGCGCAGCCTTCGGCCTGAGGATTCCCTGATTGGGCCCACAGTGGATGATCGTCGGTTCTGGGCGGCTTCGAGACCAAACCACTTGTCGTCCAGCGCCAGCAGCTTTCTCCGCTCGCCGGGGCCAAACTGGCAAACTACAGGCGGCGGATGTAACGCTGCGGACGGCCTCATCGCACCCGCTGCCAACATCGCTACGGTGGCGTCTAACGCCGACTCCACTCGACGGACAATGAAGCTTCGGGGGTCAGTAGCCGTCGCGCAGTCCGTCACTCTGATTGCTCCAAATGGCCCCTGCCAAGCGTCGACTCGCTGAGCACAAAGAGGGTCAATAACGTTGCCCATCAATAGGCGCTCTATCAATAGGATTGCCTTATGGCCCATTCGGCTTCCCGGTGGATCGTACACTGCAGAAGGATGCGGGTGGGCGTCGGAGGGATCCCCTTGGCTCAGCCTGCTACGTACTTAACCTGCCGGTTTTCAGGGAGCTCAGGCCGAACAATTTCTCTCCTTTTCCTTTTTTCGTTCCTGGGATTGGACAAAGTTGGACCAGGGGTTGTCCCAGATCTATATCTTTCTCTGTTCGGCTTCACGATGCGATTCTTCAACCTAGCATGGCTGGTGCCGGTTGCCCTGGCGGTTCCTCACTTCGATCGTTCGAATACCGTGTCGACCGTCAAGCGTGATGGCATCACTTACAATGTGTTCGAGCATCGTGCGACCGGGTCGAAGCTCGAGTTCGTCAAGAACTCGGGCATCTGCGAGACTACCCCGGGGGTGAACCAATACTCCGGATATCTGTCGGTCGGAGAGAACATGAACATGTGGTTCTGGTATGACGATGTGACGTCCTTGCCGATCGGGCCCGACCGCCTGAATTACCCTCAAACTAACGGGTGCAATTCTCCACAGGTTCTTCGAGTCTCGCAACGATCCTAAAAAGGCTCCCCTCGCAGCATGGTTCAACGGCGGCCCGGGCTGCTCATCCATGATCGGACTCTTCCAGGAACATGGACCCTGTCACTTTGTCGACGGTGAGAAGAAGCCGTCGCTAAACGAACACAGCTGGAACAACTATGCCAACATGCTGTACATCGATCAGCCGATTGGTGTCGGCTTCTCCTACGGCACCAATAATGTCACCAGCACCGTGACGGCTGCTCCGTACGTGTGGAAATTGCTTCAGGCATTCTACGATCAGTTCCCGGAATACGAGAGCCGTGACTTTGGTCTTTTCACCGAGGTGATTTACTTGGAAATCCTAACATGTTGGTCGCTTACTGACACGTATCTAGTCCTACGGAGGTCACTATGGGCCCGAATTCGCCTCCTATATCCAGGAGCAGAACAAGGCCATCGATTCTGGCTCTGTTGAGGGTCAGAAGATCGACCTCGTCGCCCTCGGCATCAACAACGGGTGGTTCGACACGGGCATCCAGGAGCAGTCCTATATCGAGTTCGCCTACAACAACAGCTACCGCTCCTTGATCTCCAAGAAGGAGCGTGACGGATACCTCCAGAACCTCAAGGATATCTGTCTGCCGGCTGTGGACAAGTGCACTGAGACCGGAACGAATGCTGCCTGTCGCGAGGCCTCTTCTACTTGCTACTCTACCGTCGAGGGCCCGATCATGCAGGCTGACGACTTCGATGTGTACGATGTGCGTCGGCCGTCGGATGACCCCGAGCCCCCATCGACTTACAGCGACTACCTGGCCGATGAGGAGGTCAAGAAGGCCATCGGAGCTCGGTCCAAATACAGCGAATGTGCCAACGCGGCGAGCACTAAGTTTGCGACCACCGGTGACAGTAAGTGAACCCGAATCTAGTGGCTAAATGACACAGTAAAGCTGATTAAATAGACCCTCGATCTTTCGTGTCTGCTCTGTCCGAGGTCGTGCAGTCTGGCATTTCCGTGCTTGTCTGGGCCGGTGACGCTGACTGGATCTGTAACTGGGTTGGTAACTACGACGTGGCCAATGCGGTCAAGTTTGATGGCCAAGATGAATTCAAGGGCAAGTCGTTGAAGCCGTACACCGTCAACGGTACCGAGAAGGGAACCTTCAAGACGGTCGACAACTTCTCGTTCCTGCGTGTCTACGAAGCTGGTCATGAAGTCCCTTACTATCGTGAGTCATTCCCCTCGTAATTTTTGACCGAAAGTCAAAAGCTAATGGCCCTCAGAACCGGAGGTTTCTTTACAGGCGTTCAAGCAGACTTTGCAGAAGAAGCCTATCTCTTCGACTTAGAGTAGCTGATCTGTGCTGATTGTTTTGAGACGTTCATCGACTGGGCCTCAATGTACATACAGAACGGATGGCCTAGACGGCTTGATCCCGACTGATGGTAATCTTTACATACTTCCTACCTTGCACATAACTTTAGTTCTTAATACTTCTACCATAGCTGCCTCTTAGTAGCAACCAACTCACTTTCTTTTCTCTCATAGCACCTGTAATTAACTTCTCGCTACCCTCGGTTGATTTTATACCCTGCATATCCATGCAAGACCTTCGGGGGGTGGCTCAACAGATACCAACCGACGGCCACTTTTTCCTAAGGCTGTTTGTACCTGGCCCTTGTTCATCTTTTGTCAGATTATGAGATCACGATTATGAGAAGTTATCCATATGGGTAATTGCCGCGAATTGGATAATAACACCCTCCTGCGAAATAATGATTAAATCAACTCTTGGCAAGAATCCATCATAGAATAGTGCGGGGAATCTGGGGTTGAGTAGTCATTCAAACAAAGGAAGCCTCTAAGCGGCCGTATAAGACTTCGAGAAGCAATCATGTGTCGCATTGACCAAGAGAAAATTAGGCAGTTTGAAAACCGTCGGGAAATTTCCAAATATCATCCTGGGAATCACACTGTTATTCGTGGAATACCCAGGCACCGAGCATGAGAGCAGGGTGATCCGCGGGGGTGCTGCATTAGAGCTTCACTAGTTTCATCTTCATTCTGCGCCATCATCACAACTGTCTATCCCATCGTAGCTCAGCTATGCAGGTATAAAAGCCACGCTGAATTGCATGATTCAAGTCGACTTTACAAACCATGCATCGTTCCTAATCATGTTGCCTTCTCGTATTCTTCTTCCTTCAGTGCTGGGTCTTCTATCAGCCGTCGAGTGCTTAAATGCCTCGCATTTCACTTGGTATACGTCCGGCGCGTCGAATTTTGCGTCGACGCTGCCAATTGGAAATGGCCGACTGGCTGCGGCGGTGTGGGGAACCCCGGTTGAGAATATTACATTGAATGAGAATTCCATCTGGGGCGGTCCGTTTGAGAAACGCGCGAACCCAGATGCTTATGACGCCCTAGCGGAAGTTAGAAAGCTGCTAAAAGATGGGAACATCACTGAAGCCGGGCAACTTGCTCTCTCTGATATGGTCGCTATTCCGGACTCCCCGCAGAGTTATCACCCTCTTGCCAGCTTGATTCTGGACTTTGGCCATGACCGAGAGGGGATTGAAGACTATGTGAGAACATTGGATACTTCCACTGGAACTGCGCAGGTTAGTTATGTTTATGATGGAGTCAAGTATACTCGAGACTTCATTGCAAGTTATCCTGGGGATGTGCTTGGGTTTAGGCTCTCCGCTAGTGAGAAGGGGAGGCTGGATGTGACTGTTTCGTTGGAAAGGAAGAAATATGTCTTGCATAATGAGGCAGAGGAAGCCGATGGAGTGGGTAAGGTGCTTCTGCAAGCCATCACGAGCGACGATGAGAATCCGATCCAGTTCAGTGCTGGTATGCGAGTCATAGCGGATGGAGGTAAGTCTTTTCTATTAATTCCTAGGGCGAACAATTGTTGACCCTATGGCAGGAGATGTCACGAGCAATGGTTCCTCTATCAGCGTGCGTTCTGTCACGACCGTGGACATACTTTTTGATGCAGAGACATCGTACCGTTATGATAATGAAGATAAATGGGAGGCCCAACTGAGTGATACTTTGGACGCTGCAGTCGACAAAGGATACTCTGATCTCCGAGAGGAAGCCGTCACGGATTATACCGCCCTCATCGGTCGTGTGAATTTAGACTTAGGCTCATCCGGATCTGCTGGCAATCAGACAACGGACATGCGATTGAAGAGCTATAAAGAGAACCCCAATGACGATCCGGAGCTTGTCAGTTTGATGTTCAACTTCGGTCGCCATCTGCTGCTTGCCTCGTCGAGGCGCTCGGCTTCTCCTTCATTGCCGGCCAACCTGCAGGGAATCTGGAATCAAGATTATAGTCCCGCATGGGGAGGCAAGTATACGGTGAATATTAATTTGGAAATGAATTACTGGCTCTCTCAAGTCACAAATCTCGCCGAGACATTTGAGCCGTTCGTGGAATTGTTGGAGACGGTCCGACCTCGCGGAGAAGAAATGGCCAGGAGCATGTATCACTGTGACGATGGGGGATTTGTCTTACATCATAATACTGATCTTTGGGGGGACACAGCGCCCACTGACAATGGCACCGCCTATACGATCTGGCCCATGGGCGGCGCGTGGCTGGCGTCTCAAGCCATGGAGCAATACCGCTTCACCCAGGACAAGGCCTTTCTCGAAGAACGCATCTGGCCTCTTTTGCAGAGTGCGGCCCGGTTCTACTATTGTTACCTTTTTACTTTCGAAGGCTACTATAACACCGGACCGTCCTGCTCCCCTGAGGCCTCATTCCTCGTACCCGATGACATGGCCAAGGCAGGCAGCAAGGAAGGCATCGACATCGCCCCAACGATGGATAACTCCCTGTTATACGAGCTCTTCACAGCTGTAAATGAAACATGCGTCACACTCTCCCTGGCTGATAACGACGACTGCACCACCGCAGCCAAGTACCTCGCCAAGATCAAATCGCCGCAGATTGGATCGACCGGTCGGATTCTCGAATGGCGCGATGAATACGAGGAATCAGCCCCGGGCCACCGCCACATGAGTCCAATAGTCGGCCTTTTTCCCGGTTCTCAGCTGACCCCATTGGTAAACAGGACCCTTGCGGAGGCTGCCAAGGGCTTTTTGGATCGTCGTATTGAGCACGGCAGCGGAAGTACCGGCTGGTCGCGCGTCTGGACAATGAACCTCTATGCGCGGCTTTTTGATGGCGACTCCGTATGGAACCATACGCAGACCTTTTTGCAGACCTACCCGAGCTCGAACCTGTGGAATACGGACGGTGGCCCCGGCACTGCCTTCCAAATCGACGGCAACTTTGGGTTTGTGTCGGGCATCGCGGAGATGTTGCTGCAGAGTCACGAACTTGTGCATTTGTTGCCGGCGCTGCCGGCAGCAGTGAACACAGGGAGTGTTTCGGGGTTGGTTGCCAGGGGCAATTTTGAGATCAGTATGCAGTGGAAGGACGGAGCGCTGGAGGAGGCAACGGTCCTGTCGAAGGGCGGGGGGAAACTGGCGGTTCGAGTGCAGGATGGGCAGTCATTCTCGCTGGATGGGAAGGAGTACACAGGTCCTATTGCGACTGAGGCTGGGTCGACATACAAAATCAGCCTGTCATAGCACATGATGTGAGGTGTACTGTAGGATGCATCTTGATTTGGGCCAGGGGTGGTGTTCGCATGCGCCGTGATCGCCGTATCCAATTGTTCGCTCCACTTCCGTGTGTTGGTCTTAGTTCGAATGCACTGCATAACGAATCTAAAGATTCTAAATATACACTCATTCATCTAGTCCAAGTTGAGGCATGGCAATGATACGGGCCAAGTCTGCATGTCTAAGACATCGCTCGTGAATCTGATCATGCCCCCGAATGTAGTATCCTTGGTTGATATCTCTTGTCGCCATTATAAATGTGTTCCGTCGCTCCATGTCAAATTATCTCCGGTTTCAAGGAAAACGTCGATCTCGTACTTCGTGCTACCGCCCACAATGAAGCTTTCAGCTGCTCTGTCCGCCGCCCTCTTGGCCGTCTCTGCCACAGCGCAATTTGACAAGAACCTCCGTAAGCTCACTCCACACCCCTCTTCCATACCAACGCTAAATAGGTTCGTTTAGCTTGGGGGAAGCGCGATTATGCCTGCATCAACGTCTACCAGGGCATTCCGGACAATTCCACCGTCGCCCCGGGAGCCGAAGTCACCCTGAAGTTTAACCGCGCACCTAACGGGCACTGCGACTCCAGTCTCTCCAAGTACCCGGGCACTCCCTACGCCGTTTGGCTGTATAACAACCCCGTACGCAACCGGGACGTGGTCTCCTGGGACAAGAGGGTCAAAATCACCGACGGGGTGAACGAGCACAACGGCAAAGTGACGATTACCGTCCCAAAGAATTTGCCTACGGTAAAGGACGACTCTGTTTGGTATTTGAGGGTCGACACCGTCCTTTCTACGGCCCCTCAGGTGAGATCTGCGCAATCGTTAAGGAACTGCCAAGCTAACGATCTTTAGATGCCGAGTCTGTTCAATGCTGCCGGGCCGTTTGCTATTCGAGCTTAGATTGAACTGGTTTGCAGGCGATTACACGGGATGCTGTTAGAGAGCTTTTATGTACTTGACTGATGTCAAATTATAATCAAGTGTATGAAGTGTGCTGTTAAAGACTTGCACGGAGTTTGCTCTTTATCTAATCGAGTCCACCCTTGCTTTGATTTAACCCTTTCTGGAGAGCAATGAATACTACGACGTCGAGATGAAGAGACAGAAGCAATAGTGGATGTCGCATTCAAGTTTACTGGCGGCGCATTAGTCTTTTTGTGGGAGAAACTCCCCTGTTGCGCGAGTTCCTTCGACTGGCATACCCCGTGGGGACGAGTTTAGGAGCCGCAAGGGGTAGGAAGCTATCCAATGTGCTGTTTCTCTTTTTTCAATCGAGCGACACATTATTAGATGTCCATGCTTAATTTCATTTCCAAATTGATGGACTAACCTTAGCCTCCCAGTTCGCAGATATCGTGGTTTAGAGAAGACACAAGGATAAGAAGAAGAAAAAAAAAACAACCCAAACAAAAACAAACCAAAAAAAAAACCACAACAAACAACGAAGTAGACCGCGTTCCGAGCAACGACCCGCAGGAATAACAAGCCATGCCGACACCCATTATGCAACCCCCAAGATCAAGTCCTGTCCAACAAACCCGTCATCAAGGCGCCCACCAGGGCGGCGACGGGGGCATAACCCCAATGCCCCCACTGGCCGTGACCGTGGGCCCAGCAAATCGCTCCGTCGCCAAAGGCCACCCCGCCGACCGCGATCATGATCCACCCCAATGCTTTGCGGCTGCCAAAGTATGCGGCCGAGTAAACGGCCAGGCCCATGAAGATATCGCGGATGCCGTAGACCGCGAGGAGGTCGTCAACGACGCGTTTTTCGGTCGGTGAGACAGGCGCGTCCCATTCGAAGAAAGTCAAGGCATGGTCAGGGCGTAAGACGGCGTTGATGCCGAAACCGATACAGGTGGTTGCGATGGCGGTGGCCGCGACCGTGAGGCCTTTGGACTGCGAGAGGGGCATGTTGATAAATTCAGAAGAGGAAATATGAGCTTATGGACTAGAAGTGGCCAGAGCCGATGGATTTATGGAGAAGAATGGGAACTGTGCTGGGAGTCTGGGACATGGAGTTTTTATTTTGTTATGGTTTGCGGGACTAGTTTAGGCCTCCGGTGGTTGACTGACGCTGCCACCAACGCTCGCTACCTCCGGATCCAACAGTTGCCATTCTGTCCCAGTCTAATTGTCCATTTTCTGTTTATTTGATATAGATATTTGCTTTTCAACATGCTATATTGCGGTAGAGGGCTGGACTTACTGCGGTGCATTGCCTGAATGATGGGATCTGGGTCGGTAGCTCGATTTATATCTTCACTAAGGTAACTAGTAGTTAGACCACGGTGTCAGCATAGCGGAACATCAACGCAAGACCAGAAGAAGAAACTCGAACGACAGAATCCATGTTCCATTATCCTGAAGCATCGTCCTTCTTAGGGCTCCGCTTGGTCAGCTGGAGGCCTCGGGCCTGAAGGGGAAGGTGTGTGGTGTTTGGTGTTTATCATGTATAGCCTGTTTGCGATGTTTGTTTTGTTTACAGTGAACTCTGGAACCACCGGCGGAACAACGTATGACCGACACCCGGGATCCGGCAGAAGAACAGCTGGCGTCACGATCGCCTCAAAATGTCCTCAAGCCTCCAGTCCAGTCCAGCCTTTTCCTTCGCCATCCCTCTTTCTCCGTCCTGATTTATTCGCATTGCCCCCTCAATCCTTTCACAATGTCTGACCAGGTGCAAGAACTCCTTAACGTCCCTCGGGAATTCCTCAAGGATGGCATGATGTTCATCAACCGAAGCCAGAAGCGTGCGTTCTCCGGTCTGCATCCCGCGCGACCTTTGCTAACCTGCTGTGTCTCTAGCCGACAAGCGTGAATTCATCAAGATCAGTCAGGCTGTTGGTACTGGTTTCCTCGTCATGGGTTTCATCGGCTACATCGTCAAGCTGAGTTCGTCTTCCCCCTTTTATCCTCTCTCCCCTTGATCCCGCTGCATGCGAATACTAATGCGACTCGACTACAGTCCACATCCCCGTCAACAACGTCCTCGTCGGTGGCGCATAATCATTTTCATCAATTCGGCTCTTGATACTAGCGGTGTGTAGCGGGACAGGCGAACGGCGGATCGGATTTCGGACCATTTCCCTCGTGCCAATGAATGGGACGCGCAGAGGATACCTTGACCACAGTCTCATAATTTTCATGATTTGTATTGCATTAATCGGGACGTGCAATGTTGGCCACTCGAGACCCTTTGTCAGTTAGGGACCACACCTCGGTCACGGTGGTCAGTTCCCGGGCGAGATACCAGGTTTTATTTTTTTCCTACCTTTCAGGTAGTGCGCTTCCGTTCGACTGTACATAATAATCTTGTCTTTGTTTCTTGAAAATGGAAAAGCACTGAACTTGCAATTTTGGTCAATAGTTGAAGTCTTGATTTGTGGTGACTGCTGACAATCTAGAGTATGCGTCCAAAGCCCCGACGGGCTCCGTTTTACCCTCCGATGCCTGCCATTCCGATCAATGCAACCTCTACCTGACATATGAGAACTCAACCGTGACCGTCATATCGGCACAGGAGGGACGTGATGGTGGATAAAAATATGACTCAAGGCTGTTATTTGGATTCACTGGACGGAGAACGGACATATTCTGAGAATGGAACTCTAGTCTTCGTGTGGTCCTTGCATTGGAAAAGGGAGCTGAATACATTCTCCCGCATGGTTGGATGTATGGCGTGCCCAAGAATCCGGGTTACTCTGTGCACCACAAACTGCCCCTAGATGGTTTCGCTGCGAATCATTTGCCTGAGTCGAAGACCGTCGAGAATTCACAACCACTGCCTCGGTAACTAGAGTGGGATTGGCATTCGTCTATCAACTTCCATTGTCATTTACAGTTTGGAAAGGGCGAGTCCATCTGCCGACTGGAGCAAAGCACCCGAGCTTTGGACTTCGTTGTGCGCGAAACACATTTCTATGATCCTAATCATTTCGTCCGCTTCAGGATTCGTCAGCATAATTCTTGGAATTTTGGTCGCCGGATCTTACCGCTGATTCTGTCGGCCGACGCATCGCCCTCATCACGACCATTGATCCGGGTATACTCCAGAATCATTTCCACTCGTTCTCGTCGTGCTTGCTCATATAGGGCAAGCCGACCGGGAATTTCTTTCGCCAACGTGCCCAGCGGCAGCAGGATCGCAAGGGATACCGCATCTTCGATCGCCATGGCTCCCCCTTGGCCCATATCTAGCTAATTAGCATGTAGTGCCTTCCAAAGTACCTGCGGGTCGCAACTCACACGGTTGGAACGGATGCGCAGCATCCCCTAGAAGCGCCGAATGTCCCCTGACCCACGAAGGAAGTACCTTCATATCGTATAGCTCCCACACCTTGAGATCATCGCCGGCATTCTCAACCAGTGCTTTGACACTCGGCGAGAAGCTCGAGAATCCCTGCACCAATGCTCGTTTATTGCCTGTTGCTTGCCAGCCTGTATACCGCTATGTTAGCTCCCATGCCTTGCGACTAAATCTGGATCGTGCACCTTCGCCCAATTCCCCCGCTTCCGTCGTCGGCAGGAATCCGGCGAGATTCAATATCTGATTGTCGGAGCAGGGGTATGCTACTAGCCGTCGGTCGGATGCGGCCCACTCAATAAATGTTCCCGGGTTGCGAACTGCTTCTGCCGTGCTCGCTGCGTTTCTCAACTGGTTCGTCGGAAGAAGCCAGCGGAAGGCCGATTTTCCTACCGGCTTGGGAGCGGCAGAGCTGGGAGCTATACTGGCTCGCAGGACGGACTGCAGTGCGTGAGCTTTCTAGTTTGCGTAGTATGTCAATGAGGGAAAAGCATACGTGCAGTCCATCGGCGCCGAGGAGTAGGTCGCACTCGAATGCGCGCCCATTCTCTAGCGTTACCGAGGGGCGAGAGGATGTTATATCAACATTGGTGATCTTGCATTCTAAATGCAGGGTCGCAGTCTCCAAGGCCCGCTGCTTCAGGTGATTGTGTAGATCAACGCGGTGGACGAGATACCATTCCTATATGCCTGGTCAAATGCCCGAATCGTTCTAGTTATGGATCGCGCTCGACATACGGCTTGCCACTTAGGCCTCAAGGGTGTGAAGTCTTGCTCATGCATCATATTTCCCTGATGATTGTACCGTTGCATCTGGCCATTAATACTGGATCAACACCTATTATTCCTGCAATCCCTGGCGTATAGTTAAACATACCCGATGAAGCAGCGTGCCTCCAAACTCCCTAGGATTGATCCCCATCCATTGTAGCAGCGCCGTGCAGTTCGGAGGCATGTGAATCGCCGCTCCGGTCTCGCGTGCGAACCTGGACTTTTCTAAGATCTGTCACATCCAAAGGTTAATGATCCTAACCCTAGACGGAATAGAGACACGAACCACAACACGATGCCCTTGCTTCCCCAGCGCAATGGCCGCTGTTAGACCGGCGATTCCGGCGCCGATGACGAGCACATCGAGGGGTCTCTGGTCTCTTTGCTGGATGGTCATTCTGGGAGTACTCTCCGTCGGGTTGCAATTCTCGACCACGTTAACCTACTTCTCATAATCCTGTACTCCTCAAATCGACATACTCTATTTATACCACACTAGGTTGAACCTATATTCTCGGCCTTCGGACTTACGACTAAGCGGCTTCGGAGATTTCAAGGCCGACAAACCAAGAGACAACGGAAAGGCACTCCGCAGATGCATCCCGGGCCCTCTAAATGCGCCTTTACCAATGAAGATGGTTTGCGACAGTCCAACGAGGGACTAAGTGGATCGACATGGCGGTCCTTGACGCTTGAGGCCATACGGAATGGCCCGCTGCGTAGATCCCTGCTCGACCAACGCAACTAACGTGCGATCTGCAAAATCTGGCCCTTGCTGGTGGTGATTCGGCGCTTGGAGGGGGAGGTCGGCAGGTCTTTGGTGTGTGACGTGTACTTTTCGAGAGATAGTGCGACAAGAGTCATCTGAGCCGATCGTAATAGAAGAGAGTTGTGGGACGTATACTTGATTATCTTGAGTCTTGTGGCTTTTAGTGAGTACTTTCGTTGCATGGGAAGTCCAACCAATAAGCTAAATCGGAGCAAACAGTGTATGGCGAGCGAGAAACGTCCGAACGAAAAAGTAATTCTTATATACCCGAAAGCGATCATGTCTATGTCTAATCTATGCATGTGTGGACCCTGTCCGACCATATCTATTTCACATCCATCTGTCCTATGTAACGTGTTCCTTCTCTTCTTCCTTCGGAATTCTGACCTAGACCACCGTCACCAACGCCGCCAGAAGCTGACACGCCAGCGCGAACCACCAGATGGCTCGTAGCCCCGTCAACCCGACCTCCCCGTCGGGGCCGCGGTCGACCCTCGTGCCGATGGCGTCCGCTACGCTAGTGATGATAGCCGACGAGAGGTTCTGGTTCGTGACGAGCAGACTCCCCGCGCTGCCCTGGTACGAGCGAGCTACGTTGCTGGTAATGAAAATGGAGGCCGCCGCAAACGCCAGGTCCGGGCCGAAGGTGACCAGTGCCATGCCGGGCAGCGACAGCGCCCAGTACGTGGTGTTGGGCGTCTGAGGCAGGAAGAAAGCCGGGCCTAGCGTGAAGGCAAACATCGAGGTGGCGTAAATGTAGTGGCCCGGCACGAGGTGCAACGTGCGGCTAACGATCCAGGTGGCGAGGACGCCGACGAGGGCGTTGGGGATGTGGTAGAGGGCGACAGTCAGCGGCGTGGCGTGTTGGATCCGCAGCCAGAACTGCACCGCGTAGAACTGCCAGGCCCCGAAGAAGGAGCCGAAGCCGAGGAAGTAGGCGATCATGAGCGGGGTGAAGCCTTTGGTGCTCCAGAGGCGCGTGGGAATCAAGGGACGAGCCACGTAGCGTTCAGCAATGAACAAGGCGATCAAGAAGACGATGCCTAGCGCCGTGAGTACGCAGGTGTAAGCGGACCACTGCGTGACAGATCCCTGCGTCAGACCAAAGAGCAAGCAGACACATCCGAGGATAGCCAGGCTGGCGCCGATGTAATCAAACTGGCGAAGGGATGGTGCTTCCTTACCCTCAGCATCCGCGACGGGGCGCAGCGTGGGGATGGAGAAGTAGGCGGCTACGGCGCAGAGACCGGTGATGATAGCATTGACACCAAAGATCCAAGGCAGATTCTTATGCAAGGCACCTCCCTCGATGGCGCCCAGGGAGAATCCGAACGGCGCGCAGGCTGCCATGGCGGAGAAGACGCGGTTCTTGCGAATGCCCGGCTTATACACACGACCGAGAATACTCATGCTGCCGGAAACGAGCACACCGATGGACAACCCTTGCATGGCCCGCACGATAAAGAAGAGCACGTATCGCGACGGATGCAGAGAGAAAGCGCCCACGATATTCCATACTGTCAGCCAGAGAAAAGCGCCCACCATGAGGCTTTTGGGCGGCGTCAAGTCCGATAGAGATCCCGACACCACGACAGATATACCGTTGGCCACGTTGAATGAGCCAACGAGCCACGGTAGCTCCGTGCTGGAAATCCCGAGAGCCTTGCGAAATTCCTCCTGAGGAGCTAGCACGTCGCCCAAGAGGAAGGAGAACAGCATCAGCCCAGCGGAACAGACCATGATCAGGACAAGCTCCGCCGCAAAGCTGCCAATCTCCGGGGGAATGCCCTGCGATGCTCGAGGTGGAGGAGAGCCGGACTCGTCGGCGAACCCCGGCGTGGCCGAGGGCTTTCGGTTCGTGAAATGCCCCGGTAGTTCAGAGCCCTTGCGCTGGTCTAGTTCATATTCCTCATGGCGACTGTCAGACAGCTGTGACATTGCGTGAGGGAAGTTCTTCAACACGTCTTCGTGCACGATCCCTTTCGGGTTCAGCAGAGGATCGGGAGTTTGAGCTCCCGTGGCCGGCGTAGAGGGGGATTGATAATTATAGTTATTCAAGGAGAACGAGGAGCGCGTCGACAAAGGCGCCGAATCAACGCCCTCCTGGTTGGTGACGGTGACCGTCGGGGCCTTTGCAGCATTGCCGGCCTTTCCTGCATTGGAGGGTTCCCCAGGCATGGTGCCTAGGCTGTCGTGTTCTTGTTCTTGAACGTAATGAATCTGCGAAATCAGGTGCGGCTTTTTTATTTTTCCTTTTTATTTATTTTTATTTTTTTGTTAACTGATAGCGTGATGAGGAGTAGAGTGTAGATCGTGCTTTGTGAAGCTGAAGGCTACTTCACACTATCAGCTTCAGAAAGATCCCCTCCGGGACAAGACTCAAATGATATAGAAGGGCTTCGGGCTCCTCCCTCCGAGCGTGGCAAAAAGCTCCCACCCAAGCCAAGCTGGGGAGATCCACCGGGCGATAAGATTTTGCATGGTGCGGTGGTCCCTTGGGAGAATTGCGCGTATCAGAATCCATGGGAATGTGGGCCCCTCGACCATCACGTCAATCTTTTTGGATTCTGATATCCGACGAGGCGACCTTATTCGACTGCTGCGCCTTGGATGGCATGGGTTGCATGGGTTGCATGTTCGCAATCCTTCCGAAAAGGGACCTCTACCCTATCGGGCTTTTCACGGCGCAAACCTCGCCCCGGCTAAATCCACCGGCTGGCCTCGACACGATAAACTCGAGGGTCTTCTTCACGAGAAGGAATAAAAATGATTCAATCCGATCCATAACACACCGCCGTTAGCGCACGTCCTAAATCCCCACGTTCCAATAGGATCCGGACCATGGCCTGAGTTGCCTAGGACGTGCGGAAGATGTTTTCCGGGGTTGATTTCATACTTAAGGTACTCCGTATAGAGGGCTGAACCCTATCACACCGACTTTCAGTCACGAAGAGCTTCGGGATTTTACGCGGCCTGCAGTTGACCCAATCGGGGTTTTTTTCTGACTCACGGATCATGTTGGATGTCTCTGATCTTCTTTTCTCTCCCGCTTGTTGCGTTTGAACATTTTCTTGGTGGGCGCAGAAACGGCATGCCGAGACCGAACAGTGCCGCTCCCGAGGCCTCTGCCAGCACTACGGAATCCAACATGGCTGTACCTAGGGAAGAAATTAACCGAGATTGTGCAGAAGAAGCAGCCGGGGGCCGCTTAGAAAGTGTCGCGCTCGAGGTGTTTACATATCCGCCTTTTGTCAATTGAAGAATGACCTGAAAATGGTCATAATCAGTCGGGCGATTGGCACGGCAATCTGAACCCGCTATTTGCACTGTCATTTCCATTTACGAGTAACTCTTTTTACCAGTGAATACTAATTCGCATTACTTGCGTTCAAGAGCCTTAGGGCCCGACCATAAACCTCGACTGCGAATGAATGATCGTCCGGTGTTGGATCAGATGCGCCCGAGACAAACGCCAATCCTCCATGACGATCATCTCCGGCTTTCAGAGAATGGATTCACATTCATTATTCAGACCGATTGAAATGTCCGAGACGCGTGTGACTCTTGGGCCCAATAACTAGACATCTTACGTCAACACGTCGGGAGATCTATAGGCACTTATCAAGGTCCGGTCTGACCAGAATGCAAAAGTCTATACGACACAGGATCGAGCAAGCTTCGTCGCATGCAGTGCTTAATTGCAATGCCTTGGAACAATCCTGTTCCACGCGGCTGAGACATACATGATCGACGTTGTAGGTCTAACGGTGGTATCGGCCGCTGCGTGGATGGATGCAAGGAGTCGATTGACCCAGGAACTATCGAGTTGATCTGTAGATCTTCGGGATCTCAGCAGTACAGGGAATCATTTTCGGTTTCATTATAAGCGGAATCAAAATTCTAGGGGGTGTCATATTACCACCGAAAATGCGAGGCATGGTGACGCAAGCAATCACCACTGCAACTGGCGAAAAAACGATACGCAGGAACACTACTTGGGCGCCTTTTTCACTCCTCCCTTCACACCCCCTTTCGCATCGACATGAATTCCCCGTAACACGTATCCATCCTCCTGTGCCTGCTGCCACTGTCGCCGAACCGTCTCCGCTCGCTCCGGATTTCTCTGCAAGATGCGAATCGAATACTGCTGCGGAACTCGAATCGCTCCCTCCATGAATCCTTCGTCGCTGATATCCAGCGGCTGCTCCTTGCCGTTCGCCCCGATGGGTGGCCGGAACTCATACGCCCAGATAATGTTCGCCACGGCCAGGAAGAGGCCGTTCTCGGCGAGATGGATACCCGGACAGATGCGACGTCCGGCGCCAAAGGTGAAATGGTCGCGCGCCATCACATCTCCGCCGGCGGCGTACACAGCCGATCGATGAGGGTGGTTCAGGTACCGCTCAGGCTTGAACTTGAAGGGCTCGTCGAAGAAGGCGGGATCCCAGTGCAGGTTGTTGATGTTGGCCAGGAGAATAGTCCCCTTGGGGATAGTCTGGTCGCGATATCTGATATCGGCGTCGGTCATGCGCCGCAGACCCGTAGTGGCGACCGGGCAAAGACGCAGAGTTTCTTTGATCACAGCTCGAATGTACGGCATATTGGGCTCGTCGTCGAGCGTCGCCATGCGCCCGTTGCCCAGCACACGAGTCACCTCTTCGTGGGCCGCCGCCTGCGCGTCGGGAAAGCTGGCCAGGTAGCGGATCATGCCGTTCAAGGCGCTAGCGGTGGTCTCTGCACCAGCTTCAGGCACAGCTAAGTGGCAATGTTAGATTAGATTCATACGCTTGCTTTTTTGCTTGGGCCGAAAGCGTCTTACCACTGGCCAGCCAACTCATTGCCTCCTCCTCGAGACCGAAGTCTCGGTAGTTTGACTCCATCAAATCCTTGGCGAAGCATTCTGGAGCCGTGCCCTGCGCAATCCGCTCTTTCAGGTTCTCCCAATGCCTCATCTTCGCGTTATGCATGATTGATGCCATAACCTTTGCTTTGGGCCAAGATGGGAACAAGAACCGAGGCAACCAGTTCAACGGGGGAAACGTGTCGATCCAGAATATGCCGGGGCGGAGGATGATGGACAGCATGCGCATATTGCCGTACACATCACGCACCTCCTGGCAGTCCCACTTGGGGATGCGCAGGCCATATGCCGAGGTCATGACGATTGAGAACGTCATGCGGCGGATGTGCATGTAGAAGGCCTCGGTGCTGTCCTTGCCAGCCTCGCCAGACAGGTCGGAAAGCAACTGCTTAATTTCGAACTCTTGGCTGGGAATGAATGCAGCTGAGGCGCGAGGGCTGAGCAGCTGCTTGAGATAATAATGCAACCGCTTCCACTTGGCACTGTAGGTCATCGGCAGGACTCCATGGCCGCGGAGGCAGTACTCCTGAGCGATAGGAAGATGTGGCTTGCCCGACGTGACGGCGGCCTGATGAGGCATGCTTGATTAGGACGTTTATGCAGAGAAATGTGAAAGGGAATCAAGGCCAGAATACTTTACCTGTCTGTCAAAAATCTCCTTCACGGCATCTCGGTTGTTGAAAAACACCCAGTCGTACCAGCCCACGCGCACCTTGAAGGTATCTCCGTACCTTGCTGCCCATTTGTTCAGCAGTTCTCGGGGCCGAGTGGGTAGATCGAGGCCAATGCCCACCAGAGGCCACCCGGAGGGTCCAGGGATACCAGCCATACTCGTCTTGGAGTATCGCGCGGCAAAAAGTAGCAATTGAGATATGAGAAACACGCAGACCAAGCCCACGATGGTGGACGGCTTGAGCACCACCGCCAGCGCCGTTGCCGGGATGTGCAAGTCGTGCATTTTGAAACTGTCCATGATGCTTGCTTGGACACGCTAGAGAGAGATCCCAACGATGTGAAAATAATGACAGGGGATATAGAAGCCAATGAACATGCGGCAGACGACCAAGACATGAGACGTCCAACGGCTTCATTTTAAGCTACCTCCGACTTTCCCATCGAGGCAACCTCGTATCAACATCCGAAGGGAAACCTGGCTGCTTCGTCTTGGATGCCGGCGGTGCTCGTATCGCAGGACTGGGGCCATGGATAAGCTCATGCCGTATTCATGAATGCTGAAGTCTGATATCTCAGCCTCGCTAGGGGTTACTACATCGAGACGCAGCGCCGAAAGACGATGCTGTCATCCGTGGAGTTAGAATGCGGTTCAAGTGTCGGCGTCTGTGCCCTGAAATCTGTGATCCATTGAGCGAGGGCCACTATCCATCCTCTCGGAAGTCTGTAGGCAGGATGGATACCAGATGACAAGTCTGATCTCCCGCTGGACTCGGACTCGGACTCAGGGGGTTGGATCTGCTTCCCTATTCGGGTGGCCCCTTGAGGCGTCGTCAGCGGTTGTCGATTGAAGTCAAACGCGCGAAGGGGGAGCAGTGCGTATGACCTCGAAGTATACTGTGCCCGCCACCATTCAGACACTAAGTTCGCGACGTTCGCCTTCGACCATCTACAATGGAGACACAGGGTTGATGTCAACGGTTGGCGCTCCAGATGTGGCGTGGCGGGAGTGCGCCAAGCAGGCACTGGGCAGCCGACCGGGTATATGTAGCATACTTCTGGATTTCCTTGGATGACATGGATTGACAGCTGGGGAGAGTTCAAGTTCAAGTTCAAGAGATATGAGAGTTAAGGACCGAGCCCGTTCGACGGTCCCGTACCGACACGCGTTCCGTCTCGTATCCATACCGGTAACATACCGATGACACACACAATACATAGCCGTAACATACCAGGCGGTACCAGCACGTATCGGATTACCGAGGATTACAGTATAGATCCCAAAGCCTGAATTGCTCGCTTCGTGGATTGTAAGTATCTGACACATTCTGGCAAGAGACTCGCTGCTCGCCGATCCCCTGCCTTCCCATCCTGCAATAATCCCTTTCTCAACGTCATCGCGAGTCCTTCCGACTCCGATCATATCGCCACGCCGCAAAGATGGGCACCAGGAGGAACATGGCCCCCGCGGCCATGATCGCTGCACTGAAGACCTGCAGCCCGAAGTAGCCATTTCCACCGTCGTGGCCGTTGAGAACGCCCGCGATGGGTGCCCCAATCAGCACCCCTACGCTCGTGGCAAACCACTGCATGCCCATGCGGGTCCCGATCACAGCCGGGGTGGGCGAGACCACCGGATGGGCGATGAGGAGCGGATTCGCGGAGATCAGCACCCCGGAGAAAATGCCAAACAGAACGCAGAAGACGATGAACGAGGCCAGCGACGTGATGCCCACCCATCCGAACAACAGCGCCGCCGACGCGACCACGCTCGTCAGGAGAATCAGCGCCGGCGGGAACCACCTGGTGAGCATGGCCGAGCCTAGACGCCCGATGGCGGAGCCCGCATTCAGCACGGAAACCAGGTAGAAGCTGAGATCGGACGAGGTGTGGAGGGCCTGAGTTGCGAAGAAGGGCACGTAGAAGAGGGGAATGAAGTACGCCATGAACACGAGGAAATTGGCGATCGCGTAGGCGTCAAAGTGCCACTCGCGCAGCGCGTGCCAGTGAATCAGCTGGCGCGGAGACGACCGCTTAGGCTGGGTGGTCACCATCAGCAGTGGCACCGCTATACACGAGCAAGCCAGCTGGATGAAGCCCATGACACGAACGGTCCATGGGAAGCCGATACGCGGTTGCAAGCGGATGAATATGACGGGGAAGAGAACGCCGCCTGGCTCTGTTAGCTCGTATACTCGACGGCTCAAGTGTCAGACCGAAGATACCAATACTAGCGCCGGTGGTCACCATGCCCACGGCGATGCCTCGCCGGGTCGTGAAGCTGGTGGACACCAGAGAGAGGGCCGGCACGTAGATCAGGCCACTCCCGATGCCGCAGCAGAATCCCTGGGAGAGCAAGACCTGGTAGTACTCATGCGAGAGACTCAGCATCATCAGGCCCAACGTGGTCAGAAAGCACCCTGCCGTCATGACATGAACGAGGAACCCTCGGTCAAACAGCGGGCCCGCAATGACCCCCGTGGAGATGAGGAAGAAGGCATTGACCGTGCCGATCCATGATAGGCGCGACGACGAGCTGTCGCGCAGCAGATTGGTCTGATAGTACTGCTGAAAGGCCCCGTAGGCAGTCGAGAAGCCCCAAGTGGTGACGAATAGTATAAAGCCGGCAAAGACGCCCATCCAGGCTGCGACGCCACCGTTGGGCGGAGGAGGCGGAGTAACCCAGGGAGTTGGAACCGGTTCCAGGGAAACATCGGCCTCGGCATTCTCCTTGAGAGCAGCGGATCCTTGCTGGGTCGAAGACATTGTGAAAGGCCTTGTTCTGAAGTGACGTGAGAGGTCTGGAGGGCTGGGTGCGACCCCGGGGGATACTGAGCCAATATAAAAGGCGCGTCATCCTGGGGGAAAGAATGGGCCTGCAATTCGTTCGGCGTGAAACCTGCTTCGTCGAGCGCGGACCTCGGTAGAACTTTCATCTTACGGTGTCTACTGGACAAGGGATCGCAGCCCTGGTTCAACGGTTGCCATGGCGCATCCTTTCCCGCAGTTCCAACCGCTGGGAATTCGTACTTGGCTCAGCTGCCCGGAAAAGCCGCACCACGGTCAACTCGTCGTTATCTGCACCTGGCTGAGCGCCTCGCCCCGGCATATTGGCAAGTATCTCGATCTGCATCGGGCGGTCGCTCCTGGCGCCCGGATCTTGTTGATCGAGTCCGAGGTGGCCATTCTGGTCAGCAGTTATGCCCATCAACGCCGCCGAATTCAACCCGCCGCCAGGGTGATTTGCGACACGCTCGCCGAGGGCGCGAAGACGTACTCACCCAGGATCCTGCTCCATACCTTTTCGAATGGCGGGACGAACACGGCCACACAGCTGCTGATCACTCTGCGCGAGACTCTCCAGGCGCCCTTGCCGCTCGTCGGGATTATCCTCGACAGCTCGCCGGCGAAAGGCACCTACTGGAAATCCTACGACGCCATGGTCTTTTCCCTACCCCCGTCCGGTCGTATCGTGGGCACCATGGTGGTTCATTTTCTCCTCGTCTTGTTGTATACATGGATTGCCTGTGGTAACGAGAACCCGGCTGCTCTAATGCGTCGCACTCTGCTAGACGACGAGACGGTCGATCCGGAGGAGGGGATGCGCAATGCTGGAGTGGGCGGAAATATTTGCTATCTCTATTCCAAGGCGGATAGAATGACGGATTGGCGCGATGTCCAAGACCATGCCGAAGACGCCAGACTGAAGGGGTGGAATGTGCAGGAGATTCTGTTTGAGGGGAGTGGCCACTGTGCTCACATAGCCCAGGATGCGACGAAATACTCAGCAGCAGTGGAACAGGTTTGGAATTGGAGTCCTCCTAAAACCTCAAAACTGTGATTTATCATGGTGTTGTAATTATGTGATTGCATGTTTCTTAATCGGTTTCTGAGATCTCAGTCACCGGACAGAGAGATACTCCTACTATTGGCACAACATATCTTAACCACCAGCAAAGAATATATTTTGAAACGATCGCAGTCTGTAAGAACATGAAGCACAACCTTGCTTTAGACGCATAAATAAAAAGGAATCTTCCTCGGATCAATCGATCTCCAAATGAATGGCATTCCCTGCGACAGTCCTCTCTCATCAAACTCCATCGCACGAATAGAGTCACTTATCTTCAACATGCGCTCCCGAAACCGTGACTCGGCTAATTGCACTGACGTCTCGGTTCGCGAAAGAAAGTCAATGCCTGAGAACATATGTGGAAGATTTCCCTCCTGCTCGTCAAGCAAGGGACGATTAAAACGGACTAACAAGGATGCCTGCTTGATAGCCTCCGTTTCGTTGTGTAGATAGGGGAGAAGGGATGTTATACTTCCCTTGGTCTCAGGCAGTGGGCGGTTGAATGACGAGGGATGTAAAGGAAGAATTCCAGAGGCCTCGCCGACTGTGGCTCCGTTAAGAGCATGATGGGCAATACCGGAAAGGAAGGCCATGTGTGAGAGGATAGAAGTGAGGGACTCACGGTCATCGAGGGGCGGCTTGAAAAAGTCGAGCACGTCGGCTTCGTCGTTGGCTTCGACGATCCATGCCTGCAGCTCCTGGTCTTCGGCTAAGAGGTCGTCAGAGGGATAATATGACGCTACGAACTCGCGCACAAAGTCCTGTATGGCATCCACCATAGGCGATGCGGTGGAATAGAAAGGAAATGATGTCAGCTTTGGGCCGTAGTTGCAGTCAATCAGCCCTCGGTCTGCCATGTCGCGGTGAAATCCGGTCGCTCGAAAGTGCCCTGCGTGTCCCCAGTATGCTTCTGTTGCGAACTTTGTACCGGCGAAGTTTGGTAGGGCAAATGAACTATCGTAGAAACCACCCTCGTTGAACAGAAACTCTGTCCCGATAGGACGCACCGCATATGCCTGGTACATCACTAAAGCCGTTAGTGCAAATATTTTCGGAACTTGTATATTAAGATAGCTTACCTCGGTCTAAGAAACCTCTCACGGGATGCCGAGAGCTCATTGTTCGGAGAGCAGCCTGGTGCACGGGCTCTGCCACGTCATGAGTATTCGCCAGGTGGTACAGCTGGGAATGGAAAAGGTCATTCATGCTGAAGGCCATTTTCGCAAACAACCAGTCATTCACATCGTCCAGCGGGGTATAAGTCAAATCACGACCCATGTTGGTCTTAATCGCCAATGGCAGGAACTCCCCTGAATAAGGATGGATGAAGAAGTAACCTGTACAGGCAGCCGTCCAGCGATTCGGAGTCTGAGAGTACCTCGCTTGATAGGAATGGTCTCCCGTAAACAAACGGCCTTCTTCGTGTAGGTCTGCGAGTGTTCTTCCGGCTGCCAGATGCCGCACGACGCGATCCTCTACTAGGAAGGGAAGGACGTCGTGACGCGGATTCAGTCGACGCACAACATATGGATTGGTAGAAAGCCTTTCCATGGAGAACAAAAGATCTTGCGTCCAATTGCTCAACATCCCTGGAGCCACACCGTCCGGAATCGTTGCGGTCCATTGATTCTCGTAGATTGCTTTAAAGCTGGAAAGATCCCCTAGACCACCATTCTATCAGATAGTTAGCTAGCCAGCCCAGGGTGAGCCTGGGGCTTGGGATGGTGCTTACCTGCACAAGCGCTGCAGCTGCCTTCTCCAGCTCTGGATAGACGTTCTGCGTTACATATTCTACGTCTTTGAACCACAGGGCGCGATCACGCGCGACCATAGCATCACCCAGGATGCCCGTTGGAAAAGCAGAGGTATTCCCGAGAAGAGGTGGCCCATAGAGATAACCCTTGCGAGCCAGCTGGATCTCTAGGAGCCGCTCCCACGGTTTCGGATCAAACATGGCCAGGGAGTAATGGCCGCTTCCATCCCCAGGTAGCTGGACTGACGCCGACAAGACAGACTGGGAGAAAATTGGACTTGCGAGGACAGGGGCACATATTGCCAGTAGACCGACAGTCGACATGTATAAAACCTTCATACTGAGCAAGAGTTTTGAGGGTTAAGTGATCAAGACCGATGGATATGGAGGACAAAGACAATAACGATCTACGTATATAGCCACCAGAATACCCGGCACCATGGTTTTTATCTCCTAGTCCTTGTCCGTTTCGAACTCCGCGGAACGCACCCGATGACAAGTTGACATCGAGAACCTGGCATACTTGGTTCTGTCTGCCTCGTGTTCGATTCAAGCAGTACCCTCGACCACAAGGGGCGAGATCTCGAATCCTATCCAGATAGATATTGGGCGGCGAGCCACATACATCAGGTGGAATGCTGCGTAACATGCCCATTCAGAGGTGGTTCCTCTGTTACCGGACGGGATAGTAACACGCTATTCAGGTTTACAATGACATTGTCAAACACTGCGCACATGTCTGATATACAACCCCTGGCACGAATGGGGGGTAAATACGGTATGTAACATGGCCGTAAGGTATATACCATACGTGCTGCCAGGTATCACCCGTAACACCTACATGAACGGGGTCTTGGGCGGGAAGAACCGAGGAGTTGGCAGTGGATGGCAAGGGATATGGTCCGAGGGAGCCTTCGGTCGATGACATCTGGGTACGAGGGTTTCCTGTAGTGGAGGTTACCCCATCGAGCAACCGGCTACCCTTGCATTCGTTCGACCGTGTCCCCGAGGTGCTAAAGTATGTAGTATATGAGACCATCAACTCAGGTTTACGGGCCAAGGGAATGCCCACCCACTTTCTTCATCTCTCTGAACAATATGAATTTCTTTGCCTTTCTCGGAGTCCTGTTAAGCTTTCCCATTCAGTCGACCGCCCGGATTGACCGGGCGTTTGCGGTGGACTTTCACCAGCGAATGCTACAGGAAGATAGTCCCGGGTTTGGAGTGAATGAGCCTTTTATCCCTACCCCGTCTCATATTCTGCCGGAGAAAAAAGACTTCTTCATTGATGAAAACGTCAATTATTATGCGCGCTTCTTTAATGGAACTCACAATGGGGAATACCGACGATCCTCCTGTCCAGCGATCAATGCTTTGGCCAACAGGGGTTACATCAACCGAAGCGGCCGCAACGTTTCCTATACCGAGCTTGCTCACGCCGTTCGAAGGGTTTGGAACTTTGGTGATGATAATGTTGGTTGTTACTTGGTGTTACCTTTTAGACGACCAGCTAATTAAGGCAGAGTATGCTTGTTCTGGCTCCGACATTCGCAGTGCATGGCTGGCCGGAAACGATTGATTTGGACAATTTCAATGTATAACATGGCCCCACTATTGATACCAAGACGAAAAGCTACTGATGATAGAATAGGACGATCTAGTTCAATACGTGGTCAATTGCCCTGCCGCGCCCACGCGCAATGACCGTGCTGTGGGTGACAACGTCAACATTAACATGACACTCTTTGAATCACTCCTATCGTTTTCCAAGGATGGCGTGACTTTCACCTTAGAGGATTTAGCGGAGCATCATCATCTGCGACATAACCAGAGTAAGGCCGAGAATCCAAACTTTGTGTTTGGAAATCAAGGGGCGATTTGCTCACTGTAAGACATGACACGCCCAAGTTCGCTAAAACCATGATCTGACCGATAGAAAGTGCCCAGTATACAAACATGGTGGGCGTTTTGGGACGAAAAGGAAAGCATGGATGGACGACACTCTACGTGGATGATGTGAAGACATTCTACTTGGACGAGGATATCCCCAAGAATTATCAGCGAAGGGAGATGGCAGTAAGACTCCCTTGCTTGCTTACGCTAATTCTTCTTGCTGACCAGAGTAGCACTATTCCCCGGAGTCAAACGCGTTCGTCGACCGCATGGCGCGCCACGTTGGCTACGCTATCCAAAGACCATTCCCTGAAGGTGATCAGGACCCAGGACGTGACATCTGTCCGCTAAAAGCACGGTTCCAACAATCGAAGTGCGATTGAGTTTTGATTGTATAAAAGATATAGGAGTACCAACGGATTCAGGAAGAAAGGAGATTGTTGCTACGGGGTACAAAAGGATTCAATTGTATTGAAACCATTGAACTTTTAATTGAAGGGGTATTGCAGATAAATGTCTGTTGTAACAAGGCTCACAGTTTCCCCCTCGAGAGTGCATGCCCAACTCGACGCGTATGTTTATAATGCCAATCCTCCTGGGCCAAGTTCGCCCGCAAGGAGTAATTGGCCTCGGCATCCTCCAGCACTTGCATGTCAAGATCTGCTACAGCCATACCTTCGACGGAGGTCCCCAGGTGAACCAGTGGCCCTGCGTAGGGAATTGTAATCTGCGAATGTCCGCAGTAATTGCGTCCCGGTGGTCCTCCGGCATTTGCGAATACTACGGCGCAGGTATTTTCGAACGCCCGTGCCGTCATGACACTATCGAGAAACAGAGACTCGGCCGAAGGATTCCAGCGATGGCCCGCATCGGAAGCACCGCTTCGTGTCCACAAGGTTGGCAGGATGATTATTTTGGCGCCTTGGTATACGAGCTCGCGCCATGCTTCAGGGAACGCCAGATCCCAGCAAATCAGCAATCCTACCGGTCCTATGGGGGTCTGAATGACTTGATGCGGAGCATCACCCGAGGGACGCAGATGTTTTCTTTCCGTTGGGCCCCAGAGGTTTTTCTTCGTATAGGATCCTAGGATTTCCCCCGTGTTTGATATGAAGTAGGTTGCATTCTCGAGTTTCGGCATTTCCGATTGATGGGATGATGCGTCGGAGGTGGGTCGCACGATAGATCCCGGTACAATACAGATATTGCATTCTTTTGCCAGCGTCTGATATCTCTGCAAATATGTTTCCCATTCCGCGCACAGAGGCGCAAACCGAGGATCGTCCGGGATCCAGTTCGTCAGGTGGAACTCTGGCAATACGACGAGGTGGCACCCTTGTGCTGCCGCATCTCGAATGAATTTGGTGGCCTTTGCGAAATTCTCTGCAGGGCGGAAAGGCTATAACAGAGAGTGTCGTGTTAGCGGGAGTTTATACTTACAAACAGACATCTATGCCCGTCATCCTGCACAACAGGTTTAATCCGAGGCTTACCTTGACATAGAGTTGAACAACGGCAATCTTGTAAACGGGAGCCATAACTAAATAGTTGCCTCTTCTCTATCCGATTAGAGAGTTGAAGATCAAGTCACATCTCAGGAAACACGATGATATTGGGGGTTCGCGAAGTGGATAGGGGTTATTGTCTACGTCTTGGACGGCAAATCATGGCGGAGCAAGAGGTTCGAGATACCGAGGCTAAGAGACACATGTGTTGGGCATGACTCAGCCCCCGCATGAACGATAAGGCGCCAGTCAATCAGACAGTCAATCAGAGGGCCTGTCGTACGGCCGGTCCTCAGCAGGCAGGACTCGTAAGCATTTGGTTTGGTGGCTGTCGGGCGCTACGGTGGATAAGCTTATTCTAGGGCCAGTGTCAGTCCGGTATGGTCGGATATGATATAGTATCGTATTGTATCGTAGGAAACATGTTATACATCCATACACCGTTACACCTTGGTATGTTATATACAGTATGGTTCTATACGGTGTATGATCAAGACACAGGTACTACTCAGTATATGGGTGGCATATGGGTGCAGGCCGAGTAACACTACTCACACACAGCCTGTTTGGTAGCTTTCCAGCTGTCAAAAGTGCCATATTTACATTAACCTCACGAGCCCTCCCACCCTCCTGCTTGTTTGGGCGTCCTTTCCGATCTGCTTATGTCTTTAATATTCGTCCTCACAGGCCCAATCCCGACTCCGAGACCAGGTCTGTCATCCCATGGACGATGGACCCCGAAACAGGTCCGTTTGATATTCATTCCTGGCTTGATGTCTACGAGTGTGTGTTTTTTCCAGTGGCCTCCGGCAATGGAAATGCTGGTAGCAACTGTGTCGGGGTTCCATGGTCCTGGAATTCTCTGGGTCATATTGATTTAACCTCTGGTTGTGGGGCGCCATCAGCCTGACCTATCTACTGTCACTGATGTAATGGCGTCATCCCGTGTTGAATTCGGTACCCGCGGCCCTACGTGAGAGATCTGAATACTTGTATTTATAGCAGTAGACCGGTACAGAAACTAGCGTTAGGCAAATATATTCTTCAACTTGAATCTTGCGTTCTTTGATGGTATTTTCTCATAGACCATGGCATCCGAATCTCTGCGTCTCGGTCTCTCTTTCTTGCTGAAGCCTTCATCCCAGAACGAAGAGAAGCAAAAGACCCCAAGACCGGTTGCCCCCGTTAAGCAACAGGTCTTTCACATCTCGCATCTTCCAAAATGGATGCAGTTGGATCCATATATCATGCATTGGTACAGACCACAGCTAGACAGCTTTGAAGATTGCTTCTGGTCTTTGTTCTATCTTCATAATGAATCTATAAACACGTGGTCTCATCTCCTTCCCGGTACATACTTTGTGACTCTGCTCCTGGCGGTCGAATATTGGGTGTCTCACTTACCATTTGATGTCACTCTGGCGGATGTTCTGGCAATCCAATCTTACATTGCTGGGACGGCTGGATGCCTTATATTCTCGGTGAGTGTTTAGTGTACGTACGACGAAGGGAAATCTTTCTGACATGCTGCAGGCAGTGTTTCATGCCACAAACGCCCATTCAGAGGAGGTTGCAACGGTTTTTCTCAAACTCGACTACCTGGGAATTATCATGACTATATCTACAACGTGCACATCAGTAACATATTTTGGACTTTATGATTCCCCATTTCTTCAGATGATGTATATATCCTTCACTGTAATCTGCGCTACATTGGTCTTCTGGGTTGCGCTCGATCCCCGCATGGACGGAGCTCACGCTGGGCACTGGAGGTAAGCTTGGCTACCCGCATGACTCTGTATGCTCTTTTCGCTGATTTGAGATATCACAGAGCCGCTGTATTCCTTCTTTTGGCAGCCAGCGGACTGGCACCCATATGCCATGTATCTCTCCTCGAGGGGGTAGCAGGATTGAACAAATTCCCACTGGAAACTCTATCCGTTACATGCACGTCATATGCAGTCGGAACAATTGTCTACATATCTCGGTTTCCGGAGAGGGTTTGGCCTCTAAAGTTTGATTTACTGGTATGCTTTGGCACTTTTCTACCCCGGAAGCAAAATGCTGATTTTCTTGCAACAGGGTGCAAGCCATCAAATCTTTCACATTCTTGTTGCTTTCGGCCAATTTGTTCATCTGTACGGTCTCCGAGAGAGCCTTATCCAATGTCACTTGGACCAAGTGTTGCGAAATCCACTCTCCGCTGCTTAAGGAACACTGCTGGAAGGAATGGCTTAGGTACATGAGAGGCGCTTGAATGGTCGGTGGGTGATCGATGGGCAAAGTAGCAAAAGTTCTTGATCTGGCATTTTGTGGAAGACTATATAATGGTATACCATATTCGTTTATACTTCTAGTATGCCGAATCAGAAGGTCTCCATACCAAAAATCTTTCATCTTGACTTGATAGATTTGTCAACCGCTTTATGTTCGCGAGATTGATTTATTGGAATTTCCCATGGCTTAGAAACATCCTTTTTTGCGATTGCTTTGCTCATCTGGGATATATTGTACATCTTTGGGGATACCTTTTAGTGGATTGTAGTAACACTGCAATACTTGTTTCTGACCTTTTCATATTAATATTTTCTTATTCCCTCCCCGTCCCTGTCCCTGTTGAACTCACATGTCTGTTCACTCATCATATTCGTCTATTTGTACGTACGCTAAGGTATGTATCCTCCTCCCCATCAATCAGATGCATCCTCGATATAGTTTTGAAACCCCGATAATAATTATCATATAGCCGAAGATCCTTGAGGATAGCCTTGTAAATCTTCTGCGGAGTCGTCGTTCTCGGATCGTGGGCCGATAACCTGCGTAGATCGAAGAGGACACTCATGCGAGTTTTTGTCGGCGGCTTGATAACATTAATCCGTCGGTAAGCGTGGGTTTCTAGACACTGTTCGATTTGGTAGGTGATCTGGCAGGTAATGTCGCGGATAGTGGGGACTGGCATTGGTAGCACTACGTCAAAGTATAGAGTGAGATAAGATGTATCGTCACTTTCCAAGAATACTATGTTGTAATCCCTCTCAAGTCGAGACCGGCGATCCCATAATTCGTCGGAGGGCCTGGTTGACATTGTGTAGAGATTTAAGAATAGCAATCTTGATATAAGTGGTGAATTTTGGTCAGGGGTCTATTTCAAGGTTGAAATATACCTGGCATCGTGAATAGTTGTCGATGGCTCAACACTTTATTTATAATTTTCTGGTAACCTTAAAGTTGACATTATCCGAAATGGTGTTGATTGTCTTAAATATTTTTATCGGAGATTTGCTGACATTTTTGAATGACTGGAAGATAAAGGAATTTGTCTGAGCATTCTGGTTCCGTGTGGCAGAATCCGCTCACTGTGTATCTTGAATCTATCTTCAGGTAGACCATCGGTCCATTCGGTGTATCTTGCACCAAACGCAAGTATTCTGAATCAAGCTGACTACATGATCCTGCGTGATGTTCGAGTATCATTTTCACTTTTTCGTAAATAATTTCGGGGGTCATTCTGACGGATCTATGAGTAGAAACCGAAGATTGAAGGTGATCTTCTTCATAACGAAGCCCCTTGGAGGCTCTCGGGGGTCTTGAAAATCTCTCCAATAAATGCGCAGGCCGAGATTCATGGCGATGTAGTCTAGTGGTATCAGCCTATCCGGTCGAATCTCACTTAAAGGGACTAGCATACGTATAATGATTTCATAACTGTTATGCTGATTGAAGGAGTCAAACTCTAAAGATTTATATCTTTCCTCGAGACTTAGTCGTGGAGAGAAATAGTAATCCCTCATAGGAATACCCATATTGGTAGCGGGGAGCGCCGAACTGATCAAGAACTAGTGTAGAGATAATGTATCCGAGAATGGGAATAAAGATGATTGTGTGTGCAGAATGAACATTCGTTTTCACGTGTGATCTCGGTCCTATTTATGCGTTCAGACCAGGGGGCATGTTCCTGGGGGTCCTAGATACTTGTGCCGTTGTCCCAAATGACTGCAGTGATCTGTTCTCTCGTCACGCCTTTTTCCGGCTGAGAAGCTGGGTGAACTCTTCAAGGTCAAAGGAGTGGGACGTAACGAAACGACTAAGAAATGTCCGGTTCGGTATGTATGCTCTACTTGGTCTCAATTCTTGAGATGACGAAAGCTTTATTGTTTTACTTCGGCCCTTTTTCTAGATCGGGGAAACAACATTCAAGAAAAAATTGCCACTATAACCAATTGTCTATTGGTAATCCTCAGATCGCGTTGCATTGGTACCCTTAGGTTGATATAGAATAGGAGAGGACACCTATGTCTACGGTGACTCAGAGATTAGGGTCAATTATAAAATTGTATGTCTATTCTTTTTCAATGTTCATGCAGCGGAGAGATGTGTCGCCCATATCTGCCCACACTTCGGTGTCCTCGTACGGCTCGAGGGTTTCCACAGACAAGAGAAGCCTTCTTATTCGCTCGATAATCTTTGCCGGGTGCTCCTTCACGAACTCACCAAATTCGCGATCAAAGTCCGAGAGCCTGTACCCAATTATGTAACGGGCTTGCCCCTCCGCGGACGGGGACGTGGGATTGCGAAAGTCGCCTGACAGGCAGCGATTGTTCAGGTTTTCTAGGATTGAACCTACGACGAAGCCCATAGATTCAACGGTGTGCTCAAGGGCATCCACGCGAAAGATAATCTCTTCACCTGGAACGCTCTTGAGCTCCAATCCGTGCTGCTTCTCAAGCCACTCTCGGCGCGATTCGAAAACAAGAGCGGGCATTTTTGTTACAAAAGGGAGGTTAAGCGATAGGGTGATGATGCTAAGGAGGCGTGTCAGATGATCATGAGAGCGAGGCCGGTATTGAGGGATTCGGGTAAGGCAGAGTATTGAGATACATGAATATCGGTAGGATTGGTTTGGGTTTTGCTGGTATATCTCAATATGGAAGTATGGGAGGGAAGGAACCACCTGGGTATTGGCTGTATAGCCAAATTTCAACCGAGTCGGGGATCCATTTATACTGTCAGCAGAAGCCTCTGGGAAATTCAGGTAAGATGGGTTTGAATGAAGAATCTCATTGTGCGGCACCAAGATCGAAAATATTGCGATGGAAGATCGCGGTATCAAAGGGGAACATATCGCATTTTTATTATCAGCAATGTAGTTGAATAGAAGCGCATTGTGTATTTCTTTGTCCCCATAATAGCATTATCTATTTCTAAGTTAAAAGACAATGAACGGCAGCCAGCCAGAAAGAGGGGCCAAAAAAGAACGCATCAACGAAACACTTGTGATCGTTGCCATGTAAAAGATGCTACGAAAATACGCTGCTTTCTGAGATCAAACGTGTCCAAGAAAAAAGAAGGCTTGAAATCTAATAGTCACTAGTGATGCAATACAGGAAAACGCCAGTCCTATATACTCCGAAGGGTTTGAAACACAGGCCCACGGTCCCCAACTGCCATAATCCGTAAAATCATAATATTATCCTCCATTTCTCGGATTTTCAAGCCTCCATGGCATCTTGCATTTCCACCCGGGGGGCGGCGGAAGACTTGCAAGTCATGACAACTTTTTCAATGAAAAGGTCGCCCTGGCCCAGAAGAGCATTTACCTGGCTGGGGTGGACGATATGCAAGACAGCCATCGCCAGAAACATCAGGAGTGCATCAAAGACGTAGATGAATACCTCGTGTTTCATCAGATATCCGTCGTACCCGTCGAGATACTCGACGACTCGGATGATCGATCGAACCAGGATGAGGGCGCTGGTGGTGTAAAGCGCAATCATATGTCGTCGCCAGACCTGCGAGGCCTCCGGCGAAGCATTGAGCGGGGCCCGAGCCATGCGGATCTCGAACACGATGGCTGTGATCACGAAGAGGGAGAACATGACGATCTGCACGAACAGGCCACCGATGATGATTCGTTCGCCCGTGGTGGGATCCGTGGAATCTTTCACCATGATACCGGCTCCTTCTCGTCGTTAGCTCATGAACGGCTTGCATAGTAGATCACCCTGTGACAGGACGGTTGCAGACATACCGGATGCCTGCATAAGGAACGAGAGTACGTCTCCCGTGACGAAGATCTTGGTCAGCCACCGCAGCTTGATGACCGAGTATTTCTCTGCCTGCAGCATGGCGATGATTCGACCCAGAGTCATGTAGACGCTAGCCGCGAGGAAGGCGGGGGCGATGAGAATCAAGGCGCTCTGCATAACATAGGGGCCCTTTGTGAAATCGGGAGACTCGATGGAGGAGAGCAAACGGCCAATGTAACCGATGGTTTCCACTGCACGAGCGACTAGTTAGCGTCCAGGTTTCTGTTAGGGTCTAGCATAGGATGCCGTACGAATGCCTCCGACAAAAAACGGGATCATGAACCAGGTTCGCGTCCGAATGAGTTGGTAGAAGTGTAGGAGGGTACTGAGGCCGAACAGCACGACAAAGATGGCTGCAGCCGGCCCCGAGGGCTTGTAGTAGTAGAATGTAAAGTTTTCCATGATAGGCAAGACGATGCTATAGATGTGAAGTTGGTAGTCGTTGATAGTTGACAAAGACTCGAGACTCCAGGTGGGACCCTAGGGGGTATATATGTTTTTTCCAGCGGCCTAGTCCATGTCGACAAAGCTCATCCAGTTCCCCCAGTGCCATCTACCAAAGCCATAGTAGTGAGTACTCCGTAAGGGGGCGAGGGACCTCGTTCTCGTACGTCGGTCCCGATCGGGTCTAGGGCCGGGTGGGTCCCGTGCAAATTCGTCGGTACGTATACGAAGCTTTGCCGTCGATAGAACGCAGGATCTGCCTCTCTATCCATTCTTGAGATCGAGGAGGTCGGGGATTTCTGTGCTATCGAGAATCTCCAACTATCACGTTTATTCATGCTGAATGTTGATAGTTTCAGATCGTCGTGGTGGGTATGCCCCGGAATTCTACATAGAAAGTACCTAGATGCCAAGAAATCCATTGTCAGGGCCTCGTATACGTATCAACAAGGCGGTGGTGAAGTTTGATCGCTCCGCCCTTCGTACCGCGTATCTGCTACCGGTTCGGGACAAGCTTCCCCAGCGGTTTATTCTGGGAACATTAACTATAGACGGAGTATATACTTCCATCATGCCTTCATCCACTCGCTGAACCGGCGACTCTCTTGAATTGCCCGTATCCAGACGCTCATTTGAACTGTCTTTCATTCTAACTCTCCTTCACCATCCATTCTGCTTTCTTTCTTTTTTTTTCTAGAACTTTTCTTCCCTTTCTTTTTCTGTCTTTTCTCAATTTTCTGTCATCCGTCAAATCCATCAGGCGATCATGGGCTACAAATACTATCACTACGATCCGTCCGGTGCCGCCGCCGTGGCTTTCGCCGCAATCTTCGGTCTAACGACGGTCATACATCTGTGGCAGATGTTCCGAAACAGGACGTGGTATTTCATTCCGTTCATCATCGGCGGTATCTGTAAGTCTTCCTGGGGTGGAATGCGTGCTCCTTCACCCGGCTAACCTTTCGGCGTGACTATAGTTGAGGCTTTGGGGTACCTGTGTCGATTTATCAGTTCTACCGAAACGCCCGACTGGACGATGAAGCCCTACATCGGGCAGAGCCTAATGTTACTGCTCGCACCGGCTCTGTTCGCCGCCTCTGTGTACATGATCCTGGGCCGCATCATTCTCCTCTTGAATGCCGGCTCGGTCTCTCTCATCCGACCCTCGTGGTTGACCAAGATCTTCGTGACTGGCGACGTCCTGTCGTTCTTCATCCAGAGTGGAGGTAGGAAACTCCTGTGAAGCATCTGCGCAGCGATCAATGGGAGGCTAATACATGCGCAGGAGGAGGTATACTGGCCAAAGCAGACAGCAAAGAGAAGAAGGATTTGGGAGAACACATGATCATCGTGGGTCTGTTCGTGCAGATCGTCTTCTTTGGCTTTTTCATCATCGTCTCCATCGTCTTCCACCGACGCATGCTAGCCACGCCGATGCACCAAATGGTATCTACTCGGGTTCCGTGGACAAGATACATGAAGGTTCTCTACCTCGTCAGCGTTCTTATCATGGTACGATCGGTCTATCGAGTGGCCGAGTACGTCCAGGGTAGTGACGGTGCCTTGCAGGGCACAGAGGCCTACTTGTACGTCTTCGACGCCGCCCTCATGTTCCTCTGCTGCATCATCTTCAATGTTTACCATCCGAGCAAGATCGTGTCCAGTCGCCAAAAGAAGCAGTGGGAAACGGATGACCTGGAGATGCTGAACAACAACGCGGCGTATCGCAGTGTTGCATAGGGCACGTACAAGCCACACATTACCTCCTTGCATAGAATTTTCGATACGCAATGAATATTATTAGCATAGATCCTAACATCCCTCGTCAATTAATCCCGGGGCGAATTCAACTTCAGATCCAGCACTACTTTTCCTCGCGCGTGGCCACTTCCGAGGCGATCGAAGGCCTCCTGAAACTGCTCTAACGGCCACACGCTGTCGACCAGCGGGCGACACTTGCCCGTCTCCACCAGCTTGGTAATTTCCTCCAGGTCCGACCGACGCGGCTTCATGATGAAAAATATCTCCTTCACGCCCTGTACTGTGACTTCGGTCGGGCGCAATTTATCCGGTGCCTGGTAGATACTGATGAGGACGCCGCCGTCGCGAACGCACCACCAGGCGTCCTCGAGTGACTTCCCCCCGACGCAGTCAACGACTAGATCGACCTTGTTCGCTGCATTCTGTCCCCACTCCCTTAATGAGTCGGCGCGGTAATTGAGGACCTCAGCGGCGCCGAAGGCCTTGACCAGTTCCATGTTGGTGGGTCCGCACGTGCCGATGACCTGCGCGCCCACGATGCTTCCCAGCTGCAACAACCAGGTGCCTACGCCGCCCGACGCTGCCGTCACGAGAATGCGCTTATTTTTCCAAGCTGCGCTGTCGAAGCCGCCAATGCCCGACTGTTCGAACAACGCCTGCCACGCCGTCTCCGCGGAGAGCGGCGTGGCGGCCGATTCCACCCAGCTGAGATTCTGCGGCCGGTGCGCCAGCTCGTCGGTCACGATCACCGTGTAGTCGCGCGCGCAGCCGGGGCGGAAGTAGGTGCTGCGCGCGTAGACCTCGTCGCCGGGTCGAAAGGGCGAGTTGGGCGGCGCGGTCACGACGGTGCCGGCCACGTCGTCGCAGGGTACCGGCTCTTTGTTGGGCACTGAGACGATCGATGGCCAGAAGAGCTCTCCGGCACATGGAGCCGTGCAATGCACGCGAATGAGATGCTCGTCCGCATCGGGGTTGGCGATGGGAACCGGTCGATCGACCAATTCCAGTCGTGTAGACGTGAGCTCGGGCTGCAAGATAGTCCGCATCGTAGAATGAAGGTTTTGTGCTTCCTGTTCTCAGTGGCAAAAGGGAAAAACAGACAGGGTTGCTCAGTGCACGGCTTTATGACCGAAGGAAGGGTCCTTTTATATTCGTTCTCCCCCCATAGCAAACCGGCAAGATATATCCGCGGGGTCTGGAAAGGCCGCTGGAGATGCGATGTTGCTCCAATAGAAGAGGTTAACGAGGTCTAGACAAACGCCACCGCTGACATCGCGGGGGTAAGATGTTCTTGGCTACGGTTGATTCGGGGGACGTGGCGTTCGTGTCCGCGTTTTCTGCCTCTTTTCGGTCGCTGAAAGGCCGGTTCTTCCACGGAAGATCGGAGATCTGTTGGTGCGCGCGCATTCGTGGCCGGATTAGGGAAATGGTGAAATGCAAGTATAGGCGACATTTCCCTAGGGATAGGGTATCTTGCTTGCCGGAACATCGCCGGCTCTAGTGCCACGGTGGACTCTTGTTTGATAAGCTCTATAAGTGGATTTTATTTCTTGCCGATCTCTTGTTCGATCGTTCGAGGCATGTAATCATTCGCTAACCACGCTTTTACATGCACAAAATACAGGGCGAAATCAATCCTCTATCCTCAATCCTACTAAGAAGAATACGGGTCGAGTGCAATCGCCTCATGCTGGCGGCACTTGCCCTAGGCGCATCCAATTCCAACAAACTGTTCAATTAGTCAGTCGGTACATAGAAACGGATCCCCACGAAAAGGGAAGACCGCAGGACTTACTCATGAATCCCAAATCGTCACCAAAAAAGGCCTTCAGCACCTCGTCCCCCTCCGAGAGCCCGGTCGTTGGGAAGTATCCCACCGCCTGCTTCCCCAACGCCAGCGCCATCATGGGCGGCACCTCTGCTAGATCTAGCGCGTCGATCTCAGACCCGTAGATCTGGGCGTACAATTTCTGGTGAATATTAACGGCGGCATAGTGGCCTTGATGCATGGCAGCTCCTCCGCGCTTAATTCCTGACCAGTGGACGAGATCACCCGCGGCGTAATGGTCTCCGGCGTTGGGAACATCGCCAGAAAATTCCAGCTGCGGCGTGATGTAGACGTAGCCCTCTTCGTCACAGGCGGCGTCGGGAAGGTAAGACGTCGTGGGCGAGAACCGCGATACGGCGTTGATGACATGGCTTGTCTGCAGCTGTCGGCCATCTGAGAGTGTCAGGGTGTATCCCGATACCGCGCCAGTCGCATCGCTCTCGTGGGCTGTAGTCTCCTGTACTCGCGCGCCGATAATCACATCTACATCGGACTGAAGAAGCGCGAGCGTCTTCATGCCAAACTCATCTGGGAGGGACTCGGACGAGAGCAATCTGGAGCGCGAGTGAATAAGCGTGACCTTGACTTGGGGTTGCATCATTTTGATCTCCGCCGCTATCTCGACTCCCACGGCGCCTGGATCAATCAAGTGTTCAGTGAATAGAGTCGAAGGATTCAGACGGCGGCCGAGCACATACCTCCGCCGATGACAACGACTCCCTGCGTCGCGTTCTTGACATCTTCCACCCACCGCGTCGCTTCGGCTATGTAGTCCTGCCGTGTCAGAGACCTGGGCGCACTGGGCCAGTCCCTGCGCAGGCCCGAGCATGCGATCAGATAGTCGTATTTCTCTTCGGTCACCGGCCGCCCTTTTGTGATGCCCTCAATCCGAGCCGTTTTGGTCTCGCAGTCGACACTCACGACTCGCCCCTGGATGCGCCGGATTGCGGGGGTCTGTAGAGCGGGGATGTCATCGAACGTCTTCCAGATGGCATGCGCGTAGTCCTGGGAAGCAATAGCCAACGGCACCCCGATTAAATGATCTACAGAGTGGCCGGTCAGTCATGGTCTTTACTCCTGCTGATGAACGCGCATACAAAATCCGTCCCGTTCATCGACGATGGTGATCTGCACGGGGACCGTCCGTTGAGGCCCCTCATCCGCCGGGTCCAACGAGAAGCGACGACGTCGGCCCTGGCAGAGATCAAACAGATTCAGCGTGGCGGCCAGGCCGGCATAGGAACCCCCAATGACCAGGACCTTGAAGGGACTCAGCATAGCGAGTCGGTCTACTCCGTAGGGCAGCGGAGTCACAAAAGAGGGGCACCGGAAAGAGGTGGGAGAATGGATGAAAGGAACAACAATTATTAAATACCTTATCAATCAGTCCCCACCTGCTAGTGGGGGGAGCGGGGGAGCTCCTCCATCTTACATCAACTGGATGGACGGCACACTACTTGCTCTGACAGACTTCACCGGTCACTTCCGACTCTGAAATCTCCCATGACATCGCAGTCAACGGAGGAAATTACGATCGGGTCCCCATACCATGCTACGTCGTGCACAAGACCGTGGTTCATTATCTCGATTCGAAGATACGTGTGACCATCCCTCGCCTCCACGAAAATCCCCCGGTCGATAACGCCGCATCTTATCAGATCATCAGATAATTCCCTCCATACATCTCTAGCCCGAGGTCTTCAATTGACGAATATCACCACCTCCTATCAGTCCTCACAGCGAGGCAAAGGCAAGTTCGTAGGCAAAGCCCAGAGACAGGCGCGCATGCTGCAGTACGTGGTCGAAATTGACCGTGCTGATCGTATCCTGCGCAGTGTGGATGTAGGGACTGTCGTCCCCGAACTCCGACTCAAAGGCAAAGGAGCTGGGGTATCCATATCGGTTGGCCGATGCGTGGTCGGAGCAGGCGTATCCGCACTGGGACTCCACCCAGGAGATGGTCGTGTACTATGGAGCGCATATCCGGTCAGCCACCACCTTCACAAGATGGATCAATGGAAAAGGACCGACCGTGTCAATAATCTTCTTCAGGAACTTGGTCAGTCCAGCATCGACGTAGTCGGTGAGAACACCGATGGCTTCGGGCTTGCCGGCCTTTGTGGTCCCCTCCGTGTAGCCCGTCATGTCCTGCTGCAGCATCGCCACCACCTGCTTGCTCTGCGACGAGTACTGCTTGAAAATGGCCTGGCTGCCCAGAAGTCCGCCCTCCTCCGCCGAGTAGAAGTGGAATTCAATGGTGTTGGGCGCTTCGCCCGCCGCCACCTTCGGGTCCTTCAGAAGAACTCGCAGCGTCTCGAGGATCGTCACCACTCCGGAACCATCGTCATCTAAACCAGCAAACGCATGTTAGTGACTCGGTGCCCACGGTGGGAAAAAGAAGAAAAAAATGCACGGCGACTAGGCAACTCACCGGCACCGGGAGCCCGGCCGGTGGAAGGCGCGGCCTGGTTGATCGAGTCCTGGTGGGCGCCGAGGACGACAATTTTGTTGCTCTTGCCGGGAATGGTGGCGATAATGCTCGACTGCGTCCAGGTGTGGCTGAAGGGCTTGACAGTGACGCCCTTGGCCCCGCTAGCATCCACGACCGACTGAATCTGGGCCTGCAGCCATTCCGAGGACTGCTTGCCGTAGTTACTCCTGTAGTAACGGTTGTGGAACTCCGAGAAGGGTTTGAGCACCGTCTGGAAGTTGGCCTTGTTCAACTGGGGAATCAATTTCTCTACCGTGTCCTTATACTGCACCTTGCTAGGATAGGTGACGACCAGCTGCTGCTGCGAGTCTGCGACATTGGCGGCCTTGATCGTGCTCACTTCGTCGGTAATGTCGAAGAACCGCTTGCCTTCCTACATGACAAAGCGAAATTCAAGTGAGTACATATTATTCACGTCAAGCCCTAGGATGCACAGCTGCTTACCGCCTTGAGAGCCCATTTTTCGGCCTCCGTGACAACCTTGGTGACGCCAGGGGCCAATTCGAGGATATACCGATCCTCGGACGAGGCTCGCTCGCCGATGGCGAGGGCCGAGACGGTGGCTGCCAGCGCCGTGGCATATATGGGGAACCGCATGATGAGGGCTGGAGGTGAGGTAGGAGGAGGATGGAGGGTGGTACAGTACAACCAGAGAAGAAAGCATCCTTTGGGGGGAGGGGGAACCCCCGGTCAATTTATAGAGCGAGTTTGACAAGCCACGACCCCTTCAGGTTGCATCGCACCGGAGTCCCGTCGCATTTTGAATCCCCTGCAGAGCTGCAGAACTAGACTGTGTGACGGCGCACCACTTGATGCCGTCCCCGGTTCTCTCACCCGCCTTGGGTATCCTTCAATTTGCCGTGATCTTCTAAAATATCGCATACCCTCGGGCGTATAAATTTCCAGACTTTGATTGCTCTATTGTCTCGCCTGTCTATCGTGGGGACATGCCGCGGTTGCATGCCTCTTGGCGATCCTCAGATCGACATGCCTCACGGAGGTCCGTGGGAGCCCCGAGGGAGGCCCGAGACGCCAAGCAAGGCCAAGACAGCCAATTCGTCAGGAACTAGGACGCGAGACGATTGATAGGCGACTGGTGCTCATGAAGCAGTCAGAGCAGTCTTCCGGCCGTCCCCTCCATCCTTGGCTCACGTCGTCCTCCACGGTTGACATGAAACAGACAACGCCAAATCCTACGGGGTCCGACATGGAGAAGTAACTGGCCTTCATCATTAAAAGTGCCTGGTATGATCTATCTTATTACGCTCTAATTCTTATCAATACTTTTAATTTCACCACCAACGAGAGATGGCCTTCACGCTTTTCGTGCTTCCACGCTGACGCTACTTTCGCCGTGGATTTCCGTATAGACATGCGCCGGGCGTGCCGCCAGCTTGGATCCCAGCGCCGACGTCCGTCGCGGGTGATTGACCTTGTGCATCTCCCAGGGCTGGTCCTGCGAGGCCAGCGCCCGATCGCGCGAGGAGTGCGGCCCCGTGCCGGTGTTGGTGGCCCTCGAACGCGAGTTCTCGCGACTGCCACGATAGAAGCCGTACAGCACGGGGGCGTTGGAGACGATCGCGGCGGCGAATAGTTCGACGTTGGCCCACGTTGTGCGGTTGACCTGCACGGTCGAGTGTTCAGCGTTCTGTGGTAACCGAATGATTGTGATAATCACGATAAAGAGGCCGATCGCGAAGAGAGCGGCAAGCTGCAGTTTTCTACCATGCACCAGGTCAGCATATAGACTATATACAGAACGGAGGAACGGAGGGAGGGCGTACTCGGCCAATGATCGCTTGACCATGACCAGAACGGGCACCGGCAACGCGATCAGCATGACATCCGTGATGATATTGAGGACCCCGAGGACGATCAGTTGCAGTTGAGCCTGGGAGCAGGTGCCTGTTGCGGTCGGTCAGCTATCTTTAGTCCTTCCGTGACTTCCGGGACTTCCGGAACAACGTGAAGGGTCTGCGACATACCTGGGTCAGGCAGCACCTGCCAGTAGTGATTGAATGGATCGCATTCGGTAAAGGTCACCACCTGGACGGTGATGTACGTGGATGCAAAGACCAGCAGGTATGCCAGGAGAGTCGGTCGCTCCCAGGACAGGTTGCGGATCAGGTGTCGATAGGTATCGAGCAGAACGATCTTCTGGATCCAGAGGCTATATCCACCAGTCAGTCCTCCTCTTTCCTTGTCTCAGCGGAAAAGGACAATCATACTATGAGTTGTAGAAGACCCGGTTGCACAAGGTAAACTTGCTGCCGATCTCACGGCGGTGGATCTCCTGGCCCGTGAAGTGGTGCGCCTGGCGCATGTCCAGGGACATGTTGTTGGTGCCCCAGATGAGGATGACATGCACCAGAGCCAGCCGAATGAGGGCACAGAGAATAGCGGCGAAGGACAGGTAGTCACCCAGAACGAAGGGCTTGCGACGCACCTTGCGCATCAGCAGGCGCGTGGCGATCAGGGCGACTGTCATCCAGGTGAAAAGCCATAGCAGCACCAGCGTCGTGTTCGCCATAATGAACGAGCAGGGACCAAGTCAGCCATCTGGGAAAGAGGCAGATGCGGACGACGGCCACACTAAAAGGCTCCCCACGGAGGATCGAGACTAGAGCAGGAGAGAAAGCAGAAACAACCTCGGAGATGGGCACAAATAACAAATTGCACCAAGGCCAACTAAGTTTTGTCTTTGGGGTCGGATGCTTTTAACCTTTTGGGTTTTTCTCCCTGGACCCCAACTGCTGGATGGATGATGCAACCTCCATTGAGTCTATTCGCCGACCAGCGGCGCACCAGACTTCCGGGTGGGTTCCACCGTGGTGGAATTCTGGTCGACCCGACAGCGTTGACCATGGGAAATGAGGATCGGCTCTGCAGTGGAGAGGCTCGAATGTGCGTGGCTCCACCTGGTTGTGGTGATCGGACTGGCCGGCTCTGCTTTTTTGTCTTTTGAGAACCTTCTCCTGCTTATGGGCGTTCCCTAATCCTTGTTCCCTTCACGTTTTTTTTTTCCTATTGTTGTCAATCTATTCTGCCCCTGCAATCCAAAATGTGGTCCAGTGGCGTTCTGACAGGGCTGATCGCTCTGGCGAGTCTGGCACGCAACACCGTCGCCGCCAACTCGTCTGCATCTGAGATTGCCTATCACCGCGAGTATCTGTACGTGGGCGGCCAATACGTTCAGAATGCGGACGGCGATCACTTGTTCGCCGACCAAATGTACGTGGAGAAGCTCACCCCCCAGGGGGGCGCCTCCAAACCGCATCCCATCGTCTTCATCCACGGCCAGGCGCAGACAGGCACCGTACGTCATACCAATTCTCCGAAGCTTAACTCTAATTCCCCTGACTGACTTCATTCCGGTCGCAGAACTGGCTGAACAAGCCCGACGGTGGTCGCGGATGGGCCTCGTACTTCCTGGAGCAGGGCTATGAATGCTACCTGCTAGACCAGACCTTCCGGGGTCGCAGCCCTCACGTCCCCGGCAATGGGACGAAGAAGACGTACAGTGCCGAGAAGCTGCAAAAGCTCTTCACGGCGCCGAAGAAGTACATGTCCTGGCCCCAGGCGGCGCTGCACACCCAGTGGCCCGGCACCGGTGTCATGGGCGACAAGATCTTCGACACCTACTACGCTTCCACGGTCGACTTCTTCGGCGAGGCCGTGGGCCAGCAGAGCACCGTGCAGCAGGCCGGCGCGGCGCTGCTGGACCTCATCGGCTGCCCGGTCATCCTGCTCTCGCACTCGCAGGGCGGCATCATGCCGTGGATTATCACGGAAGTGCGCCCCAAGCTGGTGCACGCCATTGTCTCCCTGGAGCCATCCGGTCCCCCCTTCGGCGGGGTCACCGCGAACGCCTCCTCGCTGGCGTACGGTCTCTCCGACATTCCCCTAACCTACTCGCCCGCTGTCACCAACCCGAAGACCGACTTCGCGCTCAAGAAGCTGCCCAGTAACTCGACCGCGCGCGACGAGTGCGTGCTGCAGGCCGACCACCCGACGCCGCGCAAGCTGGTCAACCTGCAAAAGGTCCCCGTTGCCCTGGTCACGACCGAGTCCTCCTACCATGCGCCCTATGACTGGTGCACGGTCAAATTCCTGAAGCAGGCCGGTGTCTCTGCGGAGCATATGCAGCTGGGCGAGCTCGGTATCCACGGTAACGGCCACATGGTCTTCCTCGAGAAGAACAGCGACGAGGTGGCTGGCGTGATCCAGAAATGGATCGAAAAGCAATAGAACGATTCATCCATCCCCTTGCTGTGCGTGGAGATGGCGCTTCTACCTACTTAATTATCTGCTTATGCTTTGTGTTTATCTTCTATTGTGATGAGATGAGATCCATGGTATTCTCGATAATATTATATTGATGCTTCGGCGAACCTTCAACTACCTTCTCGATTAGCCACGTACAATGAAACTCGCATAACCTCATGAGTAACACTCTGTACGTGCAATGAATGCTCGGATCGCGCACCCGAACCCGAGCAAATCCCGACTCGGGCGACTTCCGGGGCGTCCCAAAAAAAAAGGGGGAAAGGGCAATTACGGAGTCAGTTCAGCTTGCTTTGAGTTTTTGGACTCCCACAACCAACAAAATCCAGAGGATAAATTGAGGGATATAACTCGACGGGGCCATTGGTGGGTCTGTGATTTTCTCGCCGGCATCTCCACTATCGTCGTTGAAATGCATGTTCAGTATTGAACTGTATTGATTGCAGTAATGCATCAATGCAACCGAAGGATCCAAGGGATTCAAATCAAAGGCCAAACACACTGACCATGCACATCACAGCGCGTCTGCAAATCATGGCGGCAGTTGCGGGTGATTTCCACGTGGAGGATGGCGAGGCGAAGGACGCGAACAGGAGGATCGGAGGCCTCTCTTACCGCTTGAAGCAGGACAGTGGGTCTCTTCGGCCAAAGGTTGGCCATGATCTCCTTTTCTTCTTTCCCAAAATTCCCCTTGGAGAGGTCAAGCAGTGGACCACGGTGGATAAAGGGGGGCAGACACCTTTCGATGGTGGGATGAAAACGTTCATCTCTCACAATCAGGGCATCGGCGTTTGTTGCCCGAGGGCCCCGAGGACAAGCTGGCAGTCTGCCATCATGCAAGAATGCTAATATGACAATATCCTGCAATTTATTTGCCATATAGTTATTGGTGTCGAGCAAAATGAGTGATGACCCGCATCGGAATAGTTACGGTAGTTCTCATAGTAACGGGCCCAACGGCACTGCTTTCCCTTTCTAGCCAGAACGCATCGGGTTTTGCTATGAATGCGGCTAATTCACCGGCATTGCAGACTAACACGAAGAGCCGAGGCAAGCCCCTTAATCAGTAGGTCAATGCTTGATGTCGGACCCTCGGGCATTCAAGATGAGTGGCGGTCGGTGAGGTAGGTTTAGTAGACGCCCGAGCCCACGTGTATTGTCGAGTCACTTGGAATCGCACTAGGTCGCTGTCAATATTTTGGCTTGCAACAGCAAAAGCCAAAAAACTCTTTTGATCGTTCATGGTTTAAGTTCAGCGAGGGCCTGGCCAATTCTAACGTCTGCGTGTCAGAGATCGACAATCAGGCCCAGAACGCTCGCTCGATCAACTGGAGCCTTAAAAGGTACTGTCCATGCATAGTGCACGAGTGATTTCGGTCGTCGGAATGTCTTTGCTCGTTTTGCTCGCTGTCATTGCTCTCGAATTACCCCTAGACTGATTGAGCCTAGTTTTCTTCGCGCTTCCATTCCTTTCTTTGGGCTGCATCCAGTTGAAAACACAAGAGGATTTCCAGGGTTTCATGCTGTTGTATTCAGCGGTCGTCTCATGGTCTTTGATCTGCTCTCCAAATTCTCCGGCTACAGAATACCCAGTATTGTCGATATGGCTACAATCTTCTCCGCATAGGTCTTACTGAAAATTGCAAAGATCGTCAGTTTCTTGGTTGGTCGGATGCTTGTTCTGATCTGGGGACCATTGCCCTGCAATATCCGGGGATAACATCTGGCCCAATGGCTCGGCATGGGTTCTTGCGGCCTCGTTTCAATTGGAGATATTGTTTTCCACGTCCTTATAGCACAATTGGTTGCGGAGAATTTCGCTGTCCGTCCGGCGCCACTTATAGCCACGACTTTGTTCCTTGCACCTCGCGAACATAGCCCCCTCGGCCAAACCTTTCGAATCGGATGATGGAAATGTGTTTTTTGGATGATTAATGAGTTCCTCGAGGTCGTAGTAGTTTCGTCTCCCATCCCCCAACCATCCTGTGCAGGTCACTGATCCAACGACACCTAAAAGACCCGTGAATCTAAGAACTGGAGCGCGAGTGCAGCACATCGCCATTCGAAGAGACGACCGGCGCTCTTACCGCTGGGATCACCCACGACCGGAATCATAAGCGAACGACCGAGAAGGCGCAGTAGATACACAGGCAGGTGCCCAAATCACTCGGCATCAAGCCCGTCATAGGGCATGCTGCATTGGATTTTGGAGTCCAGGGTCACGGAGGTCGCCTGCGAGACGCGCGATCCTGCCGTGGTTACGCACCGGTTGTGGTCCTCTCCATGGCTTGTTCGACCTATGAGGTAGGTACGCATTGAAAATCCAGCGAAGTAATCGCTGCTTTTCGTTGGTCTCCTTTATGCACTCGTATTAGTGTGGGGCATCTCCTCTCTTTGACGCGATGACTCTATTTTGAAACGCTTCGAAAGCTTGAAGACAGACTACTACGGTGCCACAGCTACTAAGAATGTGCATGTCACCCATGCCACAGGCTAGGTAGTTTCGACCGCCCAGTATCGTGAAAATTTGGTTTCTTTCATGGCGGAGAAAATGAGGAGCGATACAGCAGTCAAAGTTGCTGAAGGCTCTCGCGTCTACTTTGAAATCCGTTCCATGTTTGGCCTACGGAGGAAACTGTGCAGATCCTGCTCGGTCCTGTGAGAGCAAAGAGGGCATTCGCTTGATCGGCGTTGTTGCCCTGAAAAGACTGGACAAGCCATCGTCAGGGGTTGACCGAAACATACTCAATCACATCGGGAGGGCCGCCGCCTCAGGATGATGGGAGGTGTCTCGAGTGGTCAACGGATGACACAGCCCTTCCTACAAATACTGTGTTCACCCGTCTTCTAGCCGGGAATATCGGAGCAGGCGCTCGTTCTGGATGCCATTCAGCAGCGGTGACATCGGATCCGCTCGGTGAGATCCCATCACCTACCATACATCTGTTGTGCAGCACAGGTTTTGATGTGGTTGCCAGGTGGCAATCTAGAAACGGCCGCCACGAGCGAGTTTGTTACGCAGAGCCGGCACGAGATTCTCGGGTCCGATAACAGATATGTTGATGAGGACTTGACAGAGCTCCCGACAAGTGACTGGCTAAGCCCAAGAATGCGGATAATGTGTTCTCCGCCAAGCTTCAAAACACTTCTAATAAACGTTCGATCCCCTGGGGCTCCCTTCTTCGCTCGCAAAAGACATTGGCAGTTGAGTGGCACCAGAGGGCGTCTGAATGTTCGGCAAGGTAATTTATCGGAGGCAGGACGCTCAAGCGACCCGCGGTCGCATTCTCAGCACGGATGAAAGCATGTCGTGGGTGCTCTCCAGGGAACAGTATCTCAAAATCCCGATCACTTGGATCCCCTAGTACATGTCAAGGAGTGGTTTGGTAAAAGCCTTTTGAGATGCAGTGCCAAGGAGTCGTTCAAGACCAGGAGTGACCTTGCGAACGGGTTAATGCCAGCACAGGAACCTCCAGCATATTGCCCACAAGTTTACGGACAGATACAGAGCTCTTGCTAGGAGGCCATCGTGTCGACACGATCCTTCTGGCATCCTTGACTCACTTCCTCGCCACATGGGCCTACTGCACCCGCAGGTTGTAATCAAAAACTTGCTTGGCGATACACAACCACTGCTCCCTGAGGGGAAACAAGATCCAACAAAGCTGCCAACCCTCTTTGACTTCCTTGGTCGAATTCTGACGGTCGGCTTCGATCTACCTTCGCATGGTCGGTCAGCCCGAGGAGCAGGAGGAAGATAAAAAGGACAAGTTATGCATGTGGTGAGAACTGACAGGTCATCAAGTGCTGTATGGATTTGCCAAATTCCCGACAGGACCACAACGCTTAAGGGAGTAATGTAGGCAATAGTTTGTCGCTTAATGTGCGGAGCGACCGCAACCTGCTAGCAAAATGGTGCCACGCGTGGTCGCAACGAGCTCCCTGCGTTAAAGGAGCATATAGTCACCCTGCACCACCATAGATCACCTATGCCGAGGATGGTGACATTCCAATAGTCGAAAATTTTTCGCAACCGCATTTGCGGAATTGGCGGGAAGGCAAAGCGATCACTGGCCAAGGGTTCATAGGAAATTGCAATTTGTCATTGACCCTTATCTTCTGTGCACTGGGCTCTTTTAATCGATCCAACAAGCCGGCTGCCATATGCCGTGATTGATAAACAGTGGTGAATGCATCTCACTTGACGCGTAGAGCACTGCAAAGCGCGAGGCAATCACGAAAGTGAAAACAGAAGTATCGGGGCTGGATGTTTTGTCACACGGGCGCAAGCGTTGAGGCGGTGTCATTCCAGAGACAGGCTCTGTTTAGAAAATTCATTCTTCATGACGGCTTGGCTAGAAGGGAGAGTACGGGGGGGAAGAGGGAAGAAAATGAGAGAGCAAGAGAAAGAGAGAGAGAGAGGAGAGAGGGGAAGGGCTGCCTTGGTGCCTCAGGCCACAATTTATGTTGCCCGCCCAAAGCAGTAACTAACCAACAACAGTTGAAGGAGACTCCATACTCCGTACACCCTATCGTATCTGCATGCTAAGGTACTCTATTCTACTCACAGGATACTCTTATTCTACTAAGGATGTCAGTCCTACATTCTCGAGTGCGAGTCATTGTTAGACACTAGGCATTAACCACGATTTTCTCCTATCTGCTTGGGAATATATTTTGTTCAACCAGCCGAGACTTAACGGTTGCCCACCCCAACACCAGTAAACAAAACAAGGACCTGGAAATGATGTCCATTTTACTTCTATAAATATGATCGTGAAAGACATTCTTTTTGATGGTTCTACGATCTAGGAGAGGGATGGAAGACGGCGAGGTGTAGTCCTTGTCACCCGGATACCTGGCAGTTGGCCTCAGGCAACACCCTCAGCGTTCACGAGATCGTTGCAATGTGCAGATATTATTACACCGTGTAGTGCCTGACGTTCTCTGTCGAGTCGAGATACAAATGGTATAAAGACGCCGGTTGGCGGTGGAAACCTACCGCGACTCGATGCAATCATATCGTATCGTCCACCAGGTTAATTAGGATCGTCGCCATCTCGATCTTGTCTCCAATGGCCGCGAGCCCGATTGATTAATTCGAGGAGTACCCTGTACTTGATCATACTACGGAGTACGGAGTACTAGGAAATTGGTTGTCGATGGGTGCTAAAGCACGACTTGACGTGTACACTGTGTACTCCGTAAGCGATGGAGAAGCAAAGGAGACCGGACTACGGAGTGGAAGGAGCAAGTGATAGCACAATCAGTATGCCACGATCGCACTGGATCCAAGATGTCGCGTCGTAGACCTGACTGGCACCCGGGGGACTCTGCATGCCGGATCGGAGAGACTACGAAGTATGATGATCTGTCAATGTCATAGTACTGACGGTGTATACGATCTTTCGATCTCTGCCGTCCCCCGCTTCCTGCGCAGGTATGGTGCCGCTTTCAATTGCGCATACTACTCCGACTCTTGCCCCAACATCTGACGGTCAGTCTCTCGCTCAAGTCCGAGGCGGCACAAGTCCAGCTTGCCCAGGGAGCGTCTAATGTTCTCCCGGCATCGTTTCTCTTCTGTCGGTTTCCACTGTCAGCCATCCCATCTTGTTTTGACCTCGGAACCAGGGTCTAGCTCCGCATGGAAAGTGATTCCGTTGAGAAGGGTGATTTAAAAAAAGGTGCGCCTTGTAGATCTGCGCGTCCCCACATCTCGGGGACGAGGTTCGATAGGGAAGGTGGGTATCGTCGTCCGACCTGCAAGGCCGGAGGTCTCACTCGGGGAATGAAGGGAACGAGGCCACTCCGGCGTGCGATGTGGCAAGAAATTCAGATCACTCTGTGATGGTAACATGATGTCAATCGTATGTGAAGTCGTGGACTCGTGGCACCCAATTCACCATTCCAGCAGTCCCTCGGAGGGCTTCCTGAGTTAGTTCGAGGAAGTACTCCGCAAGTTGCTACTGACCAACGGTCGTGAGTCGTGACTGGACTACGGCGTACTAGTCGCTCGATTCCCCAGAGACCCTGATCGATCCCAGGCAGGGAGTGCGGAATTGAGTGGCCGGTGGCAACGATACCACCGGCCGAGGCTCTAGCCACACTCCACCACATGCATTGGTCTAATCATACGACGGAAAGAACCTCCGGAGGAGGCAATTATTGACAGGACTATTTTGAGCCTGAGACAACCAAGGTACAGCAGGTCAGACATTGAGGCTGAGCGGTGCCTCTGAGGATTATGTATTGAGTTATTGTCAATGGTTCCCTGATTTACCCCACCGGAGGCCAACCCGAAGCCGACTAGACAGGAGAAGAAAACAGGGAACTAGAAAGGATGAAGAAGTTTAGAAGAGCAGGCAGTTGAGAGTTGAGACAATGTCTTGATTGCTGGCCGTCCGGGGCCCTCGGGCACGTCTGATCCGAAACAAGCCGCCAGGGTTGCGCCCTTAGCGGGTCCTTAGTGGCCTCCGGGGGGTCCACCCCGGTGAATCGGGGCCAATTGGGACCGAGTGAACCTAATAATAGCGCGGGCCCTGATTTTAGGCACCTCGGCCGGCATGACGGCATGTCCCGTCGCCCGCCCTGAGGAGTCTGGAGAGGCGTACCCTTACAGTCTCAGTCTTACAGTCTAGTCGGTACATTGTCTGGATCAAAGAGTCAAGATGGATAGGGTCGCTGCTTGCCCGCCGGCTATAAAGGTGACCTGATTCCCTCCCCCAATCGTCTCTATCATCACTCACTCTCATCTCTATCTCCATCTCTATCTTCATCTTCCATTCCAAGTTACTTTCCAACTTCTCTCTTCACCAACCAACTCAATCACCATGCACTTCTCTCGCTTCTTCGTTGCTTCCGCGGCCGCTGCCACCGCCGCTGCCATGCCTGCTGCCCAGGTCTCTGACAACGACACCTTCGGCGTCATTGCCATCCACTCCGGCAGCGGTGTCCAGAACGCCGGCTTCAACGCGGCCAAGAGCAGCCTGTTCGCCGGTCTCCCCAACCAGGGTGCCAGCTGTGCCCGCCCCAAGGAGCAGTCCGCCACCTTCTACATCCAGGACGGTGCTCTCTACCTCTACGACGCCTCCGCCACTCCCCAGGAGATCTACGTCGACCGTTCCGGCATGGGTACGTATTTTCCTTGGCATCGCACTTCTTGCGAGATCGATCCACGTTTATCGAAGTTAAAACTAACTCCATTGCAGGCCAGGGCAAGATCGGCTACACCACCGGTGCTCAGCCCACCCCCCGCAACGGTGAGCGTGAGGGCTGGGCCGTCAAGAACGGCCACCTCGAGTTCGACGGCAGCAGCCTGATTGCCTGCCCCAACAGCATCGACGGTGCCTGGAGCATCTGGGCCTCCGCCGGTAACTCCAACCCCGCCGGCAACAAGGACTGCGTTGGCATCGCCGCTCGCGTTATTCCCACCTCCAACCCCAACGGCTGCAAGTACACCGAGTAAATGCCTCGCACGGCGCCATTCTCGCGGTCTCAAATGCCCCATCCTTTCCCATCCTGGGATGTGAATAAGTCTTTGTCTGGGAACCAGATGTGGTATCTCCAGTGATACATACAATTATAAATGTAAATAAATAAATCTTAATCTAGCGATTGAACAAACCTACTTGATTTATTGACATCTTTTTCGTCCTGTATTTTTTATCTTCCCTATCTCGCTTCTGCTCACATAGGCTTGTAATCCCCATTCCTGCACTTGGTTTATTGATTGCTCCTTATTTCAGGTCCTGCCAGACGCCTTGATAATTCTGCCGCTCAAGATCGGAGTCCTTGCCAGTTGGCGGAGGTAAATAGGATATTCTTTCTCGGTATATGAGAATAAAATAACCGGGTACTAGTAAAGTGTATAGTTGTTCCTGGGATGGCCAATCTTCCAGGGAGGGCAAACCAAGCTCCCAGGAGTAGGAGTCATTTATGCACTCGTACGAATATGCTTGGTACATCTAAAACTGCTTCTTTAATACCAAGCCCTCTGTGGGAGAAACTTGCGAATATGTGGCAAATCCGGATTATCAGTAGATTATCACCAATAGACAGGAGTTGATTATAGCTAGGTGCCACTGTTTTGTCCAATATCACTGCCCTCAATTTCATGTATGAATGAAACATGATAGCACTGGTAATGGTTTCCTGTTGAGCAGTGGTATCACAGTGGCGGCCAATAGAGTAGTACGTTTATCTCAAATCCCGAAAGAAGCCGTGCATTTTGTTGCAATCTCCCCCGTTGGACAAATCCTTGATGACTGTACCGATGTATTTCGTGAATTTGACAGCATATGCGGCGATGCCAACGCAGGCACCTACGGTAGCAATCCGCTTACATGCCCTGACTAGATCACGTTCCACAATTACAGATGATTCTACTTTACCTTGTCGTTTCGCCCGGCTGTTCGGGCCCAAGGTAGGTCTGTTCCTCTATCGCTTAGTGCAAGAGACTGAGGTTATTGAGTGAGATTGGTAATCCGGAGCGAGGCGATCTAAGGAGCTTTCCGGTTTTCCCCATTTTAAGCACTCGTTCAATCGCCAAGTAAGAATGGGTGGAAGAATTACCTTCTTTTGCTTTCCAGAAGACATGACTATCTTCCCATGGTAGATTGTATGATAAGTATTGATGATGAAATCATAACGCATCGGCGGTTTTCTCTCGTGTTCTCATGTGAAGGAGTTCAATGTATTCCACATCACTATGTTGTTGGTTACCATTGGCGCCTATCATCCTCCCCACGACCCCCAAAACAGAATGCCTCTTGGACCCGCTCCGGATAGGTATGGCTGGGCTCCCATCCGAAGACTCTGTACTTGGGTGAGATGAACACATGGATATGCAGGACTTCCAGAAACGTCGAATGGCCGGCATGTTCAAGCACACTATAGCACTGTAGCATTCAACCACGGACCAATATGCCGTTGGGACGTTGTCATCTGAGAAAACTTAGTTAATGGTCTAAGATCAGGGTAGTCGCACCCCACTGGAACTCACATGTAGGGTTTTTTGTACTCGCAAACGCAATGATTGCCTTAAGTCGAACAATGCTCACAATTGTTACGCTGAGAAAAAAGGAGAAGGTTAACCCACACCCCTCCCCTCTAGTATCGGGTCGAAGAACTTACAAAAAACCAGCCCCGAACATCACCATGATCAACATCTTCTTCTTGCTGCGCAGAGAAAATTTTCGAACCCCGTACAGAGGAACAGCCATGATGGCTAGATCGAGAACGATATTCCAAATGGCGCAGGACCATCCGAACTCATTGATATTCAAACAATAACCCGTCGTTTCGCCTGTCCACTGCGTCCAGAGGTAGGAGATTGGAAGGCACTCAAGTCCAAGACCAACCAGGTACACAATGCAATAGGCGAGAGCAAAACCAATGAGGATAAATATGACTTTTTGAAGACCCTCGTTGGGAAAATCTGCCGACAGAGGAATAGAAACGCCATTTTCACGCAGGAAAAACTAGCAATGTAGAGCAGTTGCGTGATCCATGTGTACTATGCATCCGTTAGAATCAACGGGCATAGCTGGAAAATGATATATATCTCGGGAATTTGGGCTTTACTTTCACAATCCTAGTCACGTTTTCAAAGGGCACCGTCCAAATATTCTTGCCGAAACCGTCGTCTGACACTGATTTGAATATAGTGAGTATATGTATCAGGCAAGCCCTTGGGACCTTCCTGAACATTTAATACTTACTCGGATATTCTGGTGCCCCCATTGGCACCGCAGCCAGCTTATTTCATCGATTAGCCATCGCCAAAGAAAAAAAGACTTTGAAATACACCTACTAAGCCTGAGATTGCACATATGTCCTCAACATCAAAGTGAGCTCGGAATTGCAAACATCTCAAGAGGGTCGTGACAATGGCAAAAATGCCAAATATTGTTGTAACTAGAGGAGTAATACGAGAACGATCACGAATGAGTTCCTCACACATTACACTGGTCAAATTGCGCATTGCTACCAGGATCAGCCTAGCAACAATGAACAGAACGGAAGGAGTATCGATGGCATACAGAGAGCATATTAAAGGGCATCTCATCATCAGGCAAGTACTGACATCTGCCTGATATTCAGTGTCTGCGCAGATGCATATCGTGTTGGAGGGACTGCACAGAGTCATCTGCTGACCCCGAGAAACGCAACTGTTCTGATTTTAAAAGAAGAACTCAGAAACCAGATCATACGAAACGCAGGCGACTTTAAGCCTTACCGCACACGTGGAAACCCGCCGGTTGCAGCATTGACCCGAGTCGGGCAACAGACGATCAAAAGTATAATTTGCCAAGGAAATTGCATCTTCACGGTAAGCTAGCGGAAAAGAATGAGGAAGAGTCAAGGGAGCTTTTCCCTCGCTCTTTATTCTCCAAAGATTGGGGACCATCGACCGGCCGAAGGAAGACCCCCGGTCGTTCGATTTGGCGCCAGCAAGAGCTACCCGTGCTACCAGGTCAACGCCGATGATAGCGCGAGAAGTCAGTGGCACGTAAAGGAATCGAGAACTACTCCCTACACTGAGTACGGAGTAGTAGCTCGGATGGGGGCTAGAAAACAAAAGGATTTCAGTCTAGGTTTTTATATTATTACTGGGAGAGGCATTCGGTTTTTTGGGTCCCCTTGCGGTGCCAATAATGCCTAGCAAGAACTACTTCGTTGCGCGCACTCTACGGAGTACCATTAGCATTATGATGATGCAACGCTACTCCGCCACTAGGTATATTAGCGAACGCCGGGTCCATGATCCCTGCTCATGGACATTACGCCAAGTCCTCTGTTCTTTATCCAATAACGTGGCCTATAATAAACCAGGCTGACGCACTTCCGGAGGAGCCCCTGTCGAATCCCATATTTCGAGCAGTCGGCGTCAAGCGGTAGAATGCAGACTCAAACCCTCCTCCAAGGTCTGGCTTTGTCTGTCGGATTGTATTGGGTGGGCTGGATATTCTATGCTAGATGGCTGCATCCCCTGGCGAAATTCCCTGGACCGCCACTTGCGGCTGTTTCAAGGCTATGGATTGTGATGATGGTGGCCCGAGGACGTGCTGAGAATGAGCAGCGACAACTGCATAGGAAATATGGTCAGTCAAAGAAAAGCCATTCCGATATAATTCCCGCAATCGTTGACCGCCGGCAGGCCCTGTGGTTCGGATCGCGCCTAACGAACTAGCCGTTAGCGATCCAGCTGCGATCAGAAAAATATACGGCATCAAATCCGGATTTACTAAGGTAATGCGGTTTCCCGACACACTGGATATCGAAAATGATGCATCAGACGTTGATGACTGCAGACGGACTTTTATTTACCATTTCGATCACCTTTTGGTAGGAATCAGATGCAATCTTGACCGAAGAGCTGGCATGAGCTTATCCTCCCGATAGCACGATACCCTGATCTTTTCACAGCAACCGATGAAGAGATGCATGCCCGGCGGCGAAGGATCGTGAATCATGTCTACTCAATGAGTAGCGTAATCCAAGCCGAGAAATACATGAACGCATGCACCGACCTCCTTGTAGAACGATTCAGTGAAGTGGCAGACCAAGACTCCACGGTGGACCTCCACAAATGGGCGCGAATGTAGGTGATGTCCCGGCACAGATGCAGTTTCCCGTCCTACTTTAACCCCTCGACAAACAGGTACGCGTATGATGTAATTGGCGAGCTGTATTTCGGCAAGATGTTTGGATTCCTGGGGGCCCGGAGGGATCATTTGGGTTACTTGTCTTCCACTGATGCCTTGATTCCAGTCATGACACTATCTGCCGTCATGCCGACATACGTTCGCCCCTTCTTCATGCTCGGTGGTCTTCTCTTTTCACGAATGAGAGCGTCCCTAGTTGCGCTCAAAAGCCTGACGAAGGCTGCCGACGCTACCGTCGAGGACCGTCTGGCGGAGTCCAAAGAAGTGGGCAATGTATCCCAACGCCCGGATGTGCTCAATAAAGTCCTGAAGATATACTGTCAGGAGGGTCAACGAGTGGACTTCGACATGGATGACGTTAAGATGGAGGTGTTTGGCGCTTTGTAAGTTGAAAGCCCACAGAATCTCTCCCAGACATCGTTTAATCCCCAGCCTAGCTTTGCAGGAAGTGACACCACAGCCATTGCCTTGACCGGCGTCCTGTACCATATGCTGAGACACAACTCCGTCCTCGAAACTGTTCGCCAGGAGATTGATCGTGCCACAGAGAATGGTGAGCTGAGCCTCCCGCGCATCTCGTATGATGAAGCGGTGAAATTACCGTACCTGAGTGCATGCGTGAAAGAAGCGATGAGGATCCATCCAAGCGTAGGCCTGACGCTCCCGCGCAATGTGCCCGACCACGGCTGCGAGATTGCCGGACATTGGATCCCTGGAAAAGCCCGCATCGGCGTGAATCCGGCGGTCGTGCACCTGGATCGAACCGTGTTTGGCGAGGACGCTCTGACATACCGACCGGAGAGATGGCTTGGTCCCGGGGCCGATGAAATGAGTCGGTATATGATTCAGGTTTGTTGATTGATTGCGCTTCCCGGATTGGTTACGCCCAGAGAACTGACAGATTTGCAGTTTGGAGCAGGCTCCAGAACGTGCATGGGAAAGCATGTAAGAGGACTGCCAACCCAATTTACCCATGGATTGTCCCCTCAATTGACTGACGACTGACTTTCCTCCCAGATCTCCCTTTGCGAAATCTACAAGGTAGTCCCAGAGCTGATCCGGTCGTACGACTTGGAACTTGAGCTTGCGACCGAAAACCTCGCAACCACAGCATACTGGTTCTATAAGCCCGCAGAGGTCAAAATCAGGGTCAGAAGACGCAAGAATGGAAAGATGGATTGAAGCAGATGCCAGATTCAATGTGCTTAAGATAGGTCATGCCAATCTCGCTCGGATTGTGATATCACCGTGCAAGTTGTTTTCCGGATGTCTACCGCAAGGTTAATAGCCAAGCAAAGTATGTCCACTAAACCTAATAAGTGAACTCCGTAAGCCAAGATTGAACCTGCGAGTCAGCCGACCGTGATTGGTGGAAGAAAAGGAACAGTCGGAGAATGAGATCGACTGCAAGGTGTATACTGGATGATATTATTGCCCCGGACGGTCACTCTGTTGCCTCCAGCTCGTGGAATTTCATCCTCCGAATGACAGCGACATGATCGTCGAGAACCACGGGCCTGTGCAGGGCTTACCATCCCGTGTATGTACTACGTTGATCATTGCCTTGTCCTAAGATGTGCAGAAGCTATCCATGGTCGTTCGTTGCCATATGTTATACAAGATGAAAAAAACAGGGATAGTAGCCTGATCATCCCAGATATCCAGCTACGACCTCTCCTTCAAGTCCTTTTCATTCCCCTGATTATTACAGGAGGGGAAGACCGAGATCGCCGTGTCCCTCCAATATGGGTACAGAGTAAGTTGTACTCCGTAGCGGGCAAAATAGAACTTGTTTTGAATCATAACGGGATAAATTCGTGCTAGCTAGACACTTTATTTTCAGAAATGCCGTGGTGCTCCTGCATCAATCCCGACGCAGTGCACGGATTCCTCGCTCGCTCGTATCACATCATCCCATAACCGAGGAAGGAATGGATCCACGCGGCAGGGGAAAGCGACTAAAAAAGTGAAAAGGACCCCCGTGGGTCCACTCTAATTAAAGTAGTGGAGTTGATGCTCTCTCTTTCCAGTTTTCAACTTTATTCTACGTCCGTCCGGTCGCTCGATCAGCAGGCCAGCTTTCTAACTAACCCAGAGTAGTTTTGAGGTCTTGCAAAGGTCAAGATCTTAGAATATTGATGGATGAGAGAGTTGCCGTTGTTCGTTGAACCGGGTAACGCTCGAGAATATACAACGCAGGTATTGGAGCGTAACGCAGGTGGTTGAGAGCAATGGAAGGTTTCCTGTCCTTGGATTGACCGAACTTTTCGTAGACAATTGGAAGATAGAGATAGATACTTACATGTACATATATATATATATATATATATATCAACCTGTGGCCATGTGCCGTAAGGAAAGGCCGCAAATCGGTGGAAGTAGAACTTGGAGTACTTAACTCATATTTTGCCCATGACCATAATAACATACATTCGCACCTCCCCTATCATAAAATCTTGAACACTATGATGTCTTGAACACTATGACGTCTTAATTCTTATGGAAAATAATTGTCGTGAGATTTATTACTGGTGTTTGAAAAAGCTATCCATTCTAAAAGTAGTGCATAAACTGCATAAGCTGCATAGACCCAAACCAAACGATAGCCCACCAACACCGTAGACCAACAATAATACGTTGATATGCTATTACACTCTCAGTCGCTGGGTACTACATCTCCATGCTACAAATGTCCAATTGGCGGCGAGTGTTGGGTTCCTGTAGATGCCGGAGCACGTCGTCGTCGATCCGGTAGAACAAGGAACCGACACTACATGCAGCGAGGATTTCCGAATAAACTCGTTGCGCATCTTGGCGCATCGGCCTATGCTGACAGTTATTTTCCCATAATTGATGGGAGAAAGTGCCCGCATGGAAGGATTGCGCAGACTGGTGGCTAAGTGGCATCGCCTGGCGAAAGCAAGAAACCCCTGGAAGATATTGTGCCAGGTGATATTGATGACGCTATGCGTGACTGTGATTCATCTCACAGTAGGCTTGGGTATGGTGTTTCCTTCCAGTCTAGGACCACAGGACACCCGTACGAAGGGGCGGAGAGATAATGTTGGACAGAAGCTCTTGACCGGCACCACTGGGAATATAGCCAGACTGAAGAAAAGCCATCGTATCATTTGTTGAAGACCGGGGCGTCGAGACGTGGGTTCAGGGTGCCGGTGGCAACAGTCTGTTGAGCGATGAGGTGTTAGCATCGCCAGACCGTAAGTATGGAGTAGGTTGGGAAATAGGCCTCGCCCCTTTCGGATCCGGTTTATCTCTGAACGGAAAATGAAGTTAGAGTCTACACCGTTGGTGATTGTGATCATCGGTTTCCACCTCAGGATTATCCCGGATGAGACACCGTGACACTATACGGCCGACCCCGTTCATAAGTCATAACTAGGCAATATCGGACGGAGTCTGAGCTGACATTTCCGGGTAATAGAGATCGCCCAGGAGGTGGGACCACAGGCCACCGACAAGGGGGGTGGAAGTCGAGGGAAGAGAGAAGAGAAGGTGACACCGAACGTTGAACGAGGCTCGTGGAACCAATGTAGTGACGGGGAAATTGAGTGCTGAGCTACAAAGCAACCGCCGGCCATTCAGAGGAACCAGGATTGATGAACTGTGGAATGCAATACACATGCTTAATCTCGCCGGTCGGCGTTGGATATTGGATATTGCGGAGGAAGCGCGCTGACGGTGGAGCGCGCTGGTTAGATTAGGGCTCGGGTGGAGAGAGCATCCACTCGTCGACGCTTACCCAGAATTCCAGTCTCCCTCCCGGACCTCGAAGGAGCGAAGGAGGGCCACACGGCTCGTATGATCAACCATTTCATAACTGCTCCGAGTAAAGTCTGCAGTTTCGGGGGAGCGAACATGTTCTGTTCAGTCGGGTGATAGGCACCGGTAGGGCGTTGCAGCCATGTCTATCCCTCTCTATCCCCCCCGATTCCTCTCGCGACGCCGATTGAGTGCAGTAAAAAGACCCCCCAAAAAATAGAATGAATAAAATCCCGGGGCATTTGACATCTGCCATCCGCCATCTGGTCTCCCTGCGCCAAAGTGTCTCCCTTCGAGCCGCGTCATGGCCTTAGCCTCAATCGGGAAACTTCCGAGGGCTTTAATGAAGCAGCGCTGAGGGAGAAAAGTCAGAAAGAGCTGGCCGTCGCCCATCAACCCGAAACACTCGAATTAAATGGATTAGGGCTTAAGCACTTCGGGCGGTGGCTTTCCCCCTGCGTTGCCCACTCCGTGCCTTCCGGTCGGAGGTTTGACCGGATGGACGCGGTGGGGATGTTTCAGACGCGGCTTCAACGCTGTCGATCTCCTTCCCAAACCAAATCGGCCTGCCAGAGGATCGACATGGATATTCACCATGTCCAGTTTGGAGCTTCTGGACGGCGGATATTGCTCGGGATAACCCTGGGCGGGTTTACCCACCTACCGCAGCCTTTGCTCCCCCCGATCCCAAACGATGGCTTCCTGAGGTCCGTTTGGGAGTCGGCCAGCCGTGGGCATTTACGGAGAGCACGACGGATTTACAGAGTGGATGAAGACGAAGTAAGGTATATAAGTGCCGACGGATCTGCTCTTCTGGAATGCTTCTTCTCTTCCAACCCAACCAACTCCCTTCGGTCATTCATTCGTTTCATTTGTCCCTCTTTGTCATTCTTTCTTTATTTAATCACTTAAATCACCATTCACGCTTCCAGGATGAAGTACTCCGCCGTTCTTACCACCATCGCTGCTCTCAGCGCTAAGGCTCTGGCCGCCGCTGCCGTGCAGGGTACCGCCGAGGGCTTCGCCTCCGCTGCTACTGGTGGTGGCAGTGCCACCGCTGTCTACCCTACCTCCACCGACGAGCTGGTCTCCTACCTCGGTGATAGCGAGGCCCGCGTTATCGTCCTCTCCCAGACCTTCGACTTCACCGGCACCGAGGGTACCACCTCCGACACCGGTTGCGCCCCCTGGGGTACCGGCTCGGGCTGCCAGCTCGCCATCAACAAGGATGACTGGTGCACCAACTACGAGTCGGACGCCCCCAGCGCCTCCGTCAAGTACGACAACGCCGGCCAGCTCGGTATCACCGTCGGCTCCAACAAGTCCCTGATCGGCGAGGGCACCAAGGGTGTCATCAAGGGCAAGGGTATCCGCATCGTCAACGGTGTCGAGAACGTCATCGTCCAGAACATTGCCATCACCGATATCAACCCCCAGTACGTCTGGGGTGGTGATGCCATCACCCTCAACGAGGCTGACAACGTCTGGATTGACCACGTTACCGTAAGTCACTTACTTCCTTTGCGGTCCCAGCCAGACCACACCGCTGACCTAAATTCCGTTCTTCTAGACTGCTCGCATCGGTCGTCAGCACTACGTGCTGGGCACGGAGGCGGACAACCGCGTCACCCTCTCCAACAACTACATCGACGGAGAGTCCGACTACTCGGCCACCTGCGACGGCCACCACTACTGGAACATCTACCTGACCGGTTCCAGCGACAAGGTCACCATGAAGGGCAACTACCTGTACAAGACCAGCGGCCGTGCCCCCAAGGTCCAGGGTAACACCTACCTGCACGCCGTCAACAACTACTGGAACTCCAACACCAACCACGCCTTCGAGATCGGTGAGGGTGGCTACGTCCTTGCCGAGGGCAACACCTTCGCTGACGTGAAGGCCTCCGTTGAGGAGTCCTCCATGGCCGGTGAGCTCTTCTCGTCCAGCAGCGACGCCTCCACCTGTAGCTCCTACATCGACCGCGCCTGCGTGGCCAACTCCTTCTCCAGCTCTGGCGACCTGGCCGGCACCTCCACCGACGTGCTCTCCAAGTTCAAGGGCGAGAGCGTCGCCAAGGCTGACGCCGCTGGCACCGGTCCCGCCTCCAGCGCTGGCCAGGGCAACCTGTAAAGGGTGTTCTGTTCGCGCATTGGAATGATCAAGTTCAAGTGGAGGACACGGAACGAGGACATACTGACGGACATGAATCCCGCGCTGGATTGAGACTCGAATGTTTGACCCCCGAATGGTTCTCTATCTTAGCCAAGTACAAATATAATCTTCTGAGATAGAATCTCTTTTCCTCGCTCCTAGACCTGTAACTTCATGAAGATGACCGTATGCAGTTGATTGGCTTGTGTTTCTCTTGAGTCTACATGATTCAGGTCATCTAATGAAACGCCGCCGAGATGACTTGGATTCGCCTAGAAGTCCTTTTCCCCCTGCCTTGATGAGTGGGTTCCTTGCGATCTGGAAATATTTCCCCTTTCCATGTTCCATTCTCCACCCCATTCTCGTCGCAGTGCACGGTGCGAAACGTGGCTGCACACGCCGAAGCGTCGGCGGAACGTGCGAACGCTTGGCGCGTGTCAGCCCGACTCCTACGTCATGCAGGGGGGGGGGGGGGGGGGGAAGAAACTGACTATTTTTGAGACTCTTCTCATGCAAGCGTGTTTGATGGCTGACTCGCGCCCCGTTTTTCGCTGGCGAAGGAGGTCGTCGTTCTATCTCCTGCGACGTTCCGGTGGGGTGCCATACTGAGTAGTGTTTAGGTCTAGGTTTTCGACCGACGCTTTCCTTGGTACTTTACTCCGGACTGATTCTATTAATCTATTTTCCTGTTCCCATGGGCGCCCATATCGATTAGTATCAAAGTGTGCCAAATTGCCGCTTCTGATTGACAGGTTTGTGGCGTGGGTCGATTGCTCCCCATTCCGTGGTACCACTTACGGCTGCCCGGCCTAGGCTGTCCTATTATGATGTCATGCAATCATGATCGTCAGTGATACTCTGTGTTTCGACCTTGCCAGAATTCTATGCTTGTTCCATGCTTGTTGTATGTACAATGCGATCGAGACTGGGTTGGGTTGGGTTAGAGACAGATTGACCACTGAGCTTCTGTAAAGCCGTACTTTGGACACGTCTATACCCGAGAATGAGATCTGACAGAGAGATGTCTTCGTGAGATTCACGGCTCTCATCAGTCCGGGTTGGCGAGGATGGAATAATCGTTTATTAGTCTGAAAAGACTCATCCATGACTGACTGGAGTGACTTGACTACTTGGATATGTGAGCACTCCTGGGCGTGGCACGACGGCTGCACTGGAAGTTATTATGGAACATTCTTTCTCCTTCTGGTTCAAAAATTTGCTATAGGGGTCGATTTGACCGTATTAATTAATCATTTTGTATCACGATCTCGAGGGTAGGGATCATTATGCCAGAGTTGCTCCTGGCCAATACATGAAATCACCATAGCTAGCAAGACAGACTATGTATCCATCCAGAATTCACTCTTTCTTTCCGGAAGATTAATACTGGTAACAAAGAACGGAGCAAGAAGCTTTCAGAAAAACCAGTGTAGAACGGTTCTTTGTTGAATTTTGAACGGGCGGAATCCCGCACAGTCCTTGCTGGAATCTCCGGCCCAGGGCAACCACGCCCATTGTATGGCGCTCCTTGTCTTCTTGATGACTATTATCAGCCACCGGCGTCGACCGAGAGGCCTTTGAGATGTTACAGTTGCAACCCAGTCAGTTGAATGCAGCGCTTTAATAGTAGTGGTCGACCTTTCTCCAACGCCCATTTGGGCTCAATGTTTAAATAGGCCCTGCTCCTTCTAGTAGAAACACTCACACCCACAGCCACTCAACTGCATCCCGAGCCCTTCCTCGTTCAACTACGTATCTCCATCAACATATATATCCAGAACCCATACAACACCAGCAAGAAGACAATGTCGACAGGTATAATCCGCACGAGTCAACCTAGCGACGAAATCGACGAAATCGTCTTCGACATCCCTCTCCACGAATACAGCGACAGAAACAAATGTCACATCAGCTCCACACCCAGTCTTCGACGTGTGATCCAGGTTCTTGCTTTCTACGCGATGAGGCTCGATAAAAGTTACCGCGCGCCGAGTGGGCCCGTCCGGAGTGGATCTGCGCGGTTCATTCTCCGCGTCTCGACTGCGCGTGCAGATCCGGACGCGCTGTGGAAGTTACTGCAAGCTATATTTGAGGAGCTTCCTGTCGCCCATGGTTCCCGGGTGGTGTTTCCGCACCGGCTTGAGGAGCACGTTCTGATGATCGATCGTTACTTGGGATAGATAGGGCGCACCCGGATTGTTTTGTTTCTTTATACATAAACGAGGGTGAAGTGGGGGATCGGAATTGTGCGAGCTTTGAGGTTCTATAATTCAGCAACTGCCTTTGGGCCTAGTTGCAAGAGTTGCGAGGTTATTCTGTTATTCATTCATTGGTTGGTCCAATATGTTCTTGTAATGTTCCCGTAGCTTCGGTGCCATTTGTACAATAAAAGGTGCGGTGAGGCTTATGTCTACAGAATAAGTTATCACATATGAAGGCCTTATGTATTCGGCCATGCGGTCCATTTAAATCCACATGTTTGTAAAAGCCTATAGAATAGTTAGGCAGTTCATGGTTCCAACAGTTACGTTGATAGTTCTCCATCTCATTCCTTTCTCAATAGCCAGTGGCAACGTCTTGTCGGAACTCATTGAACAAGTCCGGCAGAAAAGTGTTCAAGTGACTCATCTCGTTAAAACAATGCGCCGACAGATCGTGGGCCAGCTTTTCTGGTCCACCAGCCACGGACATACCCAGGACCAAGATATTTCCAAACCAAAATCGAGAGCGAACCTCGTTCCCGCGCCCATCGGGCCTTGCCCGGAGCTGATGCACCAGCACGGCGGAGAGGGGAGTGAGACCGTGTTTGGCCTCTTCGGGCTCGTCTTGCTCGTGGTAGCTCAGGAGTGAAACAAATGCAGATATCATTCCGAGGACCCCAGATTGCTTATTCGTGTTCGAAAACCCCATCAGTTCCGGATCGAAGAGCCCGATGGACGGTTTGTAGGGTGTTATCCCGATATATTCATCAACAAAGGAGGTGACATTCCAGTACCGGCCGGTATATGCTGGTTGTACTGCCTTCTCCGGGAAAAGATTAATGGCAGCATATTGGTGAGCCTCCGGATTCCAGAGCTTGTACTTGCGAGTATCGTTTATATGCCAGGAAAACCAGAAGCCCAACCTATTGTGTTAGACTTTTCAACATTGAAGAAAGGCCGGGCGAAACGCACATTTCCCCTGTAACGTTGCCGGGGACATCAAAGCGAATATTTAACGTCAACGACCCATCCGGCAGAAACGAATACCCGTTCTCTAGCCTCGCGTAACCTGGTGCGTTCAGCGCTTGCGGACCAGCCGTTATTTTGACTGCGAGACTCCCAGGATAGGGCGACTCCTAGACTCCGATGAGTGTGAATAAAATGTCAACTGGGAGGAGGAATACCTGAAGACCTGAGATCATCTCGGCGCTCTTAACGGGTTGCGTATCGTTGAAATACTTGGCCCATGGCGTCCTGTAGTCCGGGCCCTTATAGCCGAGGTAGTAATGTTTATCGTTCTGATCGATCTGACGCGCATAGAGTGGCCCAGCCGGTTGGCTCAGACCGGCCGAGGCGCGTATGGAAAGCAGGACGAGGACGCAGATAAACCAAGGAGTAGGCATTGTAATAATTTGTGAAGAGCCTTCGGGGTTTGAGTAGTGAAGATACAGTATTTAACTCCCTCTGACCATGCGCAAATTCTAGCTTGCAGTGTCCAATGTTGATCTTTAACCATTTTCTGGGTTCTCAATGCAGATCCTCATGAGTGGCCGTCCTCGCCGTGCTTTACCAAAATCCAGTCAAAACAAAGTCTCTTGCTCAGTAAAAAAGGAATAAGTGAAACCAGAATGGGATCGCCCGAAAACCCGCCCATTCTTTCCAACGCCCGGGGGTTGCAAAATGGCCAGTTTCCAATATCCTCTGGCTCAGAGAAAAGCCCCTTCTCACCTAAAAGTTCCGATCTGTTTCCTCACGTCTGAGCACTCGATCATTTTGTAAAAGAGGATTAAATGTCATGCGATCTGGGAGAACGCGGCACCCGCAGTGCCCCTTGGACACCAGAGTTGACCGTTTCCAGATTGACTACATGTCTAGGTGCGAGCCACCGAGTAAAATTCCTCCGCTAACAGCTTCCATTGGACATTTTTGTAGATCGCAGTTACCGCCAACAACAACATGGGGTGCTGGCTACGATTTCGCCAAAACGTGAGGATGAGTGGTCTGTCGCGTCAGGGCCAAAGAAAGGGGCAACATCATCAATCCTGTGTTAAGAGCCCCTGATAGACGCCGTGATATACCGAGCACATGAGAAGCCTCTTAAGTCAGACAAGGCGCCCCAGACTCAATTTCTAGAGATGAACAGCTACCTGGTGGAATATTCAACCGGCAATGAAATCCTGAAATTTGGGGTCCAAGAATCACACCTCGACTTACCAAGCTCTCACAGCTCACTTTGAATCTGTTGCCGCAGTTAGAAGGGTTCGTGTAGGAGTGCATCGGCGAGGTATAGTATTTTCTAGTTGATAATCGGTGAAGTGAGAAGATGAACAAGGAGAAGGGGAAGGTGAAAGAAGATGCGCGATGAAAAATGGATTCTTGATGCCTGGGGCACGTCGAGCCCGGGCAATTTATACAGGCCATTCTGTGCAAACTGACAAACCTATGCAGTAGCATAAAATGGTGTCTGTCCCTGCATGATGTATCGCTGCTATTAAAAGAACAAAATTTTGGGACGACCAATACTGCCCCAGCCCCTAAAGCTAGTTCTCCTAGAACCACAACACACAAGAGCGCCGCGGACAGGATAAAACACAATATCATGGCACAAGAGGGACACTGCAGCACAAATATCACCCTAGACTCTCTCAACCCGCACCTCCTCCTGAATGCGAATAGCGTCACTGCCACTGGAATTTTGACCCGGAAGAATTCTCTCATCGCTCCGGTTGTCACGAGTGACATACGACTCCATGTTATTCTCCTGCACGATGCTGAAAAGGGTGTCGTCCTTTGCCAAATTCCGCATCCGGAAGCGGGAAGATTGGTTGGAATCGTCGTAGTTCACGTACTTACCCTCCGAGTCCTCCAGGTTAGATCCGTAGACGATCTTCCGGTAGAGAGGGCGAACGGTAGGAATGCCGACGCAGATGAGGGTGACGGCCAGTTCGACCCCTGACCAGATAACCAGGCTGACCGTATCTTCTGGATTGGAGAGAAGGGACGAGATCAGTCGACAATGACATGGGAATAGTGCAACCTCAAACGGAAGGAATTTACCTGTATAGTTGGTGCTGGACAATCCACCTAGCTCGATTGTGCGGATGATTCCGCAGACACAAGCTCTATCCATGCAAGGTCAGTCAGCAGCCCGAGTGAAGAACACGTCGACGTGGCTCACATGAATCCAAGGCTCAAACTAATAGCGATCGACATCTTCTCTTTGAACTTCATATTCAGCTTCCATATGAAGAGCCAGGGCAGGAGAGCAAAGTAAAAATCCACCGCGGCACACCAAGCTAGACGTGAGAGATATTAGCGCTGAGCCCCGAAAACGGAACAAACGAGTTAAGGGAGAAGTAAACCCACAGCCAAGCAGAACCGAGAATGGGGTAACGGCAACAATGGTGCGCCCGGGCACGCGGGGATCGTATATGGAGTTGGACGGAAGGCGCTGAGTCCAGAAAATAACGGCCGTCACCAGCGATACCAGGGACAGGCTGACCATCGAGATCCAGATGGAGATCCGATGCCATTGTTCGATAACGATGCGGAGCAGAAAGAAGCCCAACGAAAGCTTCGCAATGGCCATGCCTAGGACGGCAAAGGTTTGCCCGATCATCTCGGTATACACGGCTTGGACGGCGGAGTCCATGGAAAGCATAGTTATAGGTTGTCCGAATCCGTGAATCCCGGCGATGGTGATGAAGACGCTGTAAAGAAGCAGAAATACCTAGATCCCGGTGAGTATTTGGTCTCCCTGAAGGATGGACAACGGGTTGAATTCGGTGTTCACCTACCCAGGCCACATTGAAAATATAGTCGTCCACCCCAACTGCTTTAATGATATATATCCGCGTGTATAGCCGCAGAGGAACGAGGACAAAGGAGATGAAGGTCATCGCCCACATTACCGCAACGGCCTTGATACCTTTCCCGGCCAGCATCTTCAACCAAGTGGAAAATTAGATATGTTATAGACAGATAACGACAGCGTGAAGTGGGACTATGGAGCCACTGTTGACACAAAATCTGACGAGGGATGGGGAAGTTGAGGACCCAGATCAGGGCATATCGACGATACAAATACATGACCTCGATTACTCCATGCCCCCTCATGGAACAGAGCGATTGTGAGCTATCAACGAGTAACGGTATTCCTCGATTCGCAGTGATAGATATCTAGCACACCCCTGTTCAATTCCACTCTGATCGCCAGCTATCTTTGGCCCGTGAAAATAATCCTGGTCGGAATATTCGCGGCCACTGAGATGAGAATGAGCCTCGGTAGCGCTCGGTTGGGGAAAAGCAAAAGCCAAGACAAATACCCTGTCAACTCTGCGGGACTAACGAAGCTGTCCGTGCCCTAGACAGGTCAAGTGTTACCGGGGGGAAGTCGTTCCGGCCTCTTGGGATTGCCTTCTGTTGGTTGCCATTCGCTCGATCGTGGTATGGAGATACCAATAGCGCCACGGGGGCGCTGTGTAACCCCCAGGCCGTGCGTCCGGCGGCGTCAATCTAGACCTTCGCAGCGCACAGACTCTGGGCGATGGAAGGAGTAAAGTTCTCTCTCAGAATGACCGGTAGTAGCAGAGACGGCAGCCGCCTCCTCCCTCTCTCGCAGATCCAGCTCATCCCCAAATTTCGGGCGTGCAAATTTGAAATCAATTCAACCCCCCTTTCAACTCTCTCTGTCACAAATCCTGTTCGATATATTCCAGTTCGATCGTAATAATGGAGTTAACAATCGCGGAAGCTTTACACTGGAGCTTTAGAGACGGCGCCACCATGATTGTCTATCTCTGTCTGACCTCTTTCTCTGCCTGGTGTTTTGTAACGTATCTCAATTCTCCTTTGCGCAGCTTTCCCGGTCCCTTTCTTGCCGGTAAGACATACGACGGCCTCCCCAGATCGATCGAAAGTCTGAGTTGACAGAGTCGATCTTGTGCTCACCCTGGCTTTTGTAGGATGGACAAACCTGTGGCGAATGTTCCATGTGCGGCAGGGGCAGTCACAGCGAGTGATCCAGGAGCTGCACAGGAAGTACGGTCCAGTGGTACGCATCGCGCCCAACGTCTTGGATCTGGATATCCCCGACTTGATCCGGACAATCTACAGCACAAAGGCCGATTATGTCAAGGTAAGGGTGTCTCCTCCCGCCACCGATCAGTCCTCCCATTAAATGACTGTAACAGACCGAGTTTTACCACGGGAGCAGTGCCAAAAGTAACGGCAAGATTATCTACAATCTCTTCAGCGAGTGCCAACCCGAGGTCCATGCACGGCAGAAACGACCTATCTCCAAGCACTATTCGATGACCGGAGTGTTGCCCCTGGAACCCCATATCGATGAAATGATCCGGTACCTCTGTCAGCGGCTAGAAGAAAAGTTCATTAATGCATCCGGCGCCGCCAAAACATGCGACCTTGGCGAATGGATCACTTTCTGTGAGACTCGATTGTTGTCGATTGGCTTTTGCAGGTGCCGAGCTAATATCGCACAGATACCTGGGATGTGGTCGGCAAGGCAACTTTCAGCCAGCCCATTGGATACCTGGAAAAAGGCTATGACTTTGATAACACTTTGGGCACCGCCGATGCGGCAATGGACTACTTTTCCTTGGTGGGCCAGTTACCCATCCTGGATCGTTTGCTGGACAAGAACCCCGTTTACCGTATTGGCCCACCATCCTTCGGCAACATCACCAACATATCGATCCAACACCTAGTGGATCGGCTCCAGGGCAAAGACACAGATTTCCATGACCCTGCAAAGCCTGATTTCCTTGATAACTTCATTGAGGCCAAGGAGCGGTTCCCCGACGTCGTGGATGACGTGCAGATTATTTCCTATCTCATGATTAACATGATTGCAGGAGCCGACACAACGGCTGTCACATTGAATGCGGCGCTATATCTTTCCTTGAAGAACCCGCGCGTTTGGCACCGCCTCAGAGCCGAGATTCCCAGCTACGACCCATTATCGAACCCCCCGGTTGTGCAGTATAAAACGACCAAGGAATATCCATACCTGGAGGCCGTGATCCGAGAGGCAATGAGATGTCATCCGGGGGTGGCGATGCTTCTCGAACGATACGTTCCACAGGGCGGCCTGGCCCTCCCCGACGGACGATTTGTACCTGCAGGCTGCATCGTCGGCATGAACCCCTATATAGTGGGCCGTAATAGGTCTGTTTGGGGCGAAGATGCCGACGTTTTTCGTCCCGAGCGCTGGTTGTGCGACGATGTACGCGAGACCGAAGAAGCTTTTCAAGAACGTTTGCGACGGATGAACGCTGCCGATCTGACATTTGGGGGCGGGAGTCGAGTTTGTATTGGGAAGCATCTGGGATTGCTGGAAGTGTACAAGGTGCTGGCCACGCTAGTGTCTCGTTACAATATCGAACTAGCGAGCCCCAAGGAAGACTGGAGCACCCACAATAGCTTCTTCTTTCGGCAGACGGGGATCGAAGTGAAGTTGTCTCGGCGGACCTAGATCAGTCGTTTGGTTTGCGTCAACGATTCAATCATATGCGGTGTTTAGAGATAAAGGAATTGAGTCCTCGCGTATCTGGATAGCACAAATGTGGCTTCCTTTGTCTACCGCAGCGAACATCGTAGATGTAGATCAGGATACTTGTTCAGCCGAAGATACGAAAGATGTTATGCATCGAGCGTTCCCGCGGGCAGCCTCAGGCCGCCAAGCCTACCCCGCAGATAAAGGCCGAGGGAATGAATCCTCAGCCGGACGATTTGCTCCCATATCTCCATCTGGCGTCGCATTCCCCTTTACACAGCCCCGTCTAGATTGGAGAAAAGCACTTGACACAATAAACATACAAATCATACCGGTTTCAAACTCCGGGCTGACCTGACTGGAGGTGACGAGAACGGAAAAATATTTTAAAAAGAACTCATTATCGAGTGTCCAGGCCTGCTGGGCTTTTACATTTCAGACCAGTGGGCGATGAATGTACATGTATATCATCGATGGCTAGAATATCAGTAACATGCAAAATATGAAAATGTAGCGTGATCGAGCGACCGAAAAGGAACAAGCAAGTGTGAGCTCCAACGATCTTTACCAGGCACTCTATTTCTTCAATGCGTGCAGCTCTGTAGGCAGTGACAGCGGCCACCAAGTCAGTCACCTTTAGCACTTCCTCCTCCATATGAGCGACATGAATAGACCCTGGCCCTTACAGGTAGGTCTTATGATTACCCTTCAGATCGGGAATGTCAGTCCCATAGCTGACCACTATTATGTCAAATCCAGGTACATCGCACTCAATCCGAACGGGCTCACGCGTCAGATCCGTACCAAGATTACCCGATGTATTCAAAGCCCCTTCGATCATTTCTTTCAACTGCTCTATTGTACCACCAGCGACTCGGAACATAATCTCAGCTTCAGCAGAGAAAGGAATGACGTTGGGAGCGACGCCTCCACTAATTCGCCCTATATTCATAGTCGTCTCTCCAAACCGAGCACTTGAAGGGAGCTGCAACTGGTGTAGCTCGCGTAGACCAGAGAGCAACTCGTCAATCGCAGATTCACCAAGTGCAGGATAACCCGAGTGAGCCGATTTTCCAGTCGCGGACAATCGCATATTAAGGACTCCCTTGTGCCCATTTGGCTGAGTTCCCTGGTTCGGCTCTCCAAAAATCACTGTATCCCAGCTCAAACCGAGCTGGTTTGCATGTATCATGCCGTCGCCTTCAGTTTCTTCGCCCACGACGAACAGTAACGAGATATCCCCAAGCTTGATCAAAGAGGCGGCCAACAGCTCTTCCATAGCAACCATCTGAGCCGCAACACACGCTTTTGCATCCCCCACCCCCCTGCCACGGATTTCTGTGTCGTTGTTGACCAGCTGGTAAGGCCAATATGGGGGTACCTAACACGATCGGAATAAGCACGCCGCTCAACGAATTGCGCAAAACGGGTTGCCAGGTCGCGTACTTACCACATCCATATGGCTTGAAAGACAGATCTTGGTGTTTCGTTTCTCTCCAACCAAGGCGGGGATGTTAGTTTATAGCATTCGATGAATTCTGTGCTGCGCTATTGAGTGACAGCGGAACGTCGGAAACATATAACCGATCCTCAAAGTAGCAAACATGGTGCTGAACTGCAATTATTCCGATCTATCCCCGAAAGAAGTTCGAACCCAGTCAAGTATCCGATGTAATTAAGTCTTGTATCATAAAAGGGACATTTATCGGCATAATCTTCCCTTAGCTCTTCCTGACTCAGGTGCAGTGGTATATGGCCTGCTGGAAAATGCCAGTTCCGCATTCCCATCGAAATTCGACGCAACAACCGTCCGCGGTGTTCCTTTTTCACAGTTTCGACCATCCACAGTGGTGTTGATCCCGGTGTCTACACCGGCGATGATTCGTCCGACCAGCATTGTCTCAAGGTTGAAGGCAGCCGCCTGAAGGAAACCACCGATGGTGAGCCATACGCATGCGAACATGATGCACCTGCGTCTTCTAAAAAGATCACGGAAAGATTGGAGGAGAATGCGTCAAGAACAGCTCTTAGGTGATATGTGGAAACCATCTGTGACTGGATGGTATCGCTCGGTTGATGGAAGGTTTCCTTAAATGCGGTATTTGTAAGAATACCTCCGAATATTCCCTGGTCATAGCCGAAAGAGGTGAAGCCGATCCCAGAGGCCAATGCTAGACCGATCACCAGCGGCGTTCCTTGCAGTTCCTTGCACCACATTTAGAGGGCAATAAGTGATATAACGTCGTGTTGTATGGCCGTCAAGTCATATTTTATAGTCCCGTGAGATAACCCGAGTCCTACGACGAATATATAACCGTACGCTCTGTCTCTTGTCAAAAGAGGTGAAGGAAGAGTTTAAGCAGATTCCACGCCCACGCTTGTGAACTGTAGAGGAGCTAAGCAACTTGGAACCTTATTGCCATATAGCCTGACGATCGCCACTGGTCCTCAATTTTGTATTGGTATTGCTTCTGATCATGTTTCTGATGACCATGTTAAAGACCACACTATTCACGTGTACGTCATCCCAGGGAAGCTAAGAGACCATTCAGCTCATGTTGTCATTTCTTGGTTTGTTATAACATCTTCACAGTACCTCCGCAGTATCCCCAAGGTGCCAATTGTCCTCTCGGCAGCATTCTTGCCAACTAGAAAAGGATAGGCACGGTCCGCATACCATTAATTACAAATCAGTGAAGCATGGGGGATGAGATTGTTGACGAGGACTTCGGGATTAGAAATACATGAGAAGGTGCTTTTTTATATCGTCACATCGAAGAAGGTCGATAACCCATAAAATCGCATACTGAGAAAATCATTGGACTTCTGGGTCTTGCTCCAAAAGGGTTCCTTGCAAGCGATTAAGCAAACCGGGACCACTGCTCTTCCTGTAAGCCAGGAACCCAACTACCCTTGTAAGCTCATGCCACCACCAAGCTGGTACGGGGCCGCACTCAGCGAGGACCCGGTGACATCCCAGGCCGGTACGTGCGCCGCCTGCGCTTCGATAGTAAAGGACACCCGGTGGACCGGACTTAGCTGGAGCGTGAACTGGGAGCCGACATAGGTGGATCCCACGAGAGAGTTCGAGCTGACATCCTCGGCAGTAACCGTCTCCCGGGAGGAGATCCGGGCGGACATGGTATCGGAAGAAGTCTCATCGTAACCTGAAAGCCGACCGGCAGCTTGCGAGATAATCTGTTGGCTCTGAGGCGCGCTTCCCTGCTGCCGTCGAAGTTTATCCATGGGCAACTCCGCCAGATAGCCGGTGGTCGTGGCGAGGGGGTCTTGCGTCTGGGAGCCCTTCTTGTTGGTCCCCAGACGAGACCGAACGGAACGCCCGTAGGCTTGGAAGAGAAGAGTCCCCGGGGTGGTAATGACGTTCGTGGCGACCTCGTAAGTGATTGCCTGCGTGATCCTCCCCGTTACGCTTCCCAGCGCCCAAGGCAAGGCTTTACCGGCCCCGGCCACAGCGTGACCGGCCACTCCACCGGCGGCCCCGTAGAAAACATCGGAGGCTATGCTTTTCAGTGTGGGAGTTGTCCCTGTCGCCAGGTCGTAGGCGGCCCCGACGCCTGCATTCACGACGGCCCCAATTGCCATTCCCGCAACTAATCCGACCCCTCCAGTGAAGACGGCAATTCCAATGGCAACGGTCAAGCCAGCCAACAACTGAAAGAAGCTTCGCAAGCTCCAGTGGCCGCTCGGATCGGTCCGATTGATCGGGTCCCCCAGGCAGTAGGCGTACGGGTTGATTTCGCCCGAGGTAAAGGGGCTCCATGCGTCCGGCTGCAGGAAGATCTTCAGACTAGGGTTGTACACACGATAGCCGGTCCCCAGATGATACCACCCGGTCACCGGGTCTCGCCACTGTCCGTTGAAGCCGATAGTCGCTCCGTTGGAGCTGAAGCCGTAGGGCGTGTACGCTTGGTCGTGGACCTGTTCTATATCCCGCGTATCCAGCCAGGTGCAAACCGAGTGGTGGGCATCGGACGCCCAAAGTTGGGTGTTCACCTCAGCCCCCTGCTGTTGGACTTCCCCCCAGTATATCCCCCCGTCCGAGACGAAGCTGGTCTGGTGGTCCCCCTTGGTAACGGCGATTAACGAGTTCCCGCGGTAAGAAAACTCGGTGTCCGGCTGATTGGGAATCGACTGACGGACAAGCCGGTCCGTTGCATCGTACCCGTACTCGCAGAGGAGCTGGTTCTGGTTATCATATACCGCGGAAAGGAAACGCGACGCATTATAGACTAGCGTCCGCCCGTGCTCGTCGCGCGTTATACACCCGTTCTCGTCATACTCGAGATTGACGGCCGCCGCTTCGTGCGAGTGAGTGTTAGAGATGCTGATAAGCTGTGTCGGGTCTTGAGCACTGTACGTGTAGGCCTGCGTATTCTCGCTGCCATCCGCGAACGTGGTCTGGATTTGGGCGAAGCCATCATAGTCGTTGAGTGTGAAGCACTGACGGCGAAGGGCGCGGCCTTGCTCGTCCACCGGGGGCTGTGTGCCCTGGCACTGGTAGTCTACTAACCGGCTTAAACTGTCATACTCAAAGGTTTCCTGCCGCATCAGAGTGCCGTTGTCATCGCTTCGATCGCGTGCGGCGACCAGCCCCGTTGCCCCGTAGGACTGGGTAGACTGGAATAAGAGCGTCGCTCCCTTCCAGACCTTCCGCTGAATTTCGCGGCCGAACTCGTCGTACTCGATATTGGTCGTCAGGGTCACACCCTGTTGACTATCTTGGGCCACCATCGTGATGACGCGGTCTGCCTGATCATAGCTGAGTCTGGTCTTGAGCGTTCCGACACTAATTTCTTGCCGCCGGCCATACTCATCGTACTGGATCGCGTGCTGTTTCCCGTGGACGTCGGTATACTCTTGTAGCTTGCCAGCCTGTGAGTACACGTACCTCAAGGCGCGAGCCCCATCAGCGGTTTGGATAGTCTCCTTGGACAGCAAACTGGATGGGTAGTAGCTGAGGCTGGCCGCGGCGACCGAACCCTCCAGCTGCAAGACATGGCCGGTTTGCTTGTCGTACTCGTATGAGTCGGTGCCATCGCTAGTGACCCTTCCTGTCAAAGCATAGTCCAATGTCGGCTCATACGTGCGCTCGGAGCGCCCCCCCTTCGGAGAGATGACCTGGGCAGGGACGGGGGCGACGCCTTGATAGGTATTGTTGGTGGCGCGGCCGCCGACAGTGGTGCGGAGCGGCCTTTCCAATCCATCGAACGATTGCTTACTGAAGCCTGAGGAGCCCTGAATATTGATAGCCACAGGCAAAGCTGCGGTGCTCTCGGCCGCGTACTGGGTAATGATAGCATGGCCATCGGGCCATGTTGTCTTGGCCACGCGATCGAAGCTATCGTAGCTATACTGCGTGGCACGGCCCAAGCCATCCGTCATCTGGCAGCGACGTCCCAGTCCATCATAGGCATATTGGATGGTACTCTCGACGGTTCCGTTGCGCCGCACTAGAGCCTCGGATATCGGGGTTTGAGATACATTGTGTTGGACCCGCGTCTGGCCTTCGCCCTCATTCCCTACGGTCTGGGTCAAGGCAATGGGGTCTGTCACGGAGAGGTGCACCGCTCCGCCGTTCTTCGTGACTTTATAGACCTCGCCCCAGTCATCGTACTCGAGGGCGCGAGTCGTACGTAGCTCCACGGGCCTTCCGCTGGCCCGCAGCCAGTCGATATCTACCTCTTCGGTGCATTGATCGAGGGCGTTATACCGGCGCTCCTGAACGACGCGGAATGTACCGGTGTATGTCTGATATTGGTCCCAGCTGCCATCGTCGTCCTGGGATTCCACCCGGACCACGCGATCCATGCCATCGGTGAAGTATCGGGTCCGCACTCCCTTGCTGTCGGTCACCGTGACTTGCCACCCAACGGCGTTCTTTAGGACAGCATATTCGTGCTGCTTTCTGGCCTCGAAGGCCGTACCAGGGGCGATGACGGTCTGGGTTACCCGACCGATCGCATCGTGCTGATGGGTGGTCTCGGTGCCAGCGCGGTTCTTGGTTGCGAGCGTCAATCCGGACATGAGGGAGGTGGTGGTTTCCTCCTGCGTGGTCTGGCCGTCGAAACTGGTTGTTGTAATGGTCTCGGTCAGTTCCGTCGAGCTCGCATGGCGGTACGTCAACTTATATATCGTCGGATCCTGGTTAAACAAGCGTGTGACCTGCTGCTGTCGTCGGCCATGATCCGCGGACTCCGGCTGGTTCACGTAGGTGTATTCCGTGGTAGCGAGGGTTTGGCCATCCTCGCGGGTCAGCCGTTGGTCACTGGCCACGAAATAGTCGGTTAGGGCCGCGGTGGCCGTGGGGAGGTCGAGATATGTGTAGCTATGGGCGCGGGTGGGCGTCGGATAGGCACTCGCAGCAGGTATAACGGTCTCCAGCTTGACATAGCGCTGGAATCCGTGCGGATCGGCCGGACAGAGGACCTGACCAGAGGCCATCTCGCCGGCGGCACCATAGTATTCACGAGTGGTTGTGACACCACTCGGGGATGTTTCGCTGGTCTCGTTCCCCCAGACGTCAAACGTGAACCGGGTCGTCTCGGTACGCGACGCCCCGGTGGAGGTGTCCCGATAGGTGGTATCTTGAGTCTGGGGCAACTGATATTGGGCCGGCTGGTTCTCAAAGGCAGTATTGCTGCGGGCATAGTACGTGGTGGCCTGTGTGAGCTGCTTGACGCCCTTCTGCTGCTGCGTACTGAGCTGCAGATGAAACTTATTGTAAACATGCCTGGTGGTAGTTCCGCCCACCACCTGCACGGTGGAGGTATACTCATAGTCGGCCGGGGTCAGGTAGAGGTTATCACCGTCGCTGGTCCAGTTCCGGCCTCCGCCGTAGCCGAGGAAGTTGTGGTCCGAGTAGCTGTAGGTCGTCTGGATGGCCGGCTGGTCATGGAAGGGCCGCGCCGTGTGCGAGATCACGTGGGGGATGGTACTGACCGGCGCGCCGCTGGGCAGCCGGAAGCCCGCCGCCCTGTAGGAAATGCTCTCCGTTGCCCCTGTCGGGCTGGTGACATTGGTGATGCCAGCCGTCCCATATGCGAACTGCCAGGCCGGCGAGCCCTCCAGCGGCAGGCGCAGCTCCGCCAGTTGGCTATTGCGTTTCACCAGCGCGAAGGTCGCGGCCTCGGCGGTCCCCGGGGCTCTTGTGATGGTGGCGATCTGCGCGCTGTCATTGTAGACGACCTCGACCAGGTCCTGCGAGCCGGCCTGGATCTTGCTGAGTCGGGGCTGGGTGCCCGAAAACACCCAGGAGAGCTTCAGCGAGTGGCCATTGGCGCCGTAAATTTCAGTGGGTACACTGACAGAGGCCCGATTGTTGAAGTTGGAGAGTAATTCCACTTGGCCTGACTTGAGAGTCACGCGGTAGCTTGTGGTGCTCGTCTTCTGGAACATGAAACTCTTGAGCTTTTGGTCCGTCACCATGACGGAGGTGATGCTTTCCTGGACTTTATAATTCTCACCGGTAGACAGAATAAGGGTCCTAGATGGCTGGTCATAGGAGGAGAGGCTGCCAAACGACCAGCCTCGTCCCAGGCCGACATCGTCGCCTCCCAGGGGATTATAGTGGAGGAAAAGGTTGAAAGGGGGGCAGTTGCGAACCCCGGCCGGCACCTCATAGAGGGATATGGTGCAATTGTATTGGCCGGTGCGAGGGTCGACACCTTTCTCGACGTAGGAGTTGAAATTGAAACCCTGGGAATAAATCATTATGGTGGATGGGCACGCGGATGAAAGATAGTTCAGCTACAACCAGGGTCCGGGTTGGTTGAGGATCTTATACCTCTTCTCCCTCCTCCTCCTCCTCCTCCCCCTGCTCCTTGTTCTTAGAGCAATTGTCGATTGGGAATCCTATCCGGTCAGAGGATGTCTAGACCGAGTTAGTTCATGAGGGGGTGACAATAGGCCTGTCGAATACTGATGCCCGAGTGGTCCCAGAGGGTATAGATGAGAGCACAATTTCATTTGATGATGGAAAGGCCACCACGTCCATCGAGGGCTGGACGAAATCAAGGATGGAGGGGGACGATTGGCCAGGAGATGGCATCCTCGGATTCAGCTATGAATCCCTGTTCGCCTGCAGGCGAACAGGGATGGCCCACCGTTAGCGTCCACCGAATCTCAGTAGGATCCGATGCCACATCATCATTTGCTAACAAGGATCGAGATTGACTCCCCATGAAGAGGGGTGATAAACGGGTTTTCATTAGTCAGTGCGATGAGCAAAGTCCCTTTACAATCTATCCTGCATAAACCCAGCGCCCGGTGGCGAGCTGAAAGATGCTCATGTACGATCGGATCAGCGCCCTCTCGATCTAAATTCCAAAAAGATGGAGTCCAGCTCAGGTCTCAATATATTGCGACATGGCATGACGTGTATACCTCCGCTCCAGCCCATTGCGCTTCAGTTCCTCCCTTGCCACCCCCTCAACACATCCAAATCGCCACCTTTCCTGTGTCAGGCTCAATATTCGACAGGGAATTACACATTTTCCAATGACCTCGAGACCTCAGCTCGGAAGACACAGCAGGGAAGAGACTCGAGGTTAGAACGGGTTGGGGGGAGGACAGAAGAGGTATATAAGGTCATCATGGAACCGGTTGAGAAGAAAGCAATCAGACTATTCAGTTTCCTGAATACACACCATCATCCTCAATCTATTATACCCCTATAACCACATCCACCATGTCAGTATCCTGGGATGTCACCTCCTTTGCCGTGCAGACTACCACGGCCGATCAGGTAACCGACCGGCTCTATGCCAATGGCAATATGCAGGTTCCTGTGATAGTCACTATCAATGCTATAAATCCAACGACATGGGCAACCCATCGGTTGACCGATGCCGAGCTCCAGGAGATCCAGTTGATAGACTATTATTCCGGGGCTGTACTCACAGGTACCTGGTTTTATTCTTTGACTCCAAATGGCTTCGCCCACACGCTCGCCGGCACAGACGAGCCCGTCGAACCCACTTCGGACGCACCTCAATCCATCAGGTTGTATGTCTCGTCCACCAGAATCGAGAACAGAGTCATCGGCGCACGTATCACTCAGCCCAATAACACCGTGGTGACCACGAATAGCACCATCTTTAACTCCTTGGTCACTCTGACGGCAATCCAGCCAGTAATTTATACAACCGGCAACATCACCTTGGGAGACAAGAAGAAAATTGCCACCGGAAACTGGACGTTGACCTTGGGGATAAACAGTAATTTCACGAACCACAGCAAAGACTGGCAGCAGGAGAACTATTATGTCACATCGAACGTACATCCGATCTTGCAAGCCGATCTGCACGACTATAGGACCAGCGCGACCTTGACCAACTCCTTTTCCTTCCAGTTTAACAGGCACGACCTCAGCATCTTCTACTTTTGGAACCCAGGACCGGAGACTTCGAGACAAGTGGGAGTACATCACAGGAGGGAAGTTATCCAATATGGGGAGAGGTTTGGTCCCATCACGGTCTATTCGACTACGCATAACGCAAGAGCCACTGTCCAAGTCAATCAGCAACGGAATGCATTTTGCCTCACTCACATGGTCTTCTTTAATAATAGCAACTGGGAGATCGCGCCCTGGTCCGAGGACGCATGGGTCCGGCTGTACGATACTTTTGGAAACTACGGCGACTTTTATGTCAAGGTCAGAGAGAGCACGGATGAGAACGGGACTATGGAACATACCCTCTATCTCCAAAACAAGAACACCGCGAACCTGACTGAGTCTATCTCGTTCAATCCCGCGGCCAAGCTGTGAGGGCGTTTGAAGGGGCCAATGCAAGTGCTCGTTGGAGAAAGATACGGTCATTAGCACATTATACTGTGTTTTTACCTTTTGTTTTCCCTATCTGCTCTCGAGGCTGTCGGGCTGAAGTACTAGAGTGATCAAAGCTACTAGGCAAGTGCCTATCTTCATAGCGCAAAATTGAAGGTGTTCACCCCATTGTTGCTTTTGTAAAGACATCGATCACTAGTGACGCCAAAACCTGTGAAACTGTCTCGGCATCGCAGAGAACACAGATATCACTCGATTGACGCAGAGCTGGGGCTTGCTGAAACCAGATACGAGTTGTTACAATGCTTGTGTTACCCCTGTCTTTTTCGATGCGATGCAAGATCGAGCAGGGGAGATATTCTGCTATTTGAAATAAGCCTTTTCTCGCTCGACGCACGCCGCAAGGGATGTGTGACAACAATTTCCATAATCCCTGGGCACTAAACCGCCTTAGCAGCCCGCCATGTCTTGCCATGTGGGGATGCCCAGAATGTCTCAACACTTATTATTTTTGCTGTTGCGAGTGGACTTGGACTTCAACCACGAGCGAAGCCCGCGACGCGTCTACTCCAGGAAATTAGTAATGAGACTATGATCCCGGAAGTGCCAAACGCTACCAGACGTTCGCCGGTTTTCTAGTCGTATCGGCTCTCCGCAACATCGGCCGCTCTGAGGGCAATTGCGAAGAAGCATTCCCGGATGGAGACATCGGTGGCGCTGGGTTTTGCCTTAAAGTCTATTGCTGGGGACAGGGCGAACTTGTTCTCACCCACACGTTTCAGAAACCAGGTCCTTTCGTATATACTGAAGAAGCCATATGTCGCGTAACTGTCGTCCATGTAGCGCGTCAGCTGCCCTATATGTGTCCATAACTACATTTAGCACATGGGAAGCCCCCAGAGGGAAACTGGAGACACCGGAAGCCAAACTTACCCATCTTGTCGGCGATAAACTCCTCCCACGTCCGTCCTTTTTTCGGTTCAAACCTCCAAAAGGTTTTAACTTCGCCCAAGATCCGAATAGCATGAATCTTAATGTCCGCTACTACCACGTCTGGCACAAGCTTGTCCCCTGCCGCGACAGCCTGCTGTTGGCCTCTATTGCGCTTGGCCTCTTTCTTTGTCTCTCCCTTCTTCTGCGCATCGCCCTCAACGAGAACACTATTGATTCCGTACTGGGAGTCCCCAAAGCGAATACCCAGGTTTAGAAGGCTAGCCAGTTCTCCTATGGGGTGCAGGGCGTTATTGACGAGACGACCCTGCACCCCCAGTTCGTTTGCCACCCCGAAGACCTCTTTGGGAGTCTTGGGCACGAGGGTCCTAAATTGCCCACAGTAGGGCGCAAAAAGATTCTTGATCTCTTTTGCGAAATTGGACTAGTCCTGGATCTGCTCTGGATGTAGAGAAAATTGGGAAGAACCGGGTCGAAGAGTCCGGTACCCTTCATCGCTGATGAGTTCGGGCATTGGTGACCAAACGATTTCTCGTTGCGCTAGACGCAGCACCCTAGATGACATGGTTGTATAAAAAGCTTGTACAGAAACTGTGCGGAAGACTGTGTAATATCTTGATGGGTAGAGGATTGCTTCAGAACATATCAAATATTACGAAAGGATCAGGGACCAGCTTCGCTGTATCCCTTCTGATGAGCGAAGGTCGAAAGGTGAGAAAGATGGCGGCCACCGGAACCCCGTAGGATCAAACTGAGACTATATAGGTACTTCTATGCATGGTGAATGCTTGGGATGAAGGAGGAAGTAAGAGCTCAAGAGGTGAAGAGTTGTCTTGAATAGCCTGGTTTTGCCCTCTGCATTCCCTACATATAGTGAAGTAAGCAAGACAGCTAGGATCGTCAAGAGACTATCTTGTGCCACAGACTTCCAATAATTGCTTATAGCTGTGGCTCTGTCTGGCCTTTTTTACAATCAGAGTTGGAATACCTTTCAGCATCACACAGTACGTAGACTGCGAGATGATTGTAGAAAGGTCTTTCCTAAGTACTATAATGCTAGGAGTAGCCGTCAATACTCCTGCAGTGCGCTAACATAAACTGCTTTTTAAAATGTTCTTTACAATTAAACATACATGGAGATTATTAACCATCCCCATGGGCGTGGATGAAATAAGTTCATAGTAGTAGCAGGGTCAGGCATCGAGGCTAGAAAGAGTGTCCAGCGGGCGTAGCAGACAGTATCATAGAGCAAATTCAGACCTAGAGGGTGCAGGCCGCGTACTATTGGCTATACCTTGAAGTACGTCCTTCCTTTCCTCTGGAATAACGATCTCTTCTGCTAGCTACTTGAACGAACCGAAACAAAAGCAAGTTCACGATCCCAAATTGTTTCCACCCAAATTGTTTCTACCAAATTGCCTCCGCCCAAACTGCCTCCGCCCAAAATGCCTCCGATGCAATGTCTTCATGGGGCCCAGTTTTCCTTCTTAGTAAAGTCGGATGGTGGTCTCTTCCCGGCGGGTTTGTCAGATGATGGTGTTTTTGCTGCTTGCTCGGAGGCTTTCTCGGGATTTTTATATGGCGCCCGCCAAAGGTTGAACGCTTCGACGTAAGGACTCTCCTCGTCGATCAGACACGATGTTCTGCTGTTAGGGTCGGTGAATCCAAGGCCCGCCAAGTCGACCAGATAGAGCTTGTTGGTGCGCACGTCGTAATTCAGATAGCTGGGGTGTTGCTGGATCAGTTGTAACCATTCTGGCGCATTTTCCTGCAAGTACGAATCAAGAACGTGTAAGCGATGCACGTATATGATATGATGTGAGGGACTGTTCACTTACTCCAGAATGTGTGCGAGCTACGTCCTTATGCCGGCCAGCTGGTGATCCGTGAGCTCGTCTTGGATCTCATCGAGGTTCTCGCCCGGTGGAACTTTCATCACCAAGAAGTCGACATATCCACCAGGGAAGGTCATCCACGCCGGCTAAACACGGCTTAGGTTGTCGAGGTAGGTACTCTGGTCCGAGGCCGGCCTCACTCAGGAGCTTGGCCGCCTCGACCTCGGCGCAAAAGAGATCCCAAGCGATCTGCAGGATCTCGTCCTTACCAACGAAATCGAAACGTTCCGGGTTAAGCTGGTAGCGCATCTTTAACAGAAACATAGCATTGCTGTCGACGTTCCTGGCCTTGACGAGGGCATAGCGTTGGCCATTCTTTGGTCCAGGACCTCGGACAACTGTTCCTCGATATGAAGCTCCATCCTATCAAGGGTTACCATGCGTCCTTCTAGGTTGAAGTTCCACATGATTAGTTGACGGGTTTGGCTTCTATCGTGTGTATTGTCGTGGTTTAGAAACTGGGGATCAAAGATCGTGGGTTATGATTCGGGAAGGGGGAAGGAAAAGGTGAGTCACTGTCCCATCAAGATGACCACATCATGATTCTTTGTTGAGCATCCATCATTCGTTTCACGACCGAATCCCATGTTGACTGCCTCAATATTACTCAAGAATTCGTACGAAACATTCAATGGTGGAATTTCTGCTAGCAGTAGTCTTGTTGTGCGTTCAACGGACCAAGGTGCTCAGGGGGGGAGACCCGGCCCTAATGACCTCCCATGGAGTTGAAAGTCTATACATAAATACAGTACAAAACTCGTGAAGGCAATTTCATGCCGTATCCTAATAAAGTAAGTTTGTGAGATCCTGTCCATCTGAATAACAGGAGTGGGAAATGGGTATCTGGCCTGAGCTGCTGTTGGAGCGTATATAGATTTTTTACTCTGTGTTTGAATCAGTCTCATTTGGCTTCGTTATATTTATGTAGAGAATTCAATATTACATAGCTAGTCATTTATGCTTATTGCTTCATTAGATTGTAAAACAACATTTCTAGTAACAAATACGGAAGACATTGAATTAGCGCCTAATCTCATACCACCTGCAACTCATTAGAGTAGGTTTTCAGACGGGTTGTCTGACTTGTTTCTTGTTATTTCCCTTTTTGCTGATTTTTTTGCTCTTCCGAGTAGAAGTGGTGGAAAGAACTGGAAACGAAAATTCGTGCGGCTCAATAGCTTCTGGAGATTTGTTAGAAGAGTTCGTCTCTGCCGTCTTTGAGACTAACTTCAATTCCTCGTCATCGATAGGCTCTGGTTCCGCGCATGTGTGTTCTCGCTCTAGGGAATGGTTGGAAGATTCCGTAACAGATTGCACCTCATCCTCAGGATCTACATGGATATCGTGTAATGTGCTTGAAGGCTGGCCGGACATGCCCACAATCTTTGCTTCTAGTTATATTGTCAGCCCTATAAGGTTAACTTGGATTCTATTCCCATACCGTAACCTCCAACACCCACAAACTGCTGGCAGGTTTCAGATCCGCGATTTAGAACCTGCAGTTTTCTGTTGAGTTGGTCGCGGAGAGTGCTATTTTCTTCCGACTCGCCAGCGATCTGCGTAACCATTTTGCCGTGCATATTAAATACAGCTACTGGAGAGAAAATATTGAGCAAGGCCATCATCAATTTGGATTCCACGGCTTCATTTGCAATATCGTTAACAAAACGTTTTAAAGCAACCTAGAACGATATCAGTAAATATAGAGGAGCATCATTGAAAACACGTATAGTAACCTTATAATATGCCAGCATGCAGTCTAACGCCTCGGCTGAAGCAAAGTTTACCATATCTGGTTCTGATTGCCGCAGAAGCGATTGAAGAAGTTGGTTGAGATCGATTGACCTTTCCGTAAAGTAAGGCTCGTGAAGATCATTTACACCAAAAAATTGCCCGATAATTTTGCCAAGTTCACCTTCACGGCGCTCTGCACGGATCTTTTGCAGGTTCTCTGTAAAATAATGATTGTATGTAATCGGATGGCCTATCTTGTGCAGTACTAGCAGCTCAGTAGTCTTTTGCTCCATCTGCTGCCAAATAGAATCAAAAATAGGGAAAATAATTCCGTCAACCAGCGCGGTAGAAGTGGCGTTATCTGCGATATAGCGAACAGCAAGGACTAGAAAATCTCTTGCGGATGACCATACATTTTTAATATGACTTCTAGTCAGCTTCTCCCAAGGACCACACTGCTCCAAGAACAGGTCACGGACAATCATAGGGTTGAATGTGCCAGGCAGCTCGCGGCCCCTGGTTTTTCTTAGAAGTGACCCAATATAGGCAGTATATTCCGCCCGTGTGATGCGAATCTGGTCGTTAGAATTTTGCTTGGTAATACTTTCCTCACATAGCCGGCGATAATGGCCTCTGCGGCTAATACGGTCGGCAAATTGTTCATTAAGGTTTTGAATTACCGCACGTAGTCGTTTTTCCAATCCATTCTCAACGTGCACATATCCGAAGAAAGGATCATTGTAAGTGCCATCCACAGCGGCTTTGACCAAGCTCTGAAACGACTGGCTGATGTGTAGGAGGTAGGACCTTTGCTCGTCGAGAGATGTCCGAGGCTCCCCAAGTTTCATAATTTCAGATCTGCAATTGTCGGCCTTTTCTCGAATTTCTTTAATCAGACTTGGCAGCTCTGCGGTAATTTGTCCGAGAAGCACTTTGCTCAGGCGAGAGCGAAGACTATCAACACCTATAAAGGATCTTGGAAGGTCTTCCCAGGCGCCTGCGGAAAAAAATAGCATCTCTTCTCGGTCTCTATCAGCCAGTGTCCAGTCTCCCTTTTCAGTATTCATGTTTTTGAGGACATACCATCCCAGGCGAAACTCGACATCCTGATTTTTTGCCAGTGAAAGAAACATGGACTCGCTCTCCGATCCTGGAACAAGCGTATCTGGCTTAGTGATGACTCCCAATGTCCGATTTCCAGATTTATCGGCATCCCGAGCCAGCTTCAGCACGATTTGATTGGCAAAATCATTCCTAGCGGATATAACAGCGAAGATAATATTCCGCGGCTCCTTCATATACGTCCGAACAACTTCCTGCACGAGCTGGATATCAGAAAATGATTGCTGTTTAGTTTCGGAGTGTATAAGGCCCGGAAGGTCAACAATAGTCAAGTGAGGACGGTCTGGGCCTGATACCTCAACTCGAAGTAAGTTATTTGAAAACGCTTTACCGTACGTTGTTATTCCCATTATCGCTTTTGCATTGTCGATAAGAGCAGGGAGACCTTCAAAATCTTCCAGCTGCTCACAAAAGTTCCCTAGTGAGTCTCGTTCGATATCGCTGCGAGAGTGATGAGGTACTATTGAAATACGTACCCCCACTTGAACACTCTTTCTGAGTACCAGCTCTGTGGGAAACCTTGTACATAAACTGCTCTTTACTGGAAACGAGACACCTGAAATTGCCTCTAATACCGAGCTCTTTCCTGACGACTGATCTCCACAGACGATGATCTGTGGTAAAGAAATGTAGTGACTGATACCCTGGGAACGAAGGCTGTCAATGGAATTGAGAAGATCGAGTTGCTCCTCGGTGCACAGCCTTTGGAGGGCGTTTGTTTGAAATTTTCTTAGCACCATGTTGGCAACGGAAGGGGTATGGTGCTTGTAGGGGAGTAAATTTCCCTGGGGGTCGTTCTCGGGGTCGCCCTGGCGCGCAAAGGTGCGGAGGGCAGAGGGGGTTGTCGGGTTCATTCTGGATCGTTCTGTTCTTGGTGCAACCTGGTTGTCGTGTAGTTGCGTTCACGGAAGGGCTTCAAACTGATCACAAGGCTTTATACCCACTGATCGCTCAGTGATATGGCTTTATTGTGTCTGTTTGAAGTGAAAAGGAAAAAGGGGATGGGAAAATTATGTGACGGTCTACAAAGGAGCTTAGTAAAAGACAAGTTTGTTTATGACTCGTAGTCAAGGAATTTTCCCATGGAG